GATTACTACCCAAAAATACGATATTAAGTCTCATAAATTCTATTGTAGTTGTTAGAATGATAGTATTATTACACTTATAAAGGTAGTAAGGGTAATGCTAATAACAGCCGAACTCAGCGGAAATCCGTACCGTCTGGCGGAGCCAAAGGGCTAAAGGTGCAAATGTACAGTTTTCAAGTAATTGCATAAGAATATTGTCTTTATGGTTTACTATAAATTAAAGGTAAATAAGAAATAATAATTATTAGTATTAAGTACGAAGCAGACTCAATAACTTTTAAAAAAACCTAAACAAAATGTTGAATGTAAAAACTTTATATATCTACAGCCTTGTTAATGTTCAAGCAATCTTTAAATAATGACACAACTCAACGAAGAAACATAAAATTTTAGTTTAGCAAAACGAGTGGGTAAGGTTGGCTAACAAAGTAATGCAAGAGGCACAAACAAAAAGCTATTAAGTTCAAATGTAAAGTGGTTTGTTTAACCCTTTTTCCCCTCTATTTCTTAAAATTAAGATGTGCCCCTACTGTATATCTGGATATATATATTACTGTTTTAAATTTTTCGAAAAAGCTATAATAAAGGCTTGTCCATTGAAGAAGCAATTTTCTCTTCTTTGTATATAATTAATCAGAATTTCGTTGGCCGGGTTAACTTATTTTAATAAAAACCGCCATTAAATAAAGAAAGCGGGACCCTTCTTTTTGTTACTTTCAATCTGCTATGGTCGTAAAGAAAGATTAGAAAAAATAATAATATTTTTATAATTTAGTTATGGAATGTAAGGTTTACTTTTTCAGTGAGTAATATTAAATTTTGATAAACTAAGTGAATCAAAGAATCTGTCTAGAATGTAATAAGAAGTTGCTTTATAGAACTATATAAGTGTAACTCAGTCAGCAAGCCCTTACACATACAAAAAGATAATATTAACAAAAGTATAATATTAATATAAACAAAATCAAAAAGGGGCTATTAGCCAACAAATAATTTTTATCCTCAAACTAAAGGACGAACAAACTCAATAAACTTGTTTGTCGTTTTTTTTTTTAACCTTATGTGAGTAATTATAATTCTATACTAACATGGCTTGGGGACGGTGCAAGTTGGTTTATAGATTTGTATTTTTTAAAATTCTTTTTTTATTTAATAATTAATATTTAAAATTGCCAAGTGCCTTGAAAAGTTGAATACGTGCAAAAATGTATGGTAGTTTAGTTTTATTAACATTATATACTATAAATTTATACCATGTCCAAAACGCATAATTTGAGCTTTTTCACTTTCTTTTAGCTATTCCAATAAATTTTTATTTTTTAGTATAAGCTACTAAATAATACAACCAAGGTGTATTACATGGTTTTGTTAGAGTTTTCCCACGTGGAAAACCTAAGGAGATAAGGGGTTTATTTATTTTCTCTTTACTCTAAAAGTCATTTGTATTATCTATCTTTTTATGTATGGATATAAAAGCTGTGTTAAATGGAACTTTGATTCCGTTATAACGCTTTGCAGCAAACCTAATAATTAATTAGACTTTAACCAACTGGCTAAAAAAGGCGTCCTTCCGCTTATTAAATAAGAATTTCCGGCTTGAGGATTGCATTAAAGCGGTTTTGTCGCTTGCTATACTTTCTAGCCAGATATATCCATTTTAACTAAGAGATAACAGAGCTAGCATCACCTAAAAAGTCGGTCTACTTCTGTAAATCCAGTGTGCTAAAAAACCTTCACGGACTACGATTGCAGCTGAATATGTTTAAATAGTTTCTTAATCTTTTTAAAAATTTTAATGAAATTTATTATCTAAGTATTAATTTAGTTATCCTCTAGACTCCTAAACTATTTAATAGCTTCCACTATAATACCCTCTAGAAGGTTAGTCTTTGTTCTAGCCCTCTAAACTGGAACTATTGCCTTTATAATATCGCTGGCCCTCTAGACCAACGTTAAACTTCTCGGCAAAGCGTTAATACTCTCTACGTTTTCGGTTATAATGATTAGCTCAAGCTGTTCCTCGGCATCAGCAAGTAAGTTTGATTTACAAAGCACATCATCAGCAACTAAATAAGCAGCTGGCACACACTGAGTAGAGAGGTAATCGGCAAAAAGTGTCGCTTTGTCAGCCACAAAGTTGCCGTCTCCCATGGTAAGTAATGGTATACACGCCCAGTTTTTGTATTTTTTCTGAACTTCAGAAAGAGAAGCGACCGTTACAGTTATTTTCCGACATATTATTTAACTTTGTCTCCCGCAGTCGGTTATATGCGCCAACAGCTCTTTCCTAATGCACCGGTGTAGCCTATTAAACTCTAATTTATATTCATGGCTTTGTAAGACCGTGGCCATTCTGATAAGACCATAGTGCTCTCCGTGAGGCATATCTGTGCCTTTGTTACCATTTTGAGAGTTTCTAGTGATATTACTAATAATTTTATTATCAAGGTTAATATACAATCATTAAGGTTTCTCGCAAAAGTATTATACTAAAACTATTACTACTACTATTCACTCGTTTTCTGTATTATTATTATTATTGTCGTGGTTATTTTTGTCGTTATAATTCATTTTAGTGCCTTCTATAATAAAAGCATTTCCTTCACTCTCCTCTAAGACTTCTTCTTTCCAAAGCTCGTTAATCATTTAGAGAGCAGAGTAAGGATTAGCATTATTATTTATTATCGAGGAATTTTTTTTTACAGGCTCTTTTCGTCGTTTAGTCTCGTTTTCAATTGGAAGTTTTTTCGAAATCTTGTAACTTAAATTTTACAGTCCAAAGCTTCTCAATAGTAGCTAATACATAAGCATTAGTCCTTCGTAAGTCGGCTTCCAGAAGAGGGGAGCCATTTTATTAAATAACAAACATTTCTTTCTTATGCAAGAGCCCAACAAGGACTTCCCCCTCTCTTAAGGAATGTTTATTTATTTTTTTAATTTATTGATTTTTACTGACATACTACAATCGATATGCATAGCATATCTTTGCTGCTTAATCCTTATTCCCCTCTTAAATTATAAGAGAGGTGAAGAAGGACCCAGTCCCCCTGGAAAAGTCTTCATCTTCAATGTTTGCGTACCATCTCATAGGCGAGCTATAAGAAGAAAGAAGTACACAGCAACAAAAAAAACGATTTTATTATTAAGAGTAATTAGAATAAAAATAAATAAATAAGATCGGTCAATAATAATAATAATAATAAAATAATAAGTGATAATGTAAAAATATATTCCCACACACTGTTTTTCTTATATTTACTAATTGAATTATAATAATAATTAAGTCGATTAAGTATACCGAACTAATAGTTTATATGTATTCTGTCACTTTTATATGGATTTATCATTAAAATAATAACCACAACAATAATAATAATAATAACAAGGTGTGGGGATATTTTTTTAAAGAAATAATACTTATATATATACTATACATATTGATTTCATAAGGTACCTAATAAACATAATAACTTACCCTCAATAGTCCAAAATTTAAGTCCGTGCAGTAAGGTGATAAAATTCTAAACAGAATATGGCTAACATTACAGTTTATTTTAATTTATTAATATATATTTTAACGGAAATTAACTATTTTATTTTATGTATTATTTTATGTAATATTTTTTATTATTTTGCTATAATGTCTTTATTTGAATATACTATTTAGTATTGATGATAAGCGCATCTGCCCTTGAGGGCGTAATGAATCATTAGGGAAGTTGCGACTTCCGCTTCCTCTACTAATGGAGGGGAAGTAGATTAAGCAGTAACTATTAGCCACGCTTGTAGCGAGCCAGTGCTATAAATAAATAAAAAACGCAGCTAAAAGTCTCCAAAGATTGAGCCTAGTTGTAAGGAAGTATGTGCCTCGCTAAATATCTTTAGGTTTACCAAAAGTTTTATAAAGAAAGTTTATTAAAATTAGATACAAAAATTTGAAATTCTACTTTTTGAAGGTTGTGGATCGTAGTTTTCTCTGGAGAGCTTCTTAAAGGCTTATTATGTAATTATATATTTCTCTCCTTTGTCTTAAGCACTAAATTCTTTTTATATCATTTTAAATCCTCTAAAAGTTATGTCCAAAGATACTTGTTTTTTTATGTTGTGAAAATTAAACATTCTTTGATAAATTAAAAACAATTGTAACAAGAAGTTGTCTACTCTAACGCGCTAAGCGAGTTTAATATCGTTTTTACCTTTTAAAGCTCTAACTTTTATTAATCTTTATATGTGTTGCCGACTTTTTATTTTATAAATATTTCTACGCTACCTTCGGTCGAGAAGAAATTATGTTAATCTTGCTTTAAAGCTTTCAATAATATCAGGGCATGCCTTTTAAAAGATTATTTTATCCTAAATACATTTAAATGGAAAATTTTAATTATTCAGATGGTAACGTTAGTAACTAGCTTGCACTGAAGGAAGATAACGCAAACTACCTTTATTGGGCTTATTGGGTGATTAAAAATAGTTTGTTATAAACTAATTCAGACTTTTCACACGTAAAATAGTTCTTTGGTAAAATTTCCCGACGGCCAGGTTTCAATTTTTTGGTAAACTTTCAACCGTATTAAAGTCTTTGCAAGTATAATAGAGCCACAAAATAGTTAACAGTAAATAAAAAAATTATAACGCTTAACTTTGAAATTGTACCATAGATTAAAGTTACTGGAATCACAAACTTGAGAATTAGTTAATTCAGATGGTTCACCTATAATATCCGTTAGATGTACCCGTAAAGGCATCTTTATTTCATATTCACACTGGCGTAGTGCTTTTAGTTAAACTAGCATTCTATTTACGAAGTTTTAATAGGATGTATATCAAGTAAACACCCGAAGGGTTAAACTGATGAATGAGTGTGCGTGCGAGGACAACTCAACTTTAAAAGTATTTCAATGGGCTCTTACAAAGATGCGACGCAAAGTTTTATTAACAGGTTTTAAGGTAAAACGCACTCAACTAACCGGAATTAAAAATAAAAGATTAAAGTGTTGAGTTTATTTTATTATGCCAGTGTGGCTAACGCCTGTAAGATCAATAGTAAATTTAAGTTTCTTTCTAGGCAAATTCGGAGATAGCAAGACGCTCATAGTACGAACGGTGAAGGTCTTCTTTTCTATGCCGACTTGCTCTTCGCGTTTAAGGGCGATCCTCGTATTAACCATATTGGACCATACCAGCCCTTTATGCAAACAATATAAAGTTAATTAAAGATAAAAAACCCCACCATTTTTGTTTAGCAATAAGCTAACTTTTTGAAGGCATTAACAAATTTTTGTAAGCTTTTTTAGTAAAAAATATACTAATATTAAATCTTACGAGCTTTAATACAAGTATAATAAGTAGCTTACACAAGTTATATAAGGTAAAAAAGATTGAAGGCGGAACTAAAAGAGGGACGTTAGTAAATATCGTAAACAGAGGCAAACCTAAGGAGGGGATAGCATTTCCTACAAGATCAGCGCAATAGCCACCACTGTCTACGTAAAATTAAAATTATTTATAAATTTTCGGAACAAACTATAACTATGTCCTTATAGCGTAACTACGAAGGGTATTACCATAATTTTATTAAAACCAGCAGAACCACGAAAAAAAATTGCAATTCTGTAAGCTACAAACAATTTACGAACATTTGCGATCTCATGCGAAAAGCACAATATTTCTACATTTATAAGAAACAATAAGCACGCATATAAAGTTAATAAGAAAATTTTCCTTGAAACAATGAGATTGTTTGCAACCCACTCGATAAAATGTCGCAAGCGTACATTGATATAAGTTCGTAAAAGATGCAAGGAATCGTAAACGAACAAGCAACAAAATATAGCCAACAGATGTGCTAGAATTTTGCGTACTATATTAAATTTTCGAACAGCTTTGCTGGACACAAGCGCCCTCAAGCAGAATTTGATAACGAGCGAAACGACAAAACCGGAAGAGATGGTGATGGAATTCCCAAATTCCCAAATAATATATAAAATCGAAAAGAGGATTGAATAACGGCTCTCGATCATCGTAACTGCACCAGAACTAATTTTGACGAGCATCATGGGAAATTTTGTATGCAAATAAAAAGTACATAAAGGCTTCTTCTTATTAATAATTAGGAAACTTTACTTTTACTATAAGCACATATTGAAAGTTCTACTAGCTTACCGCAAAGAATTACATTTAATAATTTAAGCAAAATAGTTAATCTATTTACAAATATCGAAATATACCAACATCCACGAGCCAATCGCTGACCTGATTTACTATCACAACTGGAAGATGGTAGATGTGAGACAACTTTTTCAGTGCACTTGCAAAACGGTGAAGCACGTGGCTTCGCTGCAAACATTCCTTATAACTGGACGCAGCAAAGAAAGCAAATTTAAAATTATTGTTATCATAACCAAAAACTTCAGTAAAAAGTTTTAAAACAAAAATAAATTTATAAAGGTTCATAGGAAAGAGATTACTTTCATCTCAATAAAATAATCTCTAAGCAAAAATTTTACAGAAAGAAACCAGATTTTCAAGTAACAATGTGTAGTACTTCTTGTATAGTCAGAAAAAGTGGTAAGCAAAGTTAACTTAAACTAATGACCCAAGGAATTCACAAAATCCGATATTTTAAAAATGAGAATTCAAAAGTGAAACAGAATTAAAATACATAAACAAATTTTAGTAAATATACATGCTGAATTTTTAAACTCGAGAAGAAATTTATAAGTACTTATTGTATATAAACACCCAAATTCTGTCCGGAACAAAGCAGTTAAAGAATCGATAATAAGAAGTTTGATTGGCCTGCTTGATCGACTGGCACAAAGGAACTTGGGTATCTTGTTTTCCAATAGTCGCTCAAGATGGTGCCTTTATAAAATACTCGAATCAAAAGTAATTTAATTAAAAAACATTAGTGGTTACAGTTCTCTAGCGTGATTGACAAGAATGTAATCTTTAAAAGGATGATTTCGAAGAAAGGAATGCAAAACTATAAAGTAGTCAAACTTATAAAAATGAAAAAACAAAAAAAAAATTAAATCAATATAAATCTTATTTACTAACTTTGAGGATAACGGGATGGAAGGCTTCTGATTAGTTGTTCTAATCTCTCACTGGGAAACAAATCTTCAGTAGAAATGTATAATGCACCTATATTATGTTTAATAATAGTGTTTTCTCTAGTTTTCTATTATGAGCAAGGAACTTAATTTTTAAAACACTTCGCGCTTGTCTTTCAAAAGCTAAATTATTGATCTTAAAACTAAACTGTAGTATAATATTTCAAGTTAACATAAAAATAATAAAATTGTGTTATATTATATTTCTTCTAAAGACATTTATTTCAGAGGTTAAAAAGAATATTGAATGGTTAAAGTAACTACTCGAAATAAGGACTTTGCGTGTAAGCTGTCGTAGATTACGCTTTATGAAATCCAATTTACGCATTGTATTATACCTCCATCAAGCCCGCCGTACTCCATAGGAAGTTGCACTGTGAGACATAATTGCAAACATATTTGAGTTTTGCCTGTGGCGCTCCCTCCTGTAAGTTCCGTGATTCCAGTCTATATAGTAACAAATAATAACGCCAGAAAAGCTAAAAAATGCACATCTATTATAAATGAATCTACTTTATTTTAGGCTAGCGTTGCTTAGAGCAAAAGCAGAGTTATAATGTTGTACCGTTAAGAGGCCGCCTTTAAAGTGCTTATCTAAAAGCTGGCAACCCAAAGATAAGTTGCCTACAGAATCTCCGCCGTTCCTTTGATAAAATTAAAGGCATTTTCTTTACCAGAAAAGTTTAAAAATATAAAAAGTACTAAATTTAACTCTTGAATTAGTAATAGGGCAAATTGTCTTAAGATGTAAAGTTAAATAAAACAGCAACCATCTCAGTTGTTGGTAAAGTTCTAACGCCGTTTTCGGGCTTTCCATTTAAAGTCACGTATAAGGCACTCATTCCCCAGCCTGTAGCAGTATGTGGCTCAGAGCTTTTATCAACGTTCAAAGTTTAAACTAAAATCCTGTAAGCACAAAGTTAGCATTAAACTGTAGTTTAAATGTTAAAATTATTAGATTATATTGGATTCAAGCTCCTTCCTCTAACTTATCATATATACTTTTCCTTTACAAAAGAGTCATTAAACTTTAAAGTGGGGGTTGTATGAATTTTTATAATAGCTGATTTTAGAGACTTGGCAACTTCAAAATTTATTATATTAAAAACAAATGGGAGTAGTATAGAAATATATATAGAATAGAAATTTAATATTGAGTTAGTTATAATTAAAAAGAGGTATCATAATATGGTTGCTTTTGAGCCGCCTGAGTAGCACAACGCTCGCCGTGGACAAACACTAAAAAAAATAAAGAGCGCGAGGAATTAGAGTCAAGCCCTTAGAGGATCAACTCTCAACTACATATAAATCAAAAAAATATTAAAAAAAAACGAAGGAAGAATCAAGCAGCGAGACTTTATTTATTTGTTATTATTATTATTAATTTATGCAGATGCTGGGAATTCGAGTACAGACTGCTTAGTTTAGCTAATCACTTACTTTATTTGGCGTAGTCCGTTAATTTCTTATCAAATTATATATATACATAAAATGTGTGTGTAGAGGTATACAAACAATGTGTGCGCTTTAAGCACACGCGGAGCCGTCGGAAGCATTCGCTTTTCCGAAATTCGTTTCTAAGTTCTTGAGCCCACTGGTGGTTTGGACACACCTGCTAACACGATTAAAAGATACAGTAGTTGCATTTAAGAAGAATTCAAGTCATTCCAAACCCAGATCGTAGTGCAACATGTCAATGTGTACCAAATAAAGCCGCCTGCCTTTGGTTGCAAGAGTGCAATTGCGATAATTTTTCGTACGTCCAAGCAACAGATGGTAGAGCATAATAGGGCGCACACACTTTATAGAAGCGCAGTTTATTACGAAGGGGTTAGGCTTCTGACGCACAGCAGCTGGATAGAGTGCGTGAAACGGCTTTGGCCTTTACCCGTAAGGTCACCGTCAAGTTATCTGCCAAACGATAATGACGCCGAAGTATTTCGCCTGAGAGCACATTGGTATCTTAACACTTTCAAGGGTAAGAGGCGGAGGTAGTGCAGCATACTCTAAGAAAAAATTTTAAAGTAAAAGGTATGACTATAGTGGGCTTCCATTAAAAACTTTGGTGCCATGCCTAAGAAGGGTTTTAAAATCTGTAGGCAAGTAAATTACACCTGTTAAAAGCTAAATAGTTCATAATAAATGATTTTACAGGAAGGTTTCATTAGCCTTTTTAATTTTACTAGCTTGCTACTTTTTTTAAAACGTAATGAAAGACTAAGGAGACTACAAGCAGAGCAATTTTTTTTTAGTCTAAGACGCTAGTGTGTAGTAGAGGAGACTTAAAAATAAATAATCCTCTTGTTCAGTACTGCAACTCTCACGCTATTATATGAATACATGCACTTAAACAGAAGTTAAACACTCTAACAATCTAAAATAACCATTCATAAACATTAATAACTAATATTTTTATATAAACATAATCTTAAAACATATTTGGCAGGAACTATCTTACTGTATACAAATATGGTAATTTTGGACTAACATCTTTAAACGGAAGCGGATTAAACATGTTTACTTAACGAATCTTAAATTAATTTAAACCAACATACATAAATGGAAATGCTTTTTTTAACCTTTTAAAAAGGTATCATATGAATGGCTTGATTGCCCAGGATAAAACCCACTACCGATTTATGTCTCGCCCTTGTCAGTAGTCTGGTGGATTACACGCGCTTTCCTTACCCTTCTAGGCTTTATAACTAAGATTGGCAAAAAGTAGAATTAGTGCTAACAAATCCTAACGCTGGACCCCCTCATAGGTCTCTTTGTCACCTTCTTCTAAGCGACGTTACAATTTTTTATAACTCCTAACCACAACTCTCAGTAATATTACCCTTTTTTACTTAGAATGAAGAGTAAAGTAACAGCTTGAAACTAGCGCCCTACTCTTCTCAATCCGAATTTTCAAAGCTCACTCTAATGATCAAGCTATTCCGAAGAACCTCTTGTAAAAAGACTGACAAACTAAGCTGAGAAGTGTATACAAACAATTTCGTAAGAAAGCGAATGCTGCTTTAGCAGAATTGTACCATTCAACTTTAATACAAGCAAGCTAGCATCACACAGCAAACTTATCTTTACGGGTTAAAAGGGCCAAGGCTCTTGTAGGCGTCAGCTACATGAGCTCACACTTTTAAAAAATTTAAGTTAAAATAGGTTTTTGCGAACAAAAATAAGTAGTTCATAACTTTTATGTAACAGCTAATTACATATAGACTGCCATAAGAACTCAATGGAAGTTTTTAATTTTTGCTAAGGATAGCTTTTTCTTGTTGCATAGAATAAGCACTCCAAAAAATATCTAGCTTATCCACTTTTAGATTTTCCACTTATGAAAAAGTGAACGCTCTCCTCTAGGGGGAGGAATAACTTATCAAGTTATCGGAGTTCTGCATTCACTAAAATAAGACCTTACTTTATATACTAAAAGCGGACAAAAGGCTAATTTAAAAAAAAGAAATTAAACAAATTGCACAGGCAGATCCATCTTCAATTGGAAGCATGAAATTTTGACCGGTTTCCAGGGGTCGCGGGGGTCTTTTACTTAGTAGTCTCCCACCCCGATTCCTAGCCTGAGTTTTCTCTGCTGTTTTTCGGTCCTTCAGAGCCGTCATCGAGAAGCTTCGTGAGAATGCTATAGTAGGCATTCGTGCTTGAACTTTACTAAAGGGGAAAATTACAGAAAAATTGTGCCTAGATAGAGTCTGCATATAATGTAATTTGTTTAGGGGAATAATAACCGTCTCTAAAGATGCTTTAGGGGCTATTTTGCCTTCCTTTGTGGTTAATAATCTGATAGTTTAGTAGTTAGGGTTTTATCAAAACTTTACGGAGCTATTTGTCTGTTTTCTTACATAACCTTTAAGCCTAGAAAAGTTACTTCAAATAATAATCCTAAATTCCCATACTTCCTGCTGTATATAAAAAGGCTCATCTCGAAAACGTCCTGTACTTTACATTTGCTGCAAATTCTATTTATATGCCCGTGAAACACCTCTTTAAAATTTAAAGGAACGCGCGATAACGAACAGATGAGCTATTAAAGCAATTTCTAAACAATCAATAGTAATTTAATACCAAGAGCCTATTTAATAAAGTATCTCGAGCGATATTTACTTCTAAGGTAGTATATTTACTTTAACGGCCCTTGCCGACTAACACTCAATCAAACATTCAAAGGACGCTAATCTATAAAAGCTAAGAGAGCATTAACTTTCGATGAAATTAATAAATAGTCGACAAGAATTAAGAGATTTTTGAGTTAACTATTAAGTGCTTTTGTATATAGAAATTAAAAGAAAGTAGTCTTATAAACAGTATTTATAACAAGTTTTAAGTAACTTTAAAAAATAGTAGTTAACTTTTAGGTTTTGTATGAAAAAATACTATTAATTAAGTTAAAAACTGTTTATTTTTTACTCTTTATCTAATTTAAAACCCTAATGAAAAAGCTTTTTAATAATTTTGAATTATAAAAGTAACAAGCTTTTAATAGTTAAATTTTTCTGCATAATAGAATTTCAAGAGGGACAGAATAAAGACGCGGCAAAAAGAAGCTTAAGCAGGAAGCACTAACTTACGTCCACTCAATACTGTTTTTAAGTAAAAGTTAAAATAATATAAATAAAAAAGTTAACAAGACGCAATGTAACTATAAAATTTTTCCTATTAGTAAGATTCTAATATAAAAACCAAGTTACGTACTATAAAACCAGAGTTACAGTAACTCTAAATCTTATATATAACTGAAAAATTTAAACTTAGTCTTATTTTATTAAATAATAACCTAAATATTTAAAAAACTTAATACGCAAAAAATATTCAATGTCCGCGTTTTTCTTTGTGTAGTAAAACAATATATGCTCAATAGCAGTATTTTAAAGTTAAAAAATATATATACACTACTAGGATCTCTACTCAAAATTAAAATGCCTTTCAATATAACCTTGCCTTCGAATAAAAATGAAAGAAAATTCTAATAACAATGAATTAACAAGCTTTCCTTAATATTAAACAGATAACAAGAAAAAAGGAAAAAAAAGGTTAAAACAGCAGTAAAGACTGCTCCCTCGCCCTCAACAGTCAACAGATTTAGGCCCACAAAAAGACAGTAGCAAGTAATTTAAAAAGGGAATTTCTTTTGTAATAATATATATATATTTCAATCTTATATATAAAAGTCTACAAAGCTTATGAACTTATTGGGGCCCCCACAAAGAAAAAGGCGGGAACACTGAAAATTTAACCCACAATAAAAATAAAGAGAGTACCTTTTGTTATATACAGATAAAAAAAGTCAATGTAGAGAGCGGTCTGAACGATCCCAGGTATAACGGATATCAAGTCGAGGTGGTGCTTTTCAGTGTAGTACCGATAGATCCAGTTAGGGATGTACAGCGCTCGGTAGAGTCCCAGAAAAAAGAGGTAGTGGGAAGTAATGCTTTCTGCTTCTCCTGTTGTTTGGATCATATCAAGCTAAAAGAAAGTAATTGATTAAAGATAAGAGTTATAATAAAATAATAGGAAACCTGCGGGAAAATAGCAATGGCTTCCAGAAATTCAGAGAAAGTCCATAAGACCTTTAGTATAATAATTATGTTGACTTTCTCTTTAGTTAAATCTTAAACAGAAATGTCCTTGATTTTCAACTATAAACTCAGATAAAAAATTAAAATATAGTAAAAATATATATTTAAATGACGATAAATATAATAAAAAAGCTAACAAAGAATACAAAACTTACTAAGAGTCAATAATTTATTATGTAGAAAAATATGGTACAGAAGCCTTTGAATAGTTTTTCAAAAAAATAGAAAAAAGATAAAAACAAGATGAAAGTATGGTAAATGTAAAAAATAATTAACGAGACAAATAATGCTATTCACTCATAATTATAAGTAACAAAAAATTTAAGGACAAAAAATTGGGAAAACCTCCAGAATTGTAAACTTTCTCTTAAAAATGAGAGCTAGTAAGATGCAGGGTGTAATTGTGTAGAAATAAGGTATATTGTCAACTCCTTCTTTGTAAGAATTTCTGTGTTTTACAGCAATGTCATAACAAACAAGTGCTGAAGTCGCAATAAATATGACCTGAATAAAAAAGCGAAATAACCAATTATAAAGGCGAAAATCAATTTAAGTATAAAAACTATTATCCACAAAAAACTTACGGATCTCAAAAATATTAAGAGTTTTAAAATAAGTTTCAGAGTAAAGACTTAAAAAAAATATTGTATTGCTTTACACAGAAAAAAAATAAGAAAATAAAAAAAAAAGAAAAAGAAAAAAATTACATATTATAATATTCGTGGAAATAGCAGAACTAAAGTTTATTAAAGTGATAAGTTGCGAAATTTCGGAGTAACCAAAGTATTAGTAGAGTTAAAATACATTTTGCTTAAAAAATAGAGTATCAGATCAATTTTAATAAATTAATTCCAAGTAAAGGATTTGTACTACATATAATACAAATAAATTCCTAAAGCATAATAAAAAGCCAAAATCATAACAAAAAGGGAGGTTAAGAAACCTTCATAACCGAGTTGTAGAGTGATATAAATGTAGTAAACAAATCCAAATAGCGACTTATAAATACGATCAAGAAAAGAACTTGAGAGTGTAAAGATAAACCTAAATTATTTATTAAAATATAGGGGTCCACGTCTAAACAGAGTTGTATAAAGAAATTTAACTATCAAGGACCTGAAACTGACCGAGAACTGGTTATTTTATGTAAAAGAAGCAGTATAGCCACAAGGTGGCTTAAATCTCCCAATAAACGAAAAATATTCATAACGACACAACTACACAAAACAAAGTTAATTTTTGAAACACCATTTTTTCGTATAAGTCCTCGCTTCTAATTATAGTTAGACATCCTAGTGGTGATTGGTGTTTTGTAGCGTTTACCGTTGCAGTATATAATTCCCTAATTTCTTATTTCTTTGTATTTAGTTTAGCACTAAATACCCTATATGGCCTTTATGAAGTCATTTCATACCTAATAATATAGCAAAACTTTCATAAACGTTTGCGAATGCAAGTTAAAAATTATTATAATAAAATTTTAAAGTAAAACTAGAATTCATATTCTTTGTACTATTAGCTAGCTGTTTTTATAATAAAAGTTGTTATATTGCTCTTTGTATTCATTTAATCTGCATATGCTTACGTGTTCATTTTAAAGTTAGAGACGCTTTATAAAGAAAAAGACACGTGGATTAGTAGGTTTGTTAAATATTGAAAGTTGCAGGTTAACACTAGTTACTACCTGGGGCTGTTTGGGACGAATTATTATTGGAATACCATGCAAAAGTTTTACGACTATAATGCTGGATATATAAATTCAGATAGCAGCGAAGACGACTTTGAGTTATGTGATCCTCAGACTAACAAGGCCCTGTACAACTTTCAACAAGAAGTTTTAAGAGAAGAATTATATAAGTGGGAGAGACGTGGTATAAGAAAATCACGGAAATCTTGTTTCTTTAACAAGTATAGTAGTAAAATACGTTTAAATAATAAAGAAAAATTTGAAGTTAAATATATTTTCTCTGTAAATGATGAGCAGAAAAGCCCCTCTGTGGATCATACAAGTTTATTTACAGCAAGTAGCAAGTTTCAGTCGTCTCCAAAGGTTATTTTAAAAAGTAAGAGTGATCAATTTTACACCGTAACGGACTATAATATCAATTATAATCCTCTTTTTGATCATGATTTTTCGTTAACAAGAGAAGAGAGCGAAAGTGAAGAAGATTTGAGAGTTATTACTGACAAGCAATTTCATTATAAAGTAGAAGACGAGAAAGATATGTTATACAAAGATATAGCTTCTAAATCAAATAGGCCTTCTACCACTTCTATTTATAATAATAATAATAATAATAATAATAATAATAATAATAATAATAATAATAATAATAATAATAATAATAATAATAATAATAATAATAATAGTAATAACAATGATAATAAGGAAGCTCATTACCAAAACTTATTTTATGATCCGAATATGGACAATAAAGATGCGCTTTGGGTTTTAGAAAAGAGAAAAGAAATGGCTGGTATACTTTTTACAATAATTTTTCTATATATCTACTATTCTTAGTTAGGCTCTTCTAATTACATAAGTTCTGTTGTTTTAAGTAACTCTGATGCTGTTTTAAACTGTCCTTCATGCCTTTGTTTAATATCACTGGATTGTCAAAGGTAGTTAAGTTTTTTTATAATTATGGAATACTTTAGATATTTATACTTTTTAGGCACGAGAAATACAAAACACAATATCGAGCTATGTTTGTTTTAAATTGTACTATAGTATTAAGAGAAACTCTTCGGTTTACACCTAAAGGAAAGAAAGAAATAACTGACTCCAATAAAGATAGCAACAGTAACTAATTTTTCAATCATATTATTTATAGTAGTAATACTCTTATACTAAGAACTCTTTGCGAAGACCAAAAACCTACAAGTCGACGAATACCATCCCGTTCGTTGTTCTCTCTGCCATACTGAAGTAGGAATTTATGATTGGGAAGAGGTTTACCACTTTTTTAATGTTCTTGCAAGTGAACCATAAACTTTTGTCTGCCTCGTACGTTATTGTGGATCAGCCGCAAGTAATTTTATTGAACACAGATTGTTATAAATATGTTGCTGTATATATAACGCCTTCAGTTAATCTCGGCCAGCGATGCATTGACTTAGGTTTAGTATTGGGCCCGACTAATTTATTTTTTTACTGTTTCCTTCCCTTTTTTATATAAAAGAATAAAGACTTTTTTTACCTGATATTTTTTTTGTACATTTAGATTTTTCATAATACTTAAACGGTATTCTTTTATACTTGAAATCCCATCCACTCCTCCTTGGGCAACGCTATATGTTTGTTCTCATGGGCTCGTCATTAACTTACGTGAATAAGATAACTAAAAAAAAATATATAATTTTGTTATGTTTTCGGAAAAATATTATTTCGTTCTATTTTTTGCCTATAGGGATACTTTTATTATTAGACTGAGAACTTTAGAGGCAACTTCTTTGCTTTTATATAACAGCTTTTTGTTTATTGAAATATAGAAAAGTCAAAAATGGTTGAGATTTAAATGGTTAGAAGAATAATATACACTATCGTGATAAATTTTTTCGTAAAAATTTTATGACTCTTTAATTAATAATTGGTTATGTTAATCCCTTATATGTAAGTTTATATTGATCTATTTAAGTAGTTTGTATTAGAGGAATTGCTTTCTTACTTATTCTTTATCGCTTTTTAAAGTTTAAGTATCGATTGAAACTAATTTGCACGTGGCCCTCCTTCGTGCAAAATTGTTCCACCCTTTATACGAAATTTTCATGATCACTCCATCAGTGGGGTTTTTTTAAAGGGTTCGAGTGACTACAAAGGATAGTTATTTAGAGACTTTAATTTAATACTGCGTAAAGTTTCAATCGATAAAGAAAATGATGTAAAATGTCTTTTAGATCAAGGCAAGTCTTATTATATTGGGATCACTCGTGAATGTAGTGTCTGTAAGACCACAATATCCCGGATCAAAGCTCAATATGATCCAAATCGTCCTTGCAAAGAATCTGGAAGTCCGAAGATCTTGAAAAAACAGGATGTAGCTCGACTTGTACGACAAGTGACTTTGGGTGATATTGAATCTGCACAGAAAGCTTCGAAAATTATAGAAACAACATAAGATAGACCGGTTTCAAGATCGACTTTTTCGAGGGCATTGCATTCTGCCGGTTTTCAGGCAAAAAAAAAGTTAATTAAACCCACTTTAATAGACCGTAACATGACTAAGATTAGAGTTTGCGAAGAAGTACGAAAGTTGGTCCATTTCTGACTGGGAAAAAGTAATTTTTTTCGAACGAGACCAAGGTCAAACGATATAGTTTAGATGGAATTTGTCGGAAGTGATCCGGCGATAATCGAATACTTGATCACCAGGGGGTGCAAACGTATAACATGGGGGAGGATCGATTATTATTTGTTCCTGTATAATACCTAAGGGGTCCGGATATGGAAAAAGTGATAGGGAGCAAACCGCAAGCACGTATTTAGACTATTAAGGATGACCTACCCAGAAACATGCGGCTGGTAAGGCCTCGGTCTTGGTAAATTGGTTTTTCAGCAGGAAATGCCCCCTGTCACACGGCACTATCGGTGCAATCATGGCTTCAATTACAGTCGTTGCAAGTGCTAGACTGGCCTCCGCAATCTCCTGATCTCTATCCCATTGAACATGCACGGGGATGTTGGAGTAATTTGGGATCATACGAATCAGCACCTGCTAACTTGAACGAGCTTTAGACACGTGCACGATCAGAATGGGAAAATATACCGGACCAATGCTACAAGTTGATCGCCAGTATGCCAGTGAGGATACAAGCAGTGATTCTGGAAAAAGGGAGCTCTACTGATTGTTAAAACCTCGTTTTTTAAATTAAATTTTTCTTCTACGTGCAAAATTGTTTCTATAACCCTTCAACATTACAAGCTCGTATCTTTTCAAATATTAAACCAGTTTAAGATCAAGTATTAACAACATGTAGCTAGAACATAGATGTTTACTGTGTATAAAATTTTAAGTAATCCGTTACGCTATTGAAAAGTTATTCTGTATTAAATGAAAAAATGCAAAACGTTGAAACAATTTTGCACGATAGTGTATTATTATAACTTTTCCTCTTATACCAAAGTTTTATCAAGTATTACAGGATTTGCTTCGGAAAGGGCATTCTTTTAAATTAGCTTGCTATTGCGCACGTATAAACATTTTTTTTCTATTTCTGTTTTTTGTATTCTCGTGGAGCAACCTCCCTTTTTTGTGCAAGACTCGATACCTTAGTATATAATATATTTTTTTAAGAAGTTAAGTTTCGTTTCCAGGGGCGGAAGTACAGTTAATTTAACTTTAGCTTAAAGAACGTGCAAATTTTTTCCTTTAAAGGACTTAGGGAAAACAACTAGGCTTTATATAGAGACATAGCAAAGAGTATATATCTTTTTGAACATCTTCCAGATATGTTTTTATATTCATAAAATAAACCATTACAATTTATTAGCAGGTAATGATTGCACACAGTAGTTCACGTATTATCACACAACTATTATAATAAAGCTTTTAAAAAGTAAATGGCAAATGTTACTCATGCTCTGCGAGCCCATAATATCCTCTTTTCAACTGTAAGTTATTTTGGTTATAAAAGTTCATATTATTAAAATTAAAAAATTAAATTTATTTTTAAATTTCTTTTTATATGATCTACCCGCAAAGGGGGAAAGGTTGTCATAAAATTTTAACTTTAACAATGGGCAATATAAATATTTAACGCTATGAAAACAATTTTTATAAAAACCAAAATTGCAGCAATAGCTACTTTAATTCAGATGGCATAACTATAGAAGTATGAATACAACTTTAAAAAATAAATAAAGGGTTGCGACCTTTCTTTAGATATCTATGAGCACTTTCCAATTTCTAGCTTTTACAAGGCAAGCCTTTAGCAACACTACTTTGTATACATTAAAAAATTTCCATTAATAGCGGGATAAAAATAAAATAAAAAATCCTTCTTTGACAAAATTTGTAAACTAGGTTTTAAGCGGTATAAAACCTTCTTAAACTTAAAAAAAGGCCCAGAGTTCAAAAACTACGTAGTGAGATACCTAAAAAAAGAAAAGATCAAAAAAAAATCTATGGAAACTGCTTTTTGTTTAAGACTGTATACTACACCCCTCCTCTTTAAGGATATGATATAATCTTCGTTAAATATTTTTTTAAAATTGAAACCTAGGGCTACTATCGTGCAAAATTTTGATAGTAGTTACAAGCATCTATAGTAATAAAAAGTAAAAAGGTTAAGCTCCCGCGGGCGGGGTCGAACCGCCGACATTCGCGTCACTTAGCTGCATATAAGCACGACGCTCTAACCAACTGAGCTACGCGGGAGCGCCGGGGTGAAACCCTTCTAATTAACTTAATATTAGTAGCGCATTGTAAAATCATTTATTACTAGCGTATTAAGGTTACAAGATTGTACTCTACACCCGAATGCAAATGATTGTTTTGCCTAGTTTTTAAATAAGAACCACATTTTTTTTAACCAGTCTAACTTAAATTTATAAACTACTCATATCTATATATTTACTTTTTCTTTATATTTCTTACCAGACAGATTTGTTTACTCAGTAAACCGTTAGCAATAGCAAGAAGGTCCACTCGCCAGCAGTGAAAAATGGAAGGCCCATAATCCCAGCTATAACTATTGCAGTTAATTGTCTACGAAGGGCACCGCAAAAGGAATTACTATAGCGCTAAAGCATCGATATGACACATTTAATGAAGTACAACCGGAAGGCAGCTAAAGGAAAATGATTTCTCAGTTATAAAACATACCTTTACCATCTTGAAGAGTGTAAATGGTTTGCTAAAGCTTAGTTTGAAAGGCGCGACTCGCTGACCAGAGCCGAATTGGAGGTACTCTACAACATAACAATCTTTATAATCTGTCGAATTTTAAGAATGAACGTTCTACTCGGTGCAGTCAAACTGAAACCTAAATTAAAGAAAACTCGAGAAGAACGAACACAGCCTGCGTCTAATTTGCATCTCCGTGACCGACGCCTAATGCGTAATCAGACCCGACCGATGTACTAGACACGCCTTTAAAAAGAACATTCTTTTGGTAACCGCGATCGAGGCACTTCACGGGCTTATTTTGGGACCACCTGCCCGTCTTGCTCAGTAAGGCAAAGGCAGGCCTAACCAAGCACTATACATAGTCTTTGCAAAACAGAGTAATTCAGCCAAACGCCACTCGAATAAAAACTTTTTTAACCATTTTCAACTCCTGTTCTACTATCTGCTCCAGTCAAAACACTTAAAGCTTCGCTAATTTTGTTGTTCACGCTGCAGTGATCAAGAAGTTATGAAGTCGTCTACCACCGTAATAGTCTGTTAAAACCTAATGAACCTCATTCGTAACGGCATATACTATACACTGGTCGTTGCTATATAATATGCCTAAATAAAAAATTAAAGCTGCTCTTCATTAACACATCACAAAAGGGCCAATCGCTCTTAACAACAGCGGTAAAAAAACGGTGTAGGACGAGCAGATGATAGATTGCCATCTTTGGAAGCAGCGATAATAAGGCAACATGCTTTGCGATACTGCTACACTATAAAACTAGTGTAGTCAATGAAATCAGTGAAATTCTTTTTACACAGGTTTGACGATATGAATTCAATGCACATTATTATTTTCGTAAATAGGTTCCTTCCTCCTTTGGGGAGTTTAACGGACTAAGTTATCAGTGCACTTTAGTTGGTGGACTCAACTACCGCCAATGCAGTACTTTTTTTGGGTTTTTAATACTGTATTTGACCTTCTCATTCTCGTTATTTCAGGTGCGTTATAACCACAAACTCTTTCGTGAACTACCCAAGATTGAGTAAGGGCACCGATTTGAGAACAAACTTTAAAAATTGGGGCGAAGCTAACAAACATAAAAGGGCGCTCAAAATCGGCTATAAAATTTAGTTCCTTAAGCTCTTATAAGTTTTAACATGTTAGGTACCCCGTCCTTAAATTTGAAATTTTTTTACTAGTTTAAGCAGCATTTTCCGACAGTTCTTTAACATTTCTTAGCAATTTTAAACAAGCCCTCGGAATTCGCTATACTAATATAACACCAAATATTGTAAGATGAAATAGAAAGTTTACTGAACTATTTCGGGAACCCCAAGAAGACACAGATAAGTTGGATCTGCAGTTTACGAGAGTATTACTTGCACTGGAAGGCGTTCCCTTATTAAAGTATACTAATATAATTACCCATAAAAAATTGGGAATATGCTAAACAATTGCAAGGTATGGTGTGTGCTTAGACTCCAGGGTTTAAAGAAAAAATAGTTTAAAAAATTGAAATGACCAATGTAAAGGTTCAAAGTAATGAGGATTTTTTTGGGCATTTAGTGAAGTGCTAATTATCTATTACATTTACGAGTCTTATGTGAGATAACATTGCCGTAGCCAACTAGTCGCTACATTGAGCTTCTCACGCTTTTTGCCTCCGTTAGCTAATTTCAGAAAATATTAGGAATACTAACAGTTAAAATGTATAATTTTTACCATAATGTTACACGTGGAAACTAAACATTTGCACGTGACTTACTAAACTTTACATTCCACAAATGCAATCATTTAGCAGTTAGAATGGCCCTTCTATTTTGGTTCGTATAATTATGAAATTATGACTCGAGTTATAGTATTCGATGGCCACACATCTTTTCGACAGCGAATAGTTCTATCCACATTAAGTGGTCGTCCTATAAAGATCAAAAACATAAGGCACAAACAACGGGACCCTGGTGTAGTAGGTTAAAATTTTATTTCCATCTTCTATACAGCAACGTTCGTCAAACATAATAGCTTAATATATTATTGTTCTTTTTGAAAGACTATGAGGTTAGATTACTTAAACTTCTTGAACAAATTACAAACGGAACAGTTGTTAAAATAAGTTATACGGGTATTGTAGTTGTTTTACTTCATTAAAAAACGTACTATTTTACTATTCTTGTAAGGGACATGTATTATTTACCGTCCCGGACTTTTATCACAAAAGCAGAAGGTTGTGTTTAATTGTGGAAATGACAGAGCTATTGGGTATTTTCTTGAAGCTTTAGTAATGCTGGCCCCCTTTTGTAAGGAGCCTATTAACGTTACACTTCAAGGTATCACGAATGATAACGTGGATCCTTCGGTTGAGAATTTTTATTTATTATTTTTAATTTGTTACAAATCTTATTTACAAATAGGTCGATATTATTAGAACAGTCACTTTACCTCTCCTTAAGCGCTTTGGGATTGAGGGAGATATGCTACTTAAAGTCGTCAAACGAGGCTTCTTATTTATATATAACTATTAAGTTTTTAAATATATCAAATTCGGTTATTAAATTATTCTTCGTTTCTTTGTTTTTTTGAACGATTAAGTTATTATGTTGAACAGTTGCCTACTGAGTTATATATTTTTGAAGTTTGGAATGCTCTGCTGTTTTTTTTTTAGTGCACAAAATAAATTTGGCCCTCGTTTTGAGCTTTCTACTTTACTAAAGTTTTTACTTTTTATCATTTGAAGGCGCATCCCCTCTGGGCGGAGGGGAAGTTTATTTTCGTTGTCCGATTGTTAAGGAAATAAAGCCCTTACAGTTTATAAATTTCGGTTTTCTATTTTTTTATTATTACATGCTTTTTGGAGATCCCACTCTATCGTTTTTTACTTTTTAAGGAAAGGTTAAGAAGATTCGAGGAATAGCCTACTCTACGAGAATTTCCCCCCAAACCTCTAACCTTGTTGTTGAGGGTTGCCGCTCACTGCTTAATCCATACCTGCCGGACGTATATATCTACACCGACCACTACAAAGGCGTCGAGTCTGGCCTCTCTCCTGTAGGCTCTTCTTGCCGACTTAACTGGTTTACTGAAGCTTGTTTAACCAATGGGCTTAGGGGTACGGGGTTTCTCTCGTGGCTGAGACGACCTCGGGGGCACTGCTCTCCGCTGAGGAGTCTGCAACTGCGGGTGTCTCACCGTTTGATGTCGGAAGAACAGCGGCTAGACTTCTTTTAGAGGAAATCTATCGCGGTACCTTTTTTTCTTGCGACATTGTTAACTCAGCGGCTAAAGTAGTGTTGTAAGATAATAGGCGGCTGTGTGGACACCCAGAGCCAATCACTTGCGCTTCTGCTGATGGCTCTCTCTCCACCAGATGTGTCCAAGATAAGAATTGGGAAACTTTCACCGCACACAGTTAACTTATTAAGGCTCTGCTTTGTTTAATAAGCTGTTGTTGTGTGTATAAGCCTTTAAAAATAGGTTGCTTCGTGACTATTTTCAGGTTACTTTTAAACTCAAGCCCGATCCCTCTGAAGGTAGTTCTTCCTTTTCTTCACATTTTTATTATGTCGAGCGATTTTCGTCTGCTCAGGTTCTGTATTGGCCTCGTGCGCAGGGGTGGGGTACGTCAACATCAACCGTCGTGTTCAATAGAAATTTACTTGCCCATAAATTTTGTTAAGCAGATTATGCGTTACGTTAACTCTAAATAAAAGAATTCCCTTTACAACTTCGTGCACTTGATTTTCAGTAGCACTGCCACCCTTATTAGAGTAAATTAATGTTCCAGCATTCTTCACAGCAGCCCTTGCAGGGAAATCTGCTACGGTAGGCACTTTTTCTGCGAATATTAGTATAGCTGGGAGAGTGTATCGGATTTCAATTGCTGTGATAATAAGGATGGTAACTTTACCAACGTTAGGACTTCTCTACAGCACTTTTCTTCTCTTTTTTAATAAATCCCCTTTTTAAACTTACAGTTTGTAAAATTCGCTTTTGCTGTTATTAAATAATATTTTTCTGCTAAACAAGTCTGACCACCAGTAATCTCATTATTTACTTATTCTATACACCCGTATCTCACTAATGCTCTAAGTCGATATTACATTTTGGCGTAGAGCAAGAGAGTTGGTCGCCTAAGGGTGTTTTTACCTCAAAATAATTTTGTAAAGCATTTATTTTGCTTCTATTTACACATTGCCAGGTTTATGTTAGTAAACAATCTAAAAGATATTATTTACACTAATCTGTCTTATCCCTATTAACTCTAATACTTGAGCTTGCAAAGCTTGTTCTTCTTCTTTAAGACCTTTTTATTTATGGTTAAGAGCGCTTTTCAATATCACAAACTATTAATTATTTAAAGTTTGTTTCAGAATTTTAAGTGTGTAATAAAATAAATGTTTGGTTAATAATGCTGGTCTTTGACCTACGAGACTTGGTGCAAAATTGTTATTTATTCACTTTTAAGTTCAGAAATAAAAACTAAAAGAATTTCTTTCTGCTTATGTCGTCGTGTTTTACTCTTATCTTATCGAGTAAAGAGTAGGATTGCTTTTGCTGTTATTAATAAAAGCCGGTACTTTAATTAATTTTAACTACTACAGCTTGAAATTTAACTTAATCTAGATTATTGAATTTTACATTCTTGAGTGCCAATAAATCAAAGTTGAGGATTGGGTGACTGCACTCATTATTTTAGGTTCTTAATTACTGTAATTTCGATTTACGTGATAATAGTTTATGTTAATATTTATAAAAAATGTTTACTGCTATCAATTTCTTATTAAGTTTTTAAATATAATTAATAATACACCTGTGAACAACTATTTTTGTTTAACTTAAAACAATCTTGAAGTTAAAAAAATTCTTAAGTTTTCTTAACTTTTAATAAGGAAAGGTGTTCATTTTTGTTATAGGAAGGGTAGGGAGGAGAAAATATAGCTACACGCTTAAAGTTATTTAGTAAAATAAGTGTAAGCAGCTTAGACAAATAATAATTCCTGTTAATCGATAAATCTCCGAAACTAGATTTTAAATTTCTAGTTTGCAAGTACACTCCTTAACAAAAGATAAACCTTACGTAGATTTAAGTTATGTAAATAATAAAAAGAATTATGTTTTAAGCTTGCATTATCTTCAAGTTACTTTGTTATTCAGTTGTAAAACAAGTAAGGGAAGAGCATAATAGGACAAGGGTGTTCCTTTCTGATTAGTATTCCTCCTTATTTGTTCCTTCATGATAGGAGGCTCGAGAAATTAGTTTATAAGCCATCGCCGTCCCTGTTAATAAAACCCAGCAAAAAAATAAAGTTGGAAATTTAAAATTGCCTTTAATATGATATCTAGACGAAAAAAGTTTTTTCGTTAATGTCATTTTCTTCTTGCACCATGACTAGGTTGTGAGTGAGTGTTCGAACCTCATTCTACAGTCAAAAGAAGTTTACACGATTTTTTCTTAACAACTGGGATTTTTACAGGGAACTTTTATATACCGAAAAGTTGCACTGGTGGAGTCAAACTTACTACTAAGTTTGCTGCACGACAAGGCTCTACACTGCAGACAACTGTCAACTCCTGTGTCATACACTCGAAGACTATCACCCGTTTTTAATTTAAAATTGGACAAAAACGTTGAGTAATTAAAAACCACGGCAACCGTGTGTCCATTACTACCCCCCTGCTGGAGATTCTGTCGCCTCATTCGAAAGCTCACATTGAACATGGTTCACACTACAGCCCGTCCAGCTGGCTTACAAGCTAAAGGCGCTAATCGGTCAACGTCCCCTTCTTATTCTAGTGACCATGTTTTCGCGAGCGCTGAAGACAAACTTGCGCTTAATTGACTGGACAGGTGCTTTAAAAAAAGGTGTTAGTCCATTTTAACCATAAATGGAAGGTCAAGCTGCATCACATATTTATATCAGGCAGCAGCAACCGCTCCTCTATAAAATTTGTCAAAAAGATCCAAAATTTGGGGGCTTGCACTACTACCGCTCCTTCGTGAAAAAACAATAGCGGCCGAGAGGGATGAAGACAAAGCTACGCTTTTCGCTAATCTCCTCGCTGCTCACAATGTGCCTGCCGCTCACTTAACTGCCAATGATGCGCTCCCTCAGCTGAGCATACCCTATCCCGCCGTCTACGAGCCATTTAAGCTAGTTAATGTTGGCGAGATTCAGGAGATTGGCGAAGCGCTACTCAAAGGAAAGCACCTGGCGCCGATGGGATCATTAGTGAGATGCTGATAACAATGCCGTTAGCAGGCATGCATTGTCTGTACCACCTGGTAGAATCTGTGATGGTCCCTGGCGCCTTCAGATCAGATGGAAGAGGGCGACCGCTGTAATTATGCCAAAGACACTTAAACCGAGATCATCAACTAGCGATAACGTAGAAAAGGCATTTGGTCAAGTTTGGCATAAACATCTACTGGTCAAACTGCGTCTGTTATTTGTTCTTCATGGTCTTTAGAAACGTGCCAAAGACTATATCTTCTTGGTCGCGTCTTCAGCATGCGCGTGGAAATACACAGCCGCCGCTGCGATTTCTGACAGCAGGGGGTCCCTCAGGGATCAACTCTCTCCCCCCTTTTATTTGCAATTAATATGAGCGACGTGCTCTTGCCGTCAAATACAAACACACGAATCGCCCTCTACTCTAATGATACGACCGCTTACTCAGTTAACGAAGTCTCCTGCCTTTCTATGCAATCATCCACAGCACTATTTTGACGTCCTGTTGACTGGTGCAGTACTTGGAAAGTTGTTCGTGTCCCTGTGTTGGCGCTTTTAACCTTTGGTAGCGTGAAGATTCCGTGGTGTTTTCAAGCGAAATATTTGGGAGCATACTAGTTGCCTGTCGGTGAGGGGATTTATTTACGAGCATGGTCCGGGGCATGTTAGCGCCGCCCACGTGACTCGAGTAAGCACTAATTTTTGCTTGTTAAGGACAAGAAAATAGTGACACCTTTTCGGTTGAATGATATTTATATAATGTCTGCGAACACTCCTGTGTGAGAGCTCGGGTTTTTTGACTCGATTGAGCCCTAAGAATTGTCAATTATAAATAAACTCCGGTGTCACAATTAATTTATATAACCTGTTACTTCGTTTCTTTAAAATTTAGGCGAATTATTAATCATAAAAAAAATATTATTATTGCTATAAATTTCGAAATTGTTATAATTGTAATAGATAATTATGTCATTACCACTATTACCAATTTATTTTTACACATTGGATAACATATTACCGTAATAATAATTATTATTATTACTATTCTTATCTATATTTTAAAAAATTATTGAAAAGTAAAGACAAAGTGCGCTTTGTTTTTCCATATTAAGTATAATTATAGGAATTATAATATAGGGGTTGCTTCTTTATTTTTAGTATGGCACAAGTAGTGACTAAAATGAATAAAAATAAAATATATATTCGAGGTGAAAATAAATTTATTTAAAATTATTAGACAAAATGTACGATGTAAACGCTGCCTTTTTATACTACAACGCATTTTACCCAGAAAACGCAACTATAGTAATCAGGTATACTCCTGCGGGAGCTTCCTTTCTTTATTTATACATGGTCGGCATACTTGATAGAACCTTTTGACCAACATTTTTAAATAATAGCTGGTCAGATATTCGATTATATAACTTCGATGTAGTGTAAAATTGTTGATGTACCGGGATGCAACTGTAAACTTACAGAGTATATTATTGTGTACAGATTGTAGTGAGCTAATGCAGACATAGAAATGAGAGGGCTAATAAACATTAGGTTATTAGGGTTTCAGAAAAAAGTAGCGTATTTATGAAACTAGTATGCTTTTCCGGCTAATTAGAAGTAGAAAACACATCCTAACTACATAAATAACATTTTTTTTCTTTAGTTGAGTTTCTTACTGATCACTGCTTGAACTATTTTATTTTGCTTACACAAGCCATCGAAATGTTGCAATTTTGACTATCGGTGAGTTTCTGTACACACCCTTTTATTATACTCTTAAAAACTTATATAAATATATAGAGCTGCTACGTTAAGTTTTTTGTATCGTAAGAGATAATAGCGTGATAAACACACTCTAGGAGCTATTACATCCCCTTTCACCTGGTTTCAAAGCTTCATTAATGCAATTTTATGCCAACCAGTAATAATATTGCGTCATATAATTGTCTTCTTCGAAATTTAGTATTACAGGCCTTACGTGAACACACTCCATACTGTGTGACTAAAAATATTAGAAAACTAGCATTTATTACAATTTTTTAAAGATTGAAGATGATAACATTTTACAAAATCTGAGTTTGCTCTCTGAGCAGTAGACGATTCGCTTTTCACCTCTGGGCAACGTGTTAATGCCTTTAGCTGTGTGCCCGTTCACTCTATTCCATGGCGGGGATGGCTGCTAAAATCATTCACTAGTTTTAATTAAAACATTGGTTTTTTATAAAAGAACTTTTCTGGGTATAATTTAAACTGGACTGGTTAGGTTGGTTGATAAAATATGACACTAGAGAATAGTGAGGCTTCACCCTTAGCAGAAGTTGATGCTTTAAGTAACGAATTGGATTATATTAGTGATATTATCGAAAAGAAAGAAGTCAAAGAAAATGATATAGTTCCTTTTAAAGATACTTCACCCTGCGAAGAATTACATGGTAAAGCTGAGCCGCCAACTTCTCTCCAGAACATGGTCAATTCTTTTATTACAAGGTGAAAGCTTTTTAATGTCTATATATTTGTAAATTTATAAAGGTAAGCCCCTCCTTATCCTTTCTAGCTCGTCCTCGCACTTTTGAGCAGGCTATTAAAAAAGAATATACTTTTTGGAGTCAACAGCCTGTGGTTAAGCTTGGTAGGTACTTCTAGTTATTTTTTCTGATACTTAATAATTTAATCTTAGTATTTCTTTTAAGTATCTTTTAAAAGTTTACTAATTTATAATAATATTTTATATTTTTTGTAATATTTCTATACTTTATCAAATATTAATAAGACATTCTGCTGCTTTAGATCCTTTAGTTATTCAAAAGTTTTGTTAAAATAGTTTTTTGTGACTATCTAACGGTTGCTTAAAGACTAAGCCCTTAACAGCAAACTTTTGTTTTTTTATTTTAAATAAAATTAACTGTGTAACTTGTCTGCTTCGTCAGCTTTAACGTTTAGAACTTTTTTACAAAGTATAATATATATTATTAAGTACTTATGTTCAATTCCGTAGTAATGCTTATTAACTGTTAATAGGAGAAGTTGTAAGCACTTTTGGGCAAATTGAGGATAATAAAGGTGTAGTGTCTTCGCTGCCTATTAAAGTAAACGAGAACTTTGAATGGTCGGAACTAGATGTGCTGGATCCTCTACAGGTTAGCGGGCAAACAGTTTAAAACTGTTCCGATATACGTATATGTTTAGTTAAGATCAAGTTTTAAACTTGCTAGCTGGACGAGCTCCACTCGCTTCTCGCCGAGAATTATGTTGAAGACCTCGATAGAAAGTTCCGTCTTGACTACTCTAAACCCCTTTTGCTCTGGTCCCTTTCCTTCTTGTAATAAATTACTTAAATTATGGACTTTATACCGACAGGGCGCTGACACCACCTAATTGGAAGGCCCAGTGGCATGTAGGGCTCCGCGCCCGGACTGCTTCTAGGAAGCTCGTAGCCTTTATTTCAGCTGTTCCAGTGGTGTTAAGAGTTGGCCCTCAGTAACTCTTTTGGTTGTGCTACACTGTTTGGTATAGACGTTGCTCCACTCAGATCCAAAGTAAGTGCAGTGGAGATAAATTTTCTGTGCGTCACGAGAAAGATTCGGAAGAAGCAGGCGGCGGTTGTCCTTATAAAGGAAATCACGCGAAGAGTGCATCTCGAAGGCATTTTCGTAGCTGCGTACACCGCAGGGACGTACCTGCCCTCCCCCGTTAGCTCGTGCAGGTGTATAATATTGTTGTTATATTGACCTCACCATCGTTAACTTGTCTCGTTACAAGATATTGGCACCGCACTTTGAACTGTAGACTTATGGTAGAAGTTGGCTTTACGGATCTTCCGACTTACCAAACTCTCAAGGACATGATTCACATGTTTAGGCTCCCCGCAGTAAGAATTTGCCATTACATAGTTTTGTTTTTTTGTTGGCGATTCTGTTCGAATAGGCGACCTCGACTGTTGGGCTTCGTCCCTTGCAGGAGCACGATTGCAAGAAGGCGTTGAGTCTTTTGAGGGATTACTTGTTTCAAGTACTCTAACTTAATGATAAAATTTGCTTCTGGAGAAGGCTGACTGGTTTATAAGCGTACCACTGTTCATCCCGTTCAGACTCTAGATGACTTCAAGCACTGGTTCCTCCCCAGAGAGGGTGTAGTTTACAGCTATGTCGTGGAAGTTCGTCGACCTTTTTCCTGCACCTATACTTGAGTGCTGTATTAACCAATGTTTTACTTAACAAGAGCCCGAGGAGCAAAAGCATCACTGGTTTCATGAGTTTTTATATGCTGAATTCTAGAGTTATTGATCATCCAAAGCATAAAGAAATTCGAGCCGCATATATATATTATGTTGTTGCGGGAAAGAACAATTTGCTCGTTTTGATGAAGGATCTGCTGATCCTTGCCAAGAAGGTTTTCCCTGACCATCTTTTGCTCCTCTTTATTAATGTTTCTTGATTCTCTTAGTTGGACGTTGATGTGGTCAATGGCTTGGACGTTATGGATAACGGCAAGGTTTTCAGAGACCTCAAGTTTGGAAAAGGCGACGCAAATCTTCACTACTATTTGTACTATTTCTGTACAAATGCGCATTTGTTTTTGAGAACCGTATGCATAATAATAATAGATACAACTACCGCTCTCCTCCTACGCGCCCGGAAAACATTGGCCTCGTCTTTTTGTAAAAAAAGAGCTTCACTAGATAATAAAACCCATTTCCACCAGTATCACGGGAGTAAAATAGATTACTAAACAGTCAGTGGGGGGTATCAAAACAAAACTATTTTTATTCTTTCGTTTCTTTTCGAGTTTAAAAAGGGAAATATGTTATTCTTAAGCAGTAAAAAGAGGTCTTCTCTTGACTCTCTTTCGGTAAAAATTGTTTTTTTCTTAACATTCCTTATGCTGTCGATAACAATTAAGCGGCAGTCTGTTAGATCCAGCCCATCTTAATAAAAAGATATAAGTCGTTACTTTTCGCTTTAACTTTTTACTGTATATACTTTGCTCAAGCAGCCTTAGAAGGCGGTTGGGAGTCCCGACGGCGATGCGTACTTCACTGGACCGGAGAAGCTGGAGCTGTTCGTCCGTCTTGATGTGTCTGGGCGGTTTGGCAGTACGCTTGGGATTTAGTGCTGCGTACTATGCAAAGAAAAACCTGGCAAATAACTTGGCTATCTTGCACATCCCGTGAAACTCTTGAAGTTCCCTTTAAAATAGAAAGATTACTTTTAATATTAAAAGTGCGCAAGGAAAAGCTGTACTCGACTCTTTATGCTGTTTCACATTAATATATTAATAAAAAAAATGTGAAATCGAAAATATTATTATCTTGTAATAAATAGCATAACAAATAAGTTTTATTAAATAATTGTTTTACTTTATTAGTTCGATTGCTCTGTTTGCTCCTGAAACTATAATAAGTAAAAGTGGCGCTCCTGACTATATTATATTTTATTAACTTAAGAGTCAATTAAGTCTTATTATAACTAAGCTGATAGGAAAAAGTGAAGAAAATAACGCAATAGACAAGAAACCAAAAAGGAAGCTATAAATAAATCATAAGAAAAAGTTCATTATTATACAAGTCCCTTAAAAGTATGAGTTTCTAAAGATCTCGCGAACTCTTCTTTCCATTGAGGAAAAATAGTTTTAAGAAACAACACAAATTTTCTCTCTTTTCTTAATTTTTCAAAATTTGCTGGTAAAGTTAGCATATCCGACTCGCCTTTGAGGTAAAGAAGTTTAACAATATAATAGGCGTAAATTATTTAACTATTTACTGGTATAAAGCCTTTTTTATAAAAAAATAGTTATTGACAAACTGCATAATTGAAGATAGCTTTTCAAAATTTACTAGAACTAATAAAATATAGGTACGCCCTTACTAATTTTGACGTCAGCCATCTCTAAATCAGTGAGGTTTGAGTGAAAATTCTGAAACTCAGTCCATAAATATTGAAACTGATTTTTATTAATAAAAGATTCCATCTCTAAATCTCTTTTTTCTAGTTCTAACTGAAGTTTCTATATAAAAGTGAAATTATAGAATCCTGCAAGTAATAATTTGCGTAACCTTTTTCTTTAAGATTCGCAGCTCCTTTTTCTTTTCACTTCGAAGTTTTAAAGAGTTATTAGCTTCTCCGTTATCACATGCAGACTGAGGTTTCTACTACAAGTAAAATTCTTAACTTTGAAGTAATAAATTGTTAAACCAGTTTTTTAAGTTTTCTTAGTTCCTTTTTATTTTCACTTAGAAGCTTTGGAGAGTAATCAGTATTTCCACTGTCCCCTGCAGATGCTTTTCTTTTAATATATTTAACTTGAGGGAAACTCCTTTTCAGTTTTAAATTGGAAGGTAAGAAGTCATCTTCTATAGAGTCCCCACTGACATGCATTACTTTGTTAAAATAAGAGCTATTTAATCTTATTCAAAGCACAGAGCACCCAAAAAAAAAAAGTAAATTTTTTATAGTCGGCCGAAATAATTGTTTTTGCATCCGCAACTTCTTGAAGACGCCCAACTCGGCCACTTTTCCTCCTACCCCGAGCGTGCCACATGAGCCCAGGGTAAAGGTGTGGCCGTTGATTTCCAAATAGTGTTATAAAACTGTTAAATATATAAAATAACAGTTATTTGCCTAATATAATTAGCTTCGTTGGGTCTTTTTAAAAAATAGATTATGATCCTATGTAGCGGTTATCTATCTAGCGAGAATAATATCTTTAGGGGAATAAGACTCCTAGCGGTCTCCTTGTTTTCTACTATACGGCAGATCTTCCAGTCACCAAAAGCACTAGTATAGCACTTTTTGCTTATAATGTGATCTTATTTGCCTTTCTAAATCTCCTTCATTGCTTTCCACATGTCTTGATATATCAGTCAATAAGATATATGAGTGGTACGAAAGATGGGATATAAACATACCGTAAAAAAAACTAAGTGACTTTTCATCTTTAAACGAAAAAAACAAACCTTCCTTGGTGTTCTGAGGCAAATTACCTTGGAATGGTTATGGACTACAAACTGACAGGAATGGAAATATAGATTACATACTACGAGGGAGGAGTTATAAATTCCAGGTCTCATATAGATAAGGAGCCATTATACTAAATTTTATGAAGGCATTGCTTTATTTTACTCTTTGTAGGAGTACTTTAGAAATAATTCCATGTCAATATGTGTCGTTTATAGACTTGTCAGCAGCCCATCAAAATAATCGCCTCACGCAATTCTGCTGAAATAGAAAAGTTTGAAATTCGTGCGGTCATTAAATGTATACTTTTTAAAAAGGTCTAACTACAACCAAAATTATAAAGGAGCGTGGTCCAACGTTAGGGGGCTCTCCCCCATCGGATAAGATGGGTTAAATGATATGATGGGTTGCTGAATTTAAATTGGGTCGGACAAGCACCAATGACGAACCATGCAGTGACTACGCCAGAGGTGATAGAATAAATCTTAAAAATCTCCTTGACCGCCAGCAGAGTAAAAGTGAGGGAGATAGCGGAGAGCGTAAGTATTTTTTTAAAACTAGTTTTTAAAATTTAACATGCACAAGTTAAGCTTTGCGCAATATGAGTGCCGCCTTTGCTGACCTGACCAAAAACAATATCAAAAGGAAATTTTAACCTGTTAGGCGATCTATAAGCGCAATCCGACTGAAATTTCTACGTCGATTTATTACTTTAAATGAGACTTGGGACCATTACTATAATAAAATCAAACAGTTTGGAACAATCGACCGCAAAATGAGAACTAGCTCCAACGAAGGCAAAGATAGTTGCTTCAACAAGGTTATTGCGACTGTTTATGGATTGGACGTGGGATAATTTTTATTGATTTCCTTCAAAGGGAAAAATAATTAATGGGGAATATTACTCGAACTTATTAGAAAAATTATACGAAGAGATTAGATGGAAATGGGCATATTTAGCGAAAAAGAAAATACTGTTTCGCCATACTCGCCAGATTTAGCCCCATGCAACTTCCATCCTTTTTTAAATCTCTAAAAATGACTTGGTGAAAAGAGATTTGTGAAAATAATCATCGACGCTGTAAACGGGTATTATGAGAACCTCGATAGATTGACCTCTCAGTTTGGCATAACGGCCTTAGGACAACGTTGGAACAAGTGCATCGAGCTAAATGAAGATGGTGTTGGAAAATAAATCCAAATCAAACTAAGAATATTGTTGGTTTTCCTGTTCAGGCCCGGAATATACCACTTCACCCTCGTCTAAAAGGACAAAAGGCCCATACTCTTGCTTAAATCGAAAGAATAAATTTAATTTAAAAAGGTAACAGTATATAAAACAATATTTAATATATATAATAACATAGTTTGCAGTGCAGTTCCTAGCAAAAACGCTTTTTAAACTCCTTGCTGGAATCATTGTAAATTTAGCTCGGGAAAATTATGAAATACCCTTCTGTGACGACCTTGACAATGATGTGAGCGTTAGTTATCTTTAAAGCTCCTTTCTAGACAACTGTGTAGGTTAGACTCGTAGTAAGAGCACTGTGCATCGATTTAGGTGCATCAGATTGTGGTCTAAAATATTAAAAGTCTTCTTTTATCCCGATAGTACACTGTTTATGTAAGTAAGCGATGGTTCTTGCCTCCAGGTTTATGTGTCGTAAGGCGTACGAAAAAAATGGTGTCCACACGCATTACCTGTCTGCCTTTTCTGTCATTTCGCAGGGAAACCATTGGTGCCTTACAGCATGACAGTTGGATGCGGGTGCCATCCAGAGGTGGAAAAGAGTTCCAAGGCAGACTTAGCTCTGTTCATGCCACCCTCTATTGTCATAAGCCTAGGATTAGTGCTGCTATACCCGATCACTAACATAAAAACTTTATCGTTATAATAATACCCTCCCTAGCTAAGTTCTGGCTCAGGGTGGGGCTCTACCCAGGAAAATATTATTGCTTTACGCACCCTGTGTTGCTAAACGCTTCCTTATCGGTTAGAGCTTCAGTGGGCTATTTACCAAGTGTTTCGACCTTGACGCATGGTTTCTGTAATATCAGTTTTTATTCTTAGTGCTTACACGTAACCTACTGGCATCGCCTGCTGTGATTATCCTTTCTTAAAGAATGGACAAGCAGATCCTTCCTAGCCAACCGTGAATTAGTAAAATTAGCTAAGTTCTACCCTCACCAAGCCTTCTAGCAAGTAAGCTCAGGCAAAAGCTTTCGAAATAATACTAGCTGAACACTATTGTTCCGTTCCGAGGCTATTAGTGTAGGGGTTAGACTACTAATCGACTTTAGTATTAATTCATTCTAGTGCAAAATAGTATTTTTATAGTATCTGAGATAGCGGTACTTTAGTATGATATTCACTAAAATGCTGCTAACCAGTAATATTTATAGAGGCGAGCCCAGCTTTCTAGTATCTCATAGTACCAATAGTTTAGACACTGTTATCCTAAAGTGCCACTATCACAAGATGTGCCTACAAAAAAAAAAAGCGTATGTTTGATATATATCATAGTAATTAGGTTGCCTTGCCCCCTTATACCCCAGCACGTTCCACCCAGAAAAAGTGAACAAAAAATTAGATATTCTCCAGTGGGGGTCTGCATTTTCTATTAATATTAACTATCATGCTAATTAAATAAATGTACGTTACCAACCATATTAAGAAACAACTCAGTTATCGAAGCCAACAGTAATGGTTGTTTCTCATTAGTGGAACCAAAAGATAGGGGCTTAGTTCGCAACGAATTAACGCGTGTTCTACGCCCGTCTCGATGTCGAGCACGTGATGGCAAGCTTTTGCCGGCACAAGCTGCCTTAATGACTAACTTATTCTCTGAGTTTTCGTTCCCAGAGGTTCGCCCATTGATCCGGTGGAGCCTAGGTGTGTAGCTAATTAACCAGCTAAAGATATACTCTTATACCAGAACAATTATATATAAAAGCCATTTAATTCAGTTCAACTAGATTAGAAATTCCTAAATAAATTCATGTCCGAAGGTCGCCGTGGACGCGAGTACGAGACTTCGACCTTATAAAAGCACCGGTCAGCGTTGCTGACTGACCTCTCGCGAAGTTAAGTAGTGCTATTAGAAAGGCCTTAGGTCGCTGTTTTCAAAACGTTCAGAGCATATTTTTTATTGTTTACTTGAAAAAAATATTTTGGAAGAGTATCTTGATTTTTTTTTATCACTTAAACAGTAAACAGCTACTCTGGAGGGTATAAAAAAGTTCCGGCACAATATTTTTATAAAATATATTATTAGGACTACTCCAGCAGAACTATTATGTTTCAGTTTCAGTTTAAACAAATAACTACAATACTCCGCCTAACAAAGCATACATTATAAAGAAAAATATCTAAAATTAAAAGAGAAAAACTTTATTTTGCGGGACAACGATAAAGATTTCTTATTATTGCTGCGATAGATACTGAGCGCTGATGTTTTTACTACTGCGCCAATTCAGCTAATCGCTACACAACGCCTTGAGTTGTTCCGAATAATATTTTTTTATGTTGTTTCTCTTTAACTTTAGAGAGGCCGTAACAAATTCACTATCGGGAGTCCACTGCTCCGTGACGAGATGTATCTACAAAATTATTCGCTGAGTTAATAAATAAATAAGAGAAGGATATTAGGACTTTTGCAGGACGTTCAAAGCGCTCAAGATCATTACGAGCGCCGATTTTCGATAATTCTTCATATACTTTCTATGAAAAAATATAAGCGGCCCACAAAATAAAATTGTATAGGAAACAAACCTTCATAATTTGCTGGTTTTCACAAATTTCTTTAAAAGAGCCTTCAACTTTTAAAGAATGCGCGAGATTTTCCAGCTGATTTTGTTAGTAGCTTGAGTAGTATTCATAGTGTAAACGTAGAAAATAAATGTTCTTACTTCTTTTGAGTTTGGGACCACTAAAGCCACTGCATAACTTAACTGAGAATCAGCATAAACCATAATGTTCTATTAAAGAAATAATTGTTAAAAATATACATAAGGGGCAAAAATCGAAATTTATAATATTTAGTGTACTACCTCAATAAGAATGCTACAGAAATATAACTATCAAGATTGATAAGAATATATAATAAATACATCAACATAATGCGATCCCATTAGAATGGTCTCAACTTTTCCCAAGGAAAGATATTCGCCTGAAAGATAATAAACACTTAGAAGCTGCTGTGAAGATTAGTAGCTTTACTTTAAAAAAAAACTCTGATACGTTATAATATTCTTTAGAAAATTAAACATATATATACTGTTATAAAAGACGCAGAAGAAACAAAAATCTTCATTAAAAAAAGTTGATAAACAGTTATTATATAGAAACTTTTGAAAGGTCCTATTGTTAATGAAACTGAAAACGGTGCTATTATATACAATTTAAGACCGCTTTGAAAAAAAAGATTAAGTCGTACCCATTTGAAGCTTTACGATGTCTTTCTTTCTATCGATGATGGAGAGGCTTCCGTCACTGTTCCACCGCCCAATATCGCCGGTGTGAAACCAGCGCTTCCCGTCGCTTCATACAGAGTTACAAAGAGACGGCAAAGGCATAAAGAAACCGACTTGTGCGTAATAAAGGCCTCGTTAGTCAATGCATCGTTTTTAAAGTAGCCCATCGCAATATTGCTGCCGCTCACAATTACTTCTCCCTGCAATTAGTTTCATATGCAGCGATGCCCACAGCTTTTATGGGTGTGGATAATAACTCGTGAAAGGCCAACGTCAGGGTCCAGCACGTCCGAAGTTTTATAGCCTCCACCAGACAACTATAACAATTTTCAAAAAGTCGATCCGAATAAAAAAGAACCTCCTTCCTCGTAGTCGACAAGCTTGACCTCGCAGCAAGCAAAGGGGCCGCCAACCGCCCCTATTGCTTCGCCTTTAGAACAAAAAAAAAGAGGAGACTTATAGAGCCGACGTACCACAAGAGAGAGCATCCAACTGAGAAATCGTTACGCCCCCGCAGGTCTCTGTCAAGCCGTAGCCCTGAAGAGCAGCACCGTATGGTGAGGCGGGCGTGCTAATGTACTGAAGATATCCACTACCTGTCCGACTGGACAGATAACCACGCTGATAAAAGACTGAGTCTCCACCGACAACGGAGCGCCGCCGGAAAGCATCAGGCGTACCTCCCCTCCAAGCATTTTCTTAGCCTTACGGTGGAAAGAGTAAGAGTCCCACGGCAGGGCCAATAAGGGATGCTCAAGACGTACTCTGTTGAAAACTAAGAGGTCCCATAGCGAACTGTTGAGACCTTTCTTAATCCTTTCAAGTTTTGTATTGAACGCATAATCAAAAATAAAGCGAGCAGGAGGCGATAAACTTTCGAGGCGATCAGTAATTCCCTTCGCAACAAGAATAAGTAGAAAAAAGAAAGCTTCGAGTTAATAAAAAACAAACTTTCCTTATGCGATCTAAAATTGCGGGAACGGCGGCCATTAGAGTCGGTTTGAGTTCAGAAACATCTCCTTTCGTCCCTTTCTAGAAACGATCAAGCAAAAAACTCAGTACGCTATTAAAAAAATAAAACGCAGTAAGCGCACTCTTATTCGTGGAGAAACGTCCGACAGCGTGGTGGGTGTGCCATAGCCAATGCAAGCGCCGATCCCGAGGATTTTTATCTCACAAACCAACTCCAACACGTGGGCGAGCGGCAAGTAGCCAATATAGCGATCCTATTGAACACGGTACCACCAGTGAAATAAGATTACATTTTCTAATCGGAACGGAATAAATATAAACCAAAAATCATATGAATATTATTCAACTTTTTCAGTGAGGCGAGGAATCGACTCTTGAACACTTCCTATAAAGGCGAGCAAGTTCCTATGTGAGAGCATCACCCCCTTCGGCGCGCCTGTAGCACACAAGTAATACTAGTGAACATGAAAAAGAAAAAGCTGTGTAGAGAAAAGTACAGAAAAAGTTATTTCCACTAAACTGTATATAATAATAAAGTTTATATATTATCATTCTAACTGCTAACAGGTAATAAGTAAATTAATTGGAAGGGTCTGTACATAAAAATGTATACAATACAATGCAAAACATTAATTAGAGTCAATATCATTAACACATTTAAAAAGATTAGAAAAATTTAAAAAGCTATTAAAAATCAATATTTTGAGTTCTTCAAAGACTTAAAAACTTTTCGTAAATACAGTAACAACAATAATTATTTTTAACTCTTTTTGCATTACCAAATGATAGAAAAGGGAAATATATAGCTGACGAAGCCTTGACTAATATAACGCGTATAAAAGAACACGTGCCTGTTGTGCCAGATGTGTACATGATGAGCGCCAAGTTATCAGTTTCAGGGGCGAAGGGCTCGTGATCCACAAAGTGCTCGGCTCCTTTCCTGAGTACTTCGCTGAGGCTGACGAGTGCAATAGACTTCGAAAAGCTTTTTAATAAAGTAAATACGCGTGCAGTCTCTTTTAATTATATACGCATGCACGAGACTCATTTTTTCATAGGGACAGAAAATTGACCACGCAACATAATAAAATAAACCCATTTAGGTCATCTTGCGAGGGGGTGCCCGAATATATAATACACGTCAGCCCTTCGTAGCCCTCAACAACTTTCAGTAGGGTTTTTAACAAGGATGCATCCGTAATAATATGCGAGGCTTCTGTTTCATTCAGACCATACAGTAGTGCTCGGTGGCCTTGTAATATAATAATATGAATTATAATTATTACTATAATCATATAAGAAAAATGGACCTAGAGTAGCATAGAGTGTAACCACAGGAAAGCCGTAGGCGTAACAACCAAAAGACGCAATGATCCTTTATAATTAAAATTTGAAATTAAAAAAAAACTTACGAGAAATTTATAAGTTATTTAAAAAAGTTAAATAAATCAAGTAATGCGATAAATATATACAATAAGGTAGATGACAGTAGTAATTACCAAAGTGAAAATTATTTTAAAATTTTTCTAATACTTAAAACTAAATACTAACTTTTACAACAATAAAAAAAAAATGGAATACGTTAATAGTAACCTACAACTTTATTAAAAAAATAAACCTAACACATTTATAAGATTATTACTCTAGAGAGTTTCAAAACGTTAAAGTAATATGTTAAGTTTTATTTATTTTTAAAAGAAATTAAAGAGCTTCGATACTTTGGAATGTAAAAATATAAAAAGGAATAACAATTAAAAAAAATTATATCTCAAATGTAAAAATTACTTTTAAAGTCAACTCTTTAGTTTATTATCAAAATCAATTACTTGCAACTAAATAAGTATGTCGTATATTACTAGAATCTTCTCTGAACTTAATAACAAAGGTGACATCTTTAAAGCTTGTATATTTAATTTATTTCATTTTAAACAAATTTTAAATCTAAAAAAAACCACTCGGCCTTCGTCTCCATGAAAATTATGATTTTTTCTTTTTTTTTAAGTTCATAATACAAAAGTCCTAAAATATAAAGTTATTAAGATAACGTTATAGAAGATTGCTGTTAAACTAATAAAACCAGATCCAAATTCTAGGGACTTCCTTTTAACTTCTTTGTAAGTTAACCAATTATATTTACCAAAAGTTAATTTTTCAAAGTTCTTGTTGATTAATTATAAAAATATTTTTGTAATAGTTATAAAAGAGATAGTATTAACTTAACTTTTTTATGTTCTTCATTGAATTCATATTCCTTTTTAATGAGTGATCTTGTACCTAAGCAGCGACTATTAGGAAATTTATCGGCAGTTTTGCTAGTATAATATATATAATATTCTAAATTTTAATTTGAAAAGTAGATATTAACTATTTAAACGCACCTAAAATATTCAAATAAATTTTTCGCTTCCCCAGTATATTCATATAGCTTATTAACATACCGGGAGTGACGGTGTGCAGAATTATAATCTTTTTCGTCAATTGGTAAACTAAGCCTATTTTTAAAAGCTACAGATAAGCAAGTTTTGTAAATAACAACCGCTATGTAGTTTATAAACTAAAGGAAAACCCGTTTCCTGCTCTTTAGCCATAACAAAAAAGGCTAATAGTCTCTTCAAGAACTGCCATACAGCCTGGAGAAAGACAAACATTAATAATAAGACTTGAAAAGACTTTTAGTTTAACGTTGCAAAGGTTTTGGAGGTGTAAAGGCTTTATTACAAGAGATTACGAAGTTTGGGAATATTCGAGAGAAGTATTTCTTCCGCATTATTCAAACGATGCCTTTTCAAGTTGTACTTAAACCATTCGTGTGTTCACATACTAAAAACTCCATTACCAAATTAAGAAACTATTTCTGTTGACTTAAAAATACGTATTGCCAAATACAAATAGATATTTAATTTTCAGTGCTATAGCTCTTTCCTTTCTTATAAAATATACACTTTTGTGTTTTATATTATAATATCTTTTTTCGTTAATAATAATAATTTATTTATATTTGAATTTATTTTTGACTTAAAATGCAAAATGTTAAATAAATAAAAATTAGATTTTATAATTTTAGTCCGGGTCCTTTCCTTTTTAATAAAAAAATATATTGTTACTATTTACACTTTATTGTTTTTATATTTAACATAATATTAGTAATAAATTTCGAAAAGTAAATTTATATAAAAGAAACCTTCAAAATCTATTTTATTTAATTGGTTGGTAAAATAGAATTTTCTTGCGCCAGCTTTTTGATTGGCAAGAAGAGTGGCAGCAACACTTAGAAAACTAACTGAACTTACTAACAAAAGCACGTTTTACTTTAAAAAGAGGAATTAATTTTATAATGAAAAATTGAAATTTTTTTTTTTTGACACTCAATTATGTGTTAGTTCGTCTCCATAAATTTTCTTTTGGAATGCATACTTATTTTTACCTTTTTAAAAAGATACTTAAACGTGGACTAACGTTAAGCAATACAATGCATAGCTGGAAAAAATGGGGTATCTAAATAGAGGCACAGCAAATATTTGATCAAAGTAATTGGGGACAAATGCAGATTTACATATGTAATATCTAGAGAAGGGCTGATAATTACTTTTATTTTTTATAACGAGCAATTAATATGTATAACTTGTTTTAAAAGTGTTTCATTTAAAGTCAGTAACGTTACTTTTTGAAAATAATATGGTAATGAAAGAATAATCTAATTTATTTGAAATATTGTATAACTTCATTAGTTATAAAACAAACTAAAGAAAGTAGAACGAACAAAGGTAATTAGAATAGAGAAGAACAGAAAAAAAGTGCACTCAAACCCTTAAAAAGAATAAGCACAATTTGGGCTTTCCCTTAACCGTGGGGGCGGGGTTAAAGATAGGCACATGCATGCGCATTCAACTAAAATGAGAGGGGTAGGGCTAATTAATGAAAGTTATGCTCAATTTAATTTATCATTTTTTCTGTTTTTTCCCTTTTCCTGACCGATGGCAGAATTTTTTAATCTTAGAAGCTGGTCGATATAGTCATATATATATTTATTAGAATGTATATTTATAAAATTGTTTGGTCAGATGGTAGACTATTAAATGAAAGAAAGAAGGTTATGTACGTTACTAATATTTGATATAAATCTTATACACTAACACTCAAGGAAGAATGGACAACGGGTAAAAGTTGATAACCACTTTAATAATTGGTGTAATTTATTCAAGCCAAATGTCTCAGACAAAACATATAACAGCAAAATTTTATTTTTAAGACAACGTACAACGCGAATATTTTAAATTTTAGTCTCATCAAAAAATCCCCCTCTGGATGCAATTACCTCACGCATTATTCTCGACGTCCTTGCCGCCAATATTATTAACGTTTCCTGCGTATATTGTTTCACTCTCTTCAAAGTACCCAACACATGTTTTCCTTTTATGTCACACACTTTGCCGTCCGAAATTTGGGGGAGGGGCCGATCCTAGCAAAAAATTTGACCAGATCTCCGCCGCCGGTAGAAGAGAAATAATCCCATCTCTGTTGAACTACACATGTTTGTCCTTGTTTCACTGTACAAAATTTCTACGTTTTTGGCCAAAGGACTTCGTATTTGGGCTTGTCAATCCACATCACGCTTTTCCAGTCTTTTAGTGTTCAATTTTCATGTGTTCTGGCCCACTGAAGAAGTCTTGTTTTGCCCTTTCATAGAAGTAGTGGTTTCCATTTAGCACACCGACCGTGTAAATTGGCTTTTACGGTACGGATGGAAACTTCGCGTTGACGCCCCCTATTACTAATCCTGTGGTAACTTTAGGAGCTGTATTGGCGTCATTTACGCTTACTTATCATTTTGATTCTTGGTCGTCGGTTGCCGAGGTGTTTTGAAATGGACAGGGCGCTTGAGGTCTTTGAAATTTCCCCGTTATTAAAACCGAGAAACTGTTAGATAAACGGTAATTTTTTTCAGCACACTTTTTCGACGGTGTGCCCCACTGAAAACCCTTGCCAGTGTAGAGTCACAATATCTGAACGTTTTGCGATACCCATGAACCTTTCACGAGTCTATTTAAATGAACAGTTAACCTATTAGTGCTCCTGTTAATACACTACTCGAAATAAAAAACTATTCGCTTGGGTTTATGCGCCGTTTGCAAGTAAAAAAGATTAAATATGAATGGGGCTATAAAATGCGCGTTAACTGCAAGAAGTGCTTACAATACGCATATCTTAAATTAAGCCTACAAAGTATTTAAATGTAAAGCAGAGGTTTCTTTTACTATTTATTAGGCGCGCCTAATTATTTTTGCGAAGATTCGAATTGAAAATCTTAATCGCACTATACTTCTCAAAGTTGCCTTTAAAGTTACTTTAAAATAGTGTGTTAAGGTTATTGAGGCTTTTAAAAAACGAACTCTTAAGAAAAACGATTATTAAGAGTGTTATCTATAAAGAGAAATGGAAAAGAAACATAAAGACTTTTAAACCTAAATAAACATACAGGAATAAACTGTTGCAAAAACTTAGATTAAAAACACTCGAAAGCGAGAGTGGGCGAAAAGAAGCGTGAACAAATAGTTTTAGTGTAATTAATCTTAGAACACGGCACCAGCTACCGAGAAAGTATGCTAAATATCTGTCTTAGCAGAGTTATAATATATTTCAAATAGGTTTTTATTTTTTTTTACATTCAAGTTCTAAAGAGCCTCCCTTTTTTATAACAGAAATGACCTGTCATGATATTAGCTGTGATATATGCGTTTTTGATCAATAAATCTTTTTATGTTGTATAATTCAATATTTGCACGTTGAATAAGGGCTAGTGGTACATGGTTATCTTCAAATATATATTTAATCAAACAGGTTTAATAAATTTTAGAACTCGTATATTATTAACTATTTAAAAAATGTAATACATTATATAATAGGTTACAAAATTTTATGATATAGAGTTATTTAAACTTAATAGCACTGTAATACTTTGTTTGGTAACTCGACCGCCGAGTAGTACAACCCCCGCCACCAAACAAACAACATTAATTAGAGAGTCCGGTGCACACATAGTCCCACATAGTTAAACCTACAGTAGTCGCAGTAGGTCTCACAGACCCCTTGAGTTTAAAATGTTTTACTTTTATTTAAATAAAATCTACAGTTAATTTTTAAACATTTGTTGTTGGCACTCTAAACTTTAACCTATCTATTTGAAAATTTAAAAAACAGAATAATTTCAAATCTGTGAGGCCCCCTGCGACTAATGTAAGATTAGTAGTAGCGTGCTCTTAAACGTTTATTTCTTACGGCATATAACTAAAATTAAGTTTTACAGCTTTCCAATTTCTAATTCCTTTAAGTCCTAAACATTAATATTTTTTTTTTGCCACAAAATCTGTTTTAACAGGTAAACTTGATATTCCAGATGCAAAACGTAAGAGCTAAAAATTATTAGAATTAATTTATTTAAAAATTTAAAAGTGTTAATATAAGTTCTAGTTGGAGATAATTAATATTCACCTCTTGTATAACGAAGACTCTTCCACAAGGCTGGTACTTTGCTCTGCAGCCCATAAAGTGGATTATCTTGCGGTTCGACTTCAAAGGCAGTTGTATTATGTAAAAAGCCCTTGAGAGCTGAATTATTTTTAATATTCAGATACCTATGTACTGTTTAAAATATGGCAAACTAACAACATTCAATTTTTTAATTCTGAAATACTATAGGATTCTGCTTTAAAATCCGAAAAAGAAATTAAAAATTTTAGAGCGTCCCAAATTTTTATTTAAAAGCCATGTCTGGTTTTTATTATTATGGTTGCACGGCCTTTATAGATTAAATTGCGATGCAAATTTAGAAGGCAGTGGTGCTCTTTACAAAAAGTCCGGCTGCGTACTTTTTAAAGGTTGAAGTCGTGTTTATAGGGAACAGCTTTTATCCTGGCAAGCCATCCTATATAACCATTGGAAAGAATGTTAGATCCCGCTCCATTAAGCCCCAACTTGGTAGAACTCTCATTCTCTAACAATTATTTTAAAAGGCAGTCCTGCCTTTAGCGTTCAAATCTATTTATAATAGAAATTAAATTTCTGTGATTACCTCTGGCCAAAACCTAGCATATTCCTTTCTTGGCTCCCGCCAACTACGGTCGGTTTTCTTACGCCCTAACCGCTAATTTTGAATGTTTCACTATAAGATTTTGCCCTATTGTTTGTATGACATCTAGATAAATATATATAAGACATGATTTCTTCATATTAACCCCCGCAGCCTTTCGGCAACAAGGAGTCCGTTGGTCCTAAATTTTTTTATTTTATTCTATAAAGAATTCGAGTAATCTCAAAAGCTAAAAAGGTGAAGCGTAGAAGTGATTAATTCTTTACAGTAATTTCTCCTGGAAAAGAGAAGCAAATTCCGTCACACCTTAAATGTTAGTCAGAAAGTTTAAAACTCAAAAAGCATGCAATAAAGTAACCCCCTTCCAAAAAACCCCATAAAATTGTTTCCTTCGCCCAAGTATATCCCGCATATCCTGGACAACTTATTCCAAGAGTCATTCCTTTTACGGCTACATAGCCAAAACCTATTGGCTTATTTGTAATATTAAGCTAAGGTCAAAAAATTATTATATGGGTAGGTTCTGTACCTAAATATCCAATCCTGTAACTATCTTTCTCTAAAGTGAAAATCTTATTCCTCCACAGCCTCCCCTTGCACTTTTGGAAAAGCTTCTACGTTTTTAATTACAACAGGAGTGTTCGTCTAATTAAAACTTTAAGCATTGTCTTCAGCTTAATAGCAGGTCGCCTTCTGTTTTAATCCTCACTTAGTTTTTCTCACCTTTAGTTCTGTAAAAATAGGTATTAGCATTCAAAACTTTGTCTTAAAATATCTTAACCCCTAAAGGAAATTGTTGTAAGCTATATAGCCCAAAGGCAGCCGATTTTAATGCAAGAGCGAAGCTATAAAATCTACTATTCCAGTATAAAGAATACACTCACCATGCTCAATTCTAGGAAGCTTACAGAGCGTTTGAAACTATTAAACTGGCAAAAGCCAGAGCCTTTATTATTCGCTCCTTGTTTCATGGTAATAGTAATACAGTAAGATAGTTAAAAAATAAAATAAATTATAATTACTGTTAATTTATTTTATTTGTTATTTACAAAAAAAAAATTGGTTTAAAACACTAATGACAGATTTCAGCATCTTTTTTTCGTTAGTTTGACGCTTTCTTCTCGATGATCTCAACCATTGTGAATAAGAACCAAATAACAACTTTCATAATAAAAAATGTACACTAGAAAAGTTGTAGAGTAAAAAAAAGTTAGTTAAAGGCTATATTATAAACTGGAAGGACAAAGCGGGCCGTCGGTTCTTTGGCGCAGTAGGTAGCGCATGAGTCTCATAATCTCAAGGTCGCGGGTTCGATCCCCGCAGGAACCACTAAAAAATGGAGCCGCGTTCGACCCCCTTTTTTTTCATCTTTTAAATTAGTTTTAGCTTTAAAGTTTTACTTTCTACTATGATGTAATCTAGTCTCTGGATTAATGGCTTCCGAGTAGACATTTTATATAATCTTAGCTTTAATATATCTTCCAGTAGGTACCTTAATACTATTTTATTATAGTTTTTTTACTTCTTTATTTAACGACTAGGATTCTCTACGGCATGATGAGTAGGAGAAAATCCACTTCTCTTTCGGTATAACATCTGTTAATAACTTTACTAATTAAAAGTTTTTTCTTTTAAATCCTTCTTACTTTTATGCTAATGTTGTAGGATTTTTATAAAATTACTTCTCCAAAAAGATTTTTGGAAAGGTATTCTAAACACTTCATTTTGAGTACCCGCCTTTAATAAAGTTTTAAAATTGCATTAAGTAATTTGGCATTAACTAAAATTCAAGCTTTTTTTTCAAGTAAGTATATATTAATAATATCACGAAAACATATAATGTAGGAGAAAGAGATTAAGTTATGCTTCTTTAGTGGACTATAAAAAAACGAAAACAGCACGATTTGGTATAAGCACTTTTTAAAAAAAATATTACTCTTTTAAAAAACTTTTAGGTGTACTACTTTTTTTTAGCGTAGCGAAGATAATAAGTTTTTAATTTTTAATTTTTTGTTTCTTTACTATATAATTAAAGTGTCCCTTTTTCTTTTTCAATTTCCATTATGCCCAGGTATTATTAGAAGAGCCCGTGGGCGGCCTCCAAAGAGGCCAAAATTAAGTGAAACTACAGGCCGTCACTTTTGTTATAATTCTTCTGGTACGTTTTTTTAGTTTTTCCTTGTTTATTGCTTACGCACTAATCCAGAACCTAAAAAAAAGCAACCAAATTACAGAGCTGGAAAAGGTTGCGAAACGAATCGTGTTGTTATGGTCACTCCTGTAGGTTTTTGTTTCTTTTGAAGTGCCCTGCTAAATTCGTGATTCATTAAGAGTGGACCGTTTAGACCCTCGCAGGAAGATCTTATTTTATTTCGAAAAGTCTACGACAATGAAAAGGTTTTTATTACCTTTACTACTACTATTCTTATTTTAAGAAGAAATGTTATAGAAACGAATTCCCCAGGATTTACCTGGAAGGGTAAAGGAGATTGAGTTTGGCAAGTTTCGAATTGAAACTTGGTAGTACCGATCTTTTTCTCTGTAATGCTGTTCCCCCCATAGCCCCTCGCAGGTTTTCTTCTCCGTATCCGGAGGAGTACGCTCGCTTGCCGAAGCTTTATCTCTGCGAGTTCTGCCTGCGGTACATGAAGAGCCGCCCCGTCCTCCAGAACCACATGGTTCACTCGATGTTTCTGAGTGACCTCTCTTCCTTAAATACCTCATTCAAAGAGGAAATGCGAACTGTCGCATCCGCCTGGCGATGAGATCTACAGGAAGGACACCAGCTCGATCTTTGAGGTGGATGGGAAAAAAAACAAAGTTCCGCAGCATAGTGGCGCTGCCGACTTAATTTAATTCCATTTATGAAGGTGTATTGCCAGAATTTATGCCTCATTGCCAAGTTATTTTTGGATCACAAAACGCTGTATTACGACGTGGAACCCTTTCTGTTCTACGTGATGGTACTTCCCCCTTCCTCGTCTGCTCCTGGCGCGGGGGCTCTACCCTCTACTTCACAGACTACGTATGACGCCTACGGTCACCACATGGTCGGCTACTTTTCCAAGGTCCCCAGAGTACTCTATATTTTTACTATAGTTAACCTGCCATCCCGGTTGCGCAGGAAAAAAGCTCTTTTCTAAACTATAATGTATCTTGCATTCTGACTTTGCCGCAGTACCAAAGGCAGGGCTACGGGAAAATGCTTATCGAATTTAGTTTCGGTTTCTTTCCCATTGTATGTTATTATTACTAAAACTGCTGAACTGAGGTTACCTACTCAGCAGGAAGGAGAACCGGCTCGGCACTCCTGAGAAGCCCTTATCCGACTTGGGTTTAAGCTTTCCCCCTTACTCGTGCTCTATTTTTTGAGGAGTTCTTGCCTTTAGGGTCCCTCAGTTATATGAGTTATTGGAGGACGTCTATATTAAACTTTATAGCCAAAAGGGATTTTGAAAAAGAGTCATTTTCTATTCAAGGTCTTATTTCGCTTGAGCCCCTCGGGAGGTCTCAATCTTTTTAAAAAAGATATATGCGAGGGCACCGGGTTTGCTTCCCAGGACGTTGTTTCTACACTGCAAGACCTCAACATGCTGACCGTACGCGACTCTGTGCTGGTTTTAACGGTCGATCGAGTCGCTTTACAGGATTACATTGAGAGACGCCAAGTGGTAGCACTACTGAAGCTTTCATTAACGAAATCGTTACCGATTACTTGTCAGGAACCTCTTATTGACCCAAAAAGGCTGCGCTGGGCCCCTTTTGTCGGAACATGACAATAAACTTTTTTATTTGGACTAGTGCCCGCCTATCCCTTATGCCCCTTCTTTCGCCTTCTCTCCGCGCGTGCTCCCTTTAGAATAAAAATGTCGCTGGGCTTCTTCTTCTTTCGGGTCGGAGGTCCTGCTAGGCGAGACCCCAGCGGTTTGCCTTTCCAAGAGCGGAGAGGCCGTCCACCCTTTCCTTTGTGCTTACCCCCGTGGTGATGGTCATTGGCATTTTTAGCGCATCCACGAGTAATAGGGCGCCTTCCTAGCCATCTGTTTTTGTATGATAAGCACCGAAAACTTGTAAGGAGCAAAAGCGAGTGTAATAAGGCCTTGAACATCCAGCTTTGCCCAGACTTCTCAAGTGATGGTTGATATTAGATGCCCGGCCAATAGTGGCCATGCAGTCACCCAGAAACCATCGTTGTTCCAAAGAAGGAAGACGAAGAAGCACTTTTGTGACGCCCCTTTGATCTGAAAATATCGCCAACAGGAGCCACTATCGCACTTGTTAGCGGTACAGAAAAGTACCAGTTCTAGAGTCCAGTACAAGTGCGGAGGTTCCAGCGCTCCGCACTATTTGGCCACCTCGATTGGGGTACAGGTCAACGTTAAATATTTCTACACCTGAGCTGGCAAAAGTCTTGAAGATGAACAGGAATAAATCTAAGAGAACGCACCGGTGGGGATATATTTGAGAGGGACATTGTTGCCGACTTCGATGCGCGCGTGGGGGCCGCATACGATTTTCGTGCCCACGTCAAGGCTGTGAGGCAGTAGAGCGTAACGCAGCGTACCCGGCGCTGAAGGGGACGGAAGCGACTTAAGTTCCTGAGCGTACTGGCGGGCCTTGACTAGTTCAGACAGCCGCCGAACTATGGCATCGCTGCAGCTTCCAGAGGACAAGGGCGAAAGGTCGAGCTTGTGAAACAGAGGCGGTGGTCGTAACGGATCTCCCAAGTATGTGGTATACTGCTTCCTACCCTGAAAATCGTTGAGGGGGACTGCTACATGTGGATCCTGGGATTGCTTATTTAAGTCTTGATTGTTGCACTCATTCTGCAGGTCGTAAAGCTTTTGGTTTTCTTCTCTTGAAAATTTGTATTCTTGGAGCTCGAATGACGTAGAAAGTCGTTTAGCTCCGAGCTCACCCTACAGGCGATAAAATTAAGAGGTGATGTAAGTCGTTCTCCCAAATCTTACCGTGGCTTTAACAAGGGCAATACGGGTGGAGCGATTGGGATCGTACTCCAGCCGCACCACTTCAAATTCTCCAAAAAGTTCTTTTCTTTTAAAGGATATTAACCGGTACAACCTCTTCGCGCCACCCCCTATAAATAGGGTTTATAAGTATAAAACTGTTTTTCGTCTTACTAGCTGTTTACTTTACTGTTAACAATGAATGAACCAAAATAATATGTAGTCGGTGTTACAAGGCACCTCTCCCACGGACAGTGATACGGCCTGTTTTTCTGCATCGCCCACTGATTCTTCTCTTCCCCTTAGTTAACTTAATCACGGGTCTACCTCTATGAAGACCTTCCCTGGAAGTTAAAACGCGAAACCTTAAACCTACAACCGCGTAAGAAACGTAGTTTTCTTTAAACTATTAAAATTCTACCGTGTGTTTTAGGCTTAAATTTTTTCATTTCTGTGCTCAGAGCAAAAGTAGCGCGAGAGCTTCATGTATATTATTATTGGTAAAAAAAAAAAAAAATTAAAAAATTTTACCTGTTGAAAAATCTCTTGGTATATTTTTCAATACCTTTCATACAAGAGGAAAGGTCTTGGGAATATGAGTATTTAAGGCGGGTAGAAAACAAGCTATGGCCAGCAGTTTTAAAGGGAAGTAAGGCGGGGTTAGGTGGAATTACCGTAGTGCTCCCGAACTCCGAAGACGGATAATATTCATAGGCGCAAGCTGGCTGAGGCTAGAATATATCCTTAATAGTTTATACCGCTGGCCGAGAGCGGAACGAAAAAAACCAATACTACCTATGCGCCGTTACTACCAACAAAAGGCTACGTGGGGGGTCCAGCAAATTTAACCAGGTTCCTAGCAATATGTTTATTCATTAATGATTTTTCTTGTGCTCGATCGAATTAAAAACTTCGAATACTCGGGCTCTCATTTAGGTGTAATCACAGCAAAAGTACACTCCAATCGACAATTTCTTTAAAATTTTTCATTTGCGAAACATAAAAAAACGCTTTAAGTGCGTCGCGTGGGCGCCGATAACGCGCTCCTCTCCAAGGCTCTTAAATTAGAGCGCTCATTCGCAGGGCTGTTAGCTATTAGTATGTTGGCTAGTCGGTCGTAAAGGCAACGGCATTTCGTCGAAAGACGGCATTTAATGAGTTTAACTGGAGAACCCGGTAAAGAGCTTCATTTCGTTATCGTAAGAACTCGGAAACAACAATTTTCATTTGGTAAATGTAAGGTAGGTTCCACGTGCCTATATTGTTTAATATTATACCACTTCCCGAACAGGTGGACGCCCCTTTCTAGTAGGGAGAAACCGTGTTATTGAGTAATTAAAAAAAATTTTTTTTTTTTAAAATATTAGTTTAATGATATTAAAAAATTTCAGTAAATTAAGTTTATGATTTATACCCCATAATGAGCTTTTTAATCTACCTTTTAAAATTTACAATTTTGACTATTTTTACAATTCACGTAGTAACATAAGCAAAGGCCTTATCGCTCACAAACCAAATTCGGATTAAATTCTTAATGAAGTTGTGCTCCTGTATGTGTATCTACCTTGCTTATTTCTGATCTTTATTAATAAAAACTTGCGCAATTTCAGATGTTATGCACCTCTTACCCTTTAAAACCTCCCGTCCTTCGATGGGCGGGGCACTTTGTTTTTACTTTTTCTGTATATAATGCTTTTATGAACAATTTTTAAGTCCTCTCACTTCTAAATGAAGCTCAAGCAGTTTAAGTTATTCCCATAACAAATGTAGCACTCCTTTGCGATAAGTAGACAAAGAAAATAACAAGACGAGGTTTTGTGTTTTTTTGCTCATCATGCCACTTGCACCTCTATGCAACTAACTATAGGTTTAAGGGGTACATGGTGTTTACAGTATTATTTGTTAAGGAGTACATACTCTTTGAACCCTCGCATTTTGTGCAACAGATATGGGTTATTAAGAAAAGAGTAATAAATGGAAGGTATAGTAACAAGTTGCCAAGAAGACTTTAATACAACTCACACTAGCTAAAGTCTCTTGAGGAGCATCCCTTTATAAGAGGAGCCTATTTTAGATTCAATGTGAATTAACCTATTGACATAAGCAGTTAAGTTTTTATTTCGAATGAGTTAATGGAGGGAAGTTAGACTGCTGGATGGCACTCCTTAAGGAATTTCGCATCAGCATGACCCTTTCCAACTTTTATAATTAGAGTTTGATATGTAATCTATATATGCTTAGTAAAAAACTTTACCTCTCCCAGAGATTTAACAAAAACGGAAGCTCGTAGCTTTATTGATGCGTCAAAATTCTCGTCTGATGAAAAGTTGATACATATTGCACCTTCTTTTATTAACTTCTGGTGAATCTGCCATTTTATAAATAAGAGGACTGATTTGTCAACAATAACATTATTCATGAAAAGTTCTGCCTTATAGCTTTTAGATGGGACTCCCGAAATAATAATATCTGCATTATTAAGACATTCTTCAAAAGACATTCGTGCTGATATCAACTATCATAAAATGTTTAGCTCGTTTACTAGAGGACACTTTAATAATTAAAGCAAGCCTTAAACTTGGGGAATTTCAATCCAGGCCCGCGAGACATTGCCTAGTATTGATTAATAACATTTTTTTATTATTAAAAAAGGATTAAAGTCTTTATTTTTTGCATAGTAAAACATAGAACCTGGCAACTACATACTTTATTTAAAAATACTAATAAACCTGAATGTCGGATATGTCAACGGAATGCACGCAAGCACCGTCATTAGCGAGTAAGGCAGCTAAAGGTCGTCCAACGCGTTCACTTAGGCAGGTAACACGAGAATTGAGCAAAAACGGAAGAAAAACTTTTAAGAAAGGTATACATACCTTCTGTTGATGACGACAATAGCCTTTCCATATAATCGATTTCCTTTTTCCAACCTTTTATCGTACGCCCCCAAATGTTTTAAAGTCTATTACACAGACTCTATCAACCAGTAAAAGAAAGACGGATGACATTGTTAACTTTCATAATGGCCAAAGGGGTGCATGGAAGGATTGGTTTGTGACCATTGGATGTAGTCCGAATATTATGAAATATGTTATACCTTGCAGTTCGTTTAAAAAGAATTAACTGATTAGTAGTTTGTATATTTCTAACTTTTATTATAAAAATTGGTTTTAACTTCTAAATAAATGTTCATATAATTTTTAAAATTTTTTGTGGTTCTAACAATTAAAAGGGGAAATAATGCCTCGCGGTGTCATATGATAATGTTAGCTTAAGACAACCACATTATTCGTAGATACTATAAACATGACGAATCTTTCCACTAAAATGAAGCTATGGGACGGGATTGATAACCATACCCATTCCATAAAAATAGTATTGCCAGTAAAATATTTTTTATTGGCAAGCATGAGAAAACCACACATAGTACCTTGTTCTATGGCACAGCCCTTCAACATCTTTTTCAGGAAGTATAACATTTTTTAAATATTCATCCTAATATTTACAGTAACAACAACCATTGTAGCTTGAAGAAAGTTTTAAAAACCTGTCTATTTCCAAAAACAGGGTAATTGATTATAATTCCTGTGATAGCCTCAATATAAAGTTATTAATGGAAGCAATATTAGTTTTATATTCTTTGATTAATAAAAGGTTATGTTTTAAAAGAATAAGTTGGCCGTTTCACATTTATAAGGATCTGATGGTAATAATAGGTTTTTAACCTTTGTTTATTACCAGTAATTAGATGTGTATGTAAGACTAAAGATTATCGAATTGTGAGAGTTTCCGAAAGCAAGGGTTTTTTTCAAAGCTTTTTGTATGAATTTTTGTAATAAAAATAATACAACTTTGTGTGGCATCTTCGAAAAAGATAATGGAAAAACATACTTTCTTAATTTTTTTCGAAAGCATATATACAAAGTGGTATCTAATAAGGTTTCTCTAGGATTTTTTGCAACTAAATAGGGTTTATAAATTCTCCAAAATATTATGACCGCCGTTTATATTTTGTTGTCTTTTCATTTAAGAAGCAGTATGTAGCTCCCGTGAGCAATTAGCAATTGTATACTTAAGTAAGTTTAGTAGCTTCTACTATATTAGATTTCTGCTTAAATAAAAAAAAAGTCTGAATTGGTAGAGGGGAAACCGTCATATAACTGCATTAAAATTTTGTAAACTAAGACAGCAAAAAATTATAAGGCAGTTACCTCGTCTTCATTAGCTTTAAGTACCTCCTCCTCAAGATCGTATTTAGAAACTTGAGAAAGCTCAAAAGATATACCTTTTCATGTAGATAAGATAAGTTAATGCTATGTTCTAAATAAATTATAATTATGAAGAGATAAATAAATAATCTAAATTAACTTAAAAACAAACCTGTCTTTAAGCAAGCACGCTTTATTGATTCAGCAATTCTTATCTTGCCCTCATCGGGATTTGCAAAAAAGGCCACTATTGCTGGCTTTTTTTTTAACCCGGAAATAACATCTCTTACTTTATTGCTGTGATACAAAGAAAACTTTAATTTAATTCTGTTAGGAGTATTGGTCACGCTTTTAATTAATTATATTTACCTGTAATAATTAGAGATGCCTGTAGGATCGAATTCTTTACAATTGCCCATTTTTAAATCACTAAAAAACTTTATCTTCCTTTACTTTTAACTTTTTACAAATGACATTACCTTCTTTATATAACTAAATTTAATGAGTACTTAGACAAGATAATTACACATATAGGTTCATACATTGCTAAAAAGGCAACAACTTAATTTGGAAAGCTATATCCAATATTCATTGATTTTTATATACTTTAATGCCTACTCTTTGGTATTAAAGGCCGAGATGAATGTTTCAGTATGCAGAACAGGCCAATTAACGCATGTTGGGTTACAAGCTTCCATAAAAGTCTTCTCAAGTCCCAAAAAGGGCGCAAGATTGTTTTCAGTTTTATTTATATAGGTATATTATCATCAATAATAAATAAGCTTGCTTAGTTTTTGCAGTGGTTTTTTTGTCATTTGTTTACAGTTTTGAGGGCCCAAGTCTTAGGACTGCAAGGGTCATAAAGAAGTTTAAATAGCAATTGCTTTGGGCTCTCGAGCTAAAGTTGGAAGAAGTTTTTAATATGATATAACATAAATATCTTTTGTTAAAGTAACCACCAACCATGTCGCCTTGTTGAGCTTAGTTAAATGAAACTACCTCTAACCGCATTAATAAACCACAAGGATAAGAACCCAATGACCATATATATAGAAGCTGGGAGGTTTAGCTTAGAGGTTTTACAGGGAAGATAATAATCATAAAAATCTATTTAATCTTACTACTTGTATATCTATAGTGTAAACCGCACCTTCTTTTAAAAATTAGTTACAAGGATCAAAAAAAGGGGGCCTGCACCATTACCACCCCTTCGTGAAGGAAATATAGTGACCCAGAGTGATGGAGATAAGGCTACGCTTTTTTCACCTATGTTCTTGCTATCCAAAACGTGCCAGCTGCGCAATATACTGCTAATGAGGATGCGTGCCCTCAGCTGAGCTTATCCCTTCCCATTAATTATGTACTACTTAATCTATTTAATGTTGACGAGGTGTAAGCATTTGTTGAACGCTACCTAAACGAAAAGCGCCTTTCCGATTCGATAGAAGACGGCCACCCTTGTACGGCTACCAAAAACACAAACTGGAATCAGCATCTAGCAACTACCGAGCCACTCGCGCTTTTCACCATAAGAAGGCAACAGGCGCTGTCTTTCTTGAAGTTGAAAAGGCGTTTGATCAAGTTTGGCATGAGTGTCTGCTGCACAAACTGCGCTCGTTATCCGTCCCTCATGGCCTTTATAACGGCTGAAATTATATCTGAATGGTCGCCTCTTCAGCGTGCAAGTGGGAGATACACGGTCGCCGCTTCAATCTCTGAAAACAGGGGTCCTTCAGGGATCACTTCACTCGCCCCTTTTATATGCAACTTACAAGAGCGACGTGCCCTTGCCGTTCGGAACCACAAACACGAATCGCTCTCTACGCTGATGGTACGACGACCGTATATTCCTCTTCGATGTCTCCCGCCTTGCTATGCAAGCATCTACAGCGCTATCTTAACGCCCTTGTAGTCTGGTGCAGTGATTGGAAGGTTACAATAAATTGCGATGAGGAGCAAAGTTATATTAATTTCAAAGAAACGAGCTTCTTTGTTGGTGCCCTTAACCTTTAAATGGCGAAAAAGATTCCGTGGTGTCCTCAAGGGAAATACTCGGGAGTCATCATCGACAACAAAATTTCGTGGCGGCCTCAGGTGACTATGTAGTGGCGAAGATCAAGATAGTAGCCAAGGCGCTTTATCGTTTACTTTGCGGTAGAAGTAAGCTTTCTCTGCGATACAAACAGCGGTTGTATTTGTCTTACATCCAGCCTATAAAGACATACGCATCTGCTGCTTGGACCTACGGCTCCACTGCGATAGCGCCTGCATTTCAAGTGAGAACTAAATGCTGCGTGTTCTGACGAAGGCGCCATGGCTTGTGCGATATGATGCTCTTCACTGGGACCTTCAGCTGGACCCTTCTCTTCCAACGCCATGCTGTGGTCCTTTACGACAGGCTCACCAGTGCTATGGGACGGGGCACGTTATTGCCACCCAAGTGACGCGCTTAAGGCACTAGTTTTTTTTTTTGTTAACGTTAAAAAATAATGAGACCCTGAATGCTATTTATAAAACATCTGCGATCACTCTTGATTGAGAGCTCGAGTATTGGAAGTTTTTAGGTCGGTCGGGCACCAGGAACTGTCATTAATTAGTAATAAAATATATAGTGTAAGGTTCTTTTAATAAAATAAACCAAAGGATTGTTTGTAAAGTTAACCAAACTATATTTCGGTTATACACTTTTGATATACGACAAATTTAAATGAACAGACGCCTTTTACCCATTGCCTACAGGAAAGATTAGTATTGTTATTGACTTAGAAATCATCGACCGAGGGTCCCGTTTTAATAAAGCTTATTAATCTGTTTAAAATTTTTTTGAAGCTTTTAGGCTCTTTAGTTATGCATACACTCTCTAACGTTAAGCTTCTAATTAACTACCCTATATACACTACTGACAATACCTTATTATAGACTAAAACAGTATATTAAACTTGCCCTCTAGACAAAACATAAAGCCATAACTTCTTTTCAGCCCTATAGACTGAAAGGACGCCACAAAACAAAAAACAGAATTTTGTTTAATATTTACATGACTTTAGCGGACGTTCGGTAAATGAAGCGCAGAGAACTTAAGTCTTGATTTGGGCGCAAGTAGACCATGACTGTTCCGTTTTTTACGGGGGAGTGCAGTACGTGGCTAGCCTCGTGGACACCCACCGTAGTACTAACCAAGTTCCTGGAGATTTATTTTCTCAGCTCGGACAGGTTTAAGCGCTTTTCGCCAGTGTTTATTAAGGCTTACTTATTTACTCGTTTATTTATTTATTTATTTATCTACTGACATACTACAGTCCATACGCATAGAACATCTTTTCTGCTTAATCTTTATTCCCCACTTAAACTATAATAGAGGTAAAGAAAAAGTTAGTTCCCCTCGAGGGGTCTTCACCTTCAATGTTTGCGTACCAGCGTAAAGGCGAGTTATAAGAGGAAAGAAGTACACAGCAACAACCAAATAAAAAAAAACCGATTTTATTATCAAGAATAATTAGAATAAAATAAGCAGATAAGATCAGTAAATAATAATAAAATAATTTAAGCGATAATATATAAATATACTATAATACGCTATTTTTCTCATATTTATTGGTTGATTTATAATAACACTTAAGTCGATTAAGCATATTTAATAATAGCGTATATATATTCTGTCGCTTTTATATATGGATTATTTATCATTAAAAATAATAATGATAATAAAGTGTAAATTAAATTAAAATGAGTAAATGACAAACAATTAGGGTGGTAAATCAAGGCTCAAAGGAAGCGATCTTAAGATGCGTTTAGGCCTTTCATACCTATTATACTAGTCTGGGTTATAATTAACAGCAGTGGCTAACAATCTATTGGTATATTCACCATATTCTTTATAGCATTTAGTCGCAAATTGTAAGAACAAAGTTTTGATTGTTTTCATTTGGCAATCAAGATGCACCTGAGCACTATGTATGAACCATGGGGCATCAGTGACTATTCTGAGGAGTTTGTTTGAAAAATCTCAGCCTATTTATATAACGCTCAGAGTAGGACCCACAAAAGGACGCATACATCATAATTGAGCGAATAATGGATATATATAAAGGCAGCTTATTTTTAAGGTGAGGATTGCCGCACCCAGCACTTTGGATTTTTGGTCCTAGATGATTGAATGCATCATCGATACCTGGCTCAGAGGGGGGGGAAAGTTTATTTATAAAAATTTTCGTCCAGTAATGCTTGGAAAAGTGGCCAGTGAGTTATTTTGATAGTATATGCGCCTTCAGGAAAAACAGTGTCTTCCAGCTCGATAAGAACTATGGTCGGGGAGGACAACTCGTAAATGGATTTATACTCGCAGTGACGTATATATTTTTTAAAAGCTGCTATGTCCAATACATCAGTGCTCCCCCATGGTGTACCGTGAGCTGGGTTATCTGGCCCAGAATAAGGAAATCGAATATATTAGCCCAATTAGCTAAGATTTCCCCTTTCTACTCGAACAGCGCTGTTCCAATGGGCGTGCTTGCGTTTGAGATCTCCAGCCAACAAAACTGGGCTCGATAAGCCAAAAATATTCCAAGTTCTCAAAAAAAAACCTTTTGCTCGGGGGCTTGTAAGCTAATATCATTGATACGTCGCCATTCTTTTGTAATTTGATGCGTATCTCAAATGCTTCTAACCTCTGAAGATTGCTTATATAAGCTCTGTGTGTTGGATACCTTTCTCAGCTAAAATTGCTACCCCTCCTTTTTTCGAGGCCATGCGATCGCACCTATAACTGGTATTTTTAGGTATTTGATACTTATTACCTTCTTTCAGATGGCCAAATGAGAATAATATTAATTGGTAATGAGTAACAAGTTCAAGTAATTCAAACTGTTTGGCTCTTAGGCTGTCCGCGTTCCAAAATAAAATCCTATTATTTTTTAAGCGGTATTCATTATTCATTTCCGATGGTTAAGTTTCTCGAATAACTCGCCTATTGGTTTCAAAATTTGATTACTAATAGCCTCAGTTAAGGACTACTACATGGGTAATTATTAAATCATTTAATTTAGTAGAAGTTGAAGGTTTCCTATCAAAAAAAACTCGACATTTTGCGCCCGTAGCTCATCCTGGTTCTATAGAACAATCTCTGATATTTCCTTATAGTCAGTTCTCCCAATTTTCTAAGAGCGTTTATAGGATAAAAGATGGATCCTCTTTAATTTGCGGTGTGATCGCCAGTACCGTTTGCACATCTTGACTTTTTTCCCTTAAAACATAACTTCGTGGCATGATCTTCACCGCATTCAACACAGCTGTAGCCAGAGGAACAGGATTTTTCGCTATGTCCGAGTAATTGGCAACTAAAAAAAAGTATTGGCCAATCCTATCAACTTTTTTATAGGCTCCGCAGAGACCCTAATGTAGTCTACATTTTACAGATTGAGGTAATTTAACAAGGGCCAAAGGCAATTGAGTACGAAGCTTGTCATAGTGTCGCATTTTATACCTGCGGGAGGAAGGAACCCCTGAATTTCCAGCTCTTGTTTAATATCCTTGGCGGCCAGCTCGGTAAAGATGCCAAGCAAGACCACCTTCATCTCTTCTACAAAAGGTAACTAATAAGTATAAAATTCATGGCCATTGGCGCCAAGTAGCGCCGTAAGTTTTCTAAAGTCATTTGCGAAGGTACCCTAATTTTGAAAAGTAGAGGTAAGGCTCCTACCTTCGGGTGAGGAGCTCTTAGTCGAGGCGGCTTGGCTGGCAGTCATGCTGCTATATCTATCTTCTAACCAAGTCTATGGCTTAAATAGAAGCACATATAAGACTCTAAACCTCTCATGAACAAGTGAAGTATACAAACTCTAAAAGAACATAAAGACACATATAATTCAATTTATAAGATGTTATCCATACCGTCCTACTGTAAAGCAGAAGAATACAGACATGGACAATAAAATCATGGCATTAGAAACATAGTATGCTTTACAAACTTTCAAAAAAATTAATAATGAAAGAAGAAATAAATATTGGCAAACTGCCAAAACAGCGCTTAAATACTTCGAACCAGCCAACACACAAAAATTGAAAAGAGTTAAAAAACTACGCCGTTAATTCTTCAGTACAAAAGTTAACGATAACCTAAGAAACACAAGCACAAATAAGCTTACGCGAACCCAAAGATAATTAAGGACAGCTGCAAAATACTGACAAAAGAGTCTTACAAAACTACGCCACCATTTTTCTAGAATATGCATACGTCACTAAAAAATAAGAAATAATCACGAAAAAAATAAACAAAATGAGTATACCTTCCTCTATCACCGTTACCAAACTCAATATAACACAACCAGATAAATTTGAACCCATAAAATAAATGGTTTAAAAGGTACGTGTTAAAAAAATAAGAGAGTATATATCCTTTAAACGCTCTTTTTTTGTTGAGAGACATCCCCCTCCCCCCCCCTTCCTAAACACACAGCAAAACAATTAACAGTTTAACACGACATATTTAAAAAGCAGTAAAATAAGGTTGTATAAATAGTATTACCTGGAAACATAAACAAAAAGTTGCAAACCATGAAATATAGACACCCGGCGTGTACGCATCAAGCAAACAATCGTGAATTCTAAATTAGTTACCGCTGCAAAAATCTTATATAGCTAAATTTAGTAATGTAGAAAGCAAAATTTGTTGTTCGTAATCGGCGCAATAGACAAATAAACTTCTCTATGAAAAAATGTTTTAATATAGTCGTTTCTTACAAAAGAAGGTTTTAATTTAATCATTAGACTGCGCGAAACACCAAGAACTAAAAAATCTAACTTAACAGACTTACGCACACCTAATAACAAATATTGGGTCCACCCAAGAATATTAGCCTTGATCATTCACGTATAGCATAAGGAGCCCATTGTATACGAATAATCGATGTGTGCGTAGATCACCCCTCTCCGCTAAACTGTGAAGAAGCTAGTGGGGGATTTGACCTCGAAAATTTTTTTTTAACAGGTAATAATTATAAAGATGCCAAAAATGAACTCTAGTCATTATTAACGGCTTTACAACTATACAATAATATAAGTTATGTTAGCCTAATGCATCTGAGGTTAAAATCCCTGATGAAGACTGAGAAGTTTTGAAAATTAAAAATAATTATAACGTCGGTTAAGAGATTCAAAGCTGTAAGATTAAAGGGATTACAAAGTATTAGATTGAAGCACACATATAAGTAATAGTAACACGCGCTCTTCCTATTGCAGCGAAGAAATTTAATGAAACTATTAATTTTGTCAATTTACTAAACTACTAGTTAAATAAGAGGTCTTGCAGTTTCTACGAAAGAGATACGGTCAAAGGAAGTTAAAAATAATCATTACTAGAAAACGTCATACTTATAATAACTACATGGAAGCTGCCTGTAAAGCGTGACAAGAGAAGACTTACCACTGGGTAGTACACAGAGAAAATAGAACCTTAGGCTACCAAAAGGTAATCACCTACTTTCCTCGATCAAAGTCGTTATTAAACATTGACGCTGGCCTAACTAGAAAATCAGCTTAAGTTTTAGGGATTTTATCACTAACTTTCTTCAAGTAAAAGGTAAAAAGCTCATGAATGTAAAAGCCCCCAGAAGATGTACTAAAAAGATTACTAAATCTAGGTCAAAGAGAGTTGCCCAACTTTAACTGAGTTACGTAGATAGAAAAGGTCCCCGTTTATGGATGTGTAAGGCTATTATACTTCCATTATTCACCGAACATACTAAATCATAGCTGCAAATATTCACTTACACACAATAGCTTCTTCTACTCTAGGCAAAAAACTTAGTAAAAATTTTATCTTCGCTACAATGTCGGTAACTAAACATATGTTACAAATAAAAGAATTATTAATGATAATTCTTGAAAGTAAAGGGAAATTTGAGGGTTTACCACTGGCAAAAAGCGATAGAACTGCAAATTATTTAGCCAAGTGAAAAACCTACGATTACACCCGCTCTAACATCCTTTCTCAACCTCACAGCTGGAACATTTCCGGATGATGATGCGCCCCACAGGTAGTGCGCAAGTCTATATGCGAATTTGAGCATGGAGCCCTTCACAAGACCTTTATCTCCACGAGAGCATTAAATATTTTATATGAAACAACATATATAAAACAAACTTTATCATATATACCTTTTTAGGAAACTTTAACGTAATTACAGGTTGTGCTCATTGTAACGGCTAAGCCATCTGGCTAGAGTATAGATTTAAAATTTAACCTATTTACTTATCTTTGTCTTCTAGTAATAACCTCGCTTACATTATGACCAAGAACTTATCGCACATAATCAACACAATTTTTTGGACCGACATTTTAGGGCTATACAAAACTACTGTATAACAATACACACTAGAAGAACATGAAGAAAACGCACACAAAACAAAAAATTTATTATATACAGGAAAAAAATGGAAGTGCTAAAGTCTAAAATTTTTTGGACAGCTACAATAAAATAAGAAAAATTAATAAAAGAAGCTTTTAAGACGTCAAAAATAAACTAACAACGTATGTAACTAGAGTCGCTACCATGAAGCTCTAAGTTCTAACTTATTTTGAAAACTGGTCTAAGGCGTAAGTTGCGAGTTAAAATAACTAAATGGAAAGAACACTAGCGACAAAAAACATCTGAGAGACAGCATAAGAGCAAGCGGCTCATTCAGAGCAATAATTAATTTTATTATTATTAAATAATTTAATAAGGAAAAAAAATGTTAAAAGGAAAGAATTAAGTTACATAATAAAATATTTCCTATAATATTACAAATTTAAAACATTGGTATCACGAAAACTACTAACCCCATAATTCTATAAAAAAACCGAAAAACTACTAATTATAGCAGCACGTTCAAAGATAACGCTATTTATTTAAATTTATAAGAGCACTCACCTTAATCACGTTAATACTAATAAGCATACACAAACTTTTAAAAAACAAAAATGTTTCAGCTCCACAAAGCCCTATATGAAACGAATCAAAGGCGGTTAATTACCTTTTAGCTTAAAAACGTAAAAATACCAACCTGCAGTTCAAAATTTAACCTATGCATATTATGCTATCCTGGTTAATTTACAGTATGATTCTATACGTGATGACGTACAGCTAATCAAAAATAATTCGAAGTTAAAAAAAATTACTCAGTCATTTAATTGGGCGAAGTAAGGTCGTTCTAAAATATAATTCTAGTTTTAAAAATCGAGGAAACTGAACACACAATTTCTTTAAGCTCACTGTCTATTAAGGCCTTTGATTAGGCAAAAAAAAATAATTTGCTTCCTGCATTATGCACAACACGAAATTAAAATATTAAACTTCGTTTATTCATGACTAACCGTACAAGGATCCTGCAAAATTTCTAAAGTGTTCCTCGAATGAAGTACGACTTGAGTTTACCCGAGTTTGTGGCCTCAGTCAATTTTTATTATCTCAACACTTAACAACTTATGACAGAGGAAATAGCCAAGCAATAACGAACTCTCATGGCTAGCCAGGAGGGAGCTTTATATGCCGTAAACCTAAAATTAAGGCAAATTATTCATGTGAGTGCGCAGTTGAGCACCATAATTAAGTTAAACGTTTGCTCTAAATTTGATGTTCAAAACTTAAAACTATTATAGCTTTATAAGCGGCATAAGCTCTACACTTTGTTCTTCATGTGCTCCTTTGTTAGAGGTGCAAGAAGAAAACTAATTGATTAAAACTTATATTATGGCAGTTTTATTGTTAAAATCTATAACCAAATGCTCATCGCCACAATATAACAAGAAATATTATCCTCCAGCTTCAAAATATAAACGTAATTGTTTAAGTACTGCAAAATTGAGAACCTTCTAGAAGACAATAGAAAGCTTGGAATTACACTTCTGGCTAATAAACAAAATCTACAGATAGAGAATCGAGGTGAGTTTAGCAGAAAAACTCCTTAGCCTGACGATGAGCAAGTTATTTATAAAGGTTTTAGAATATTGACTAGCTAATATTTAACCTTTGTGTATTTAATTGTAAAGAAAGCCTATATATCATATATATATATAAAATTTCTTATAAAATACTTTCTGTGCTTGTTTAGTTTGCTAGAAGAATTAGTTGGTCTTTTAACTATACCGAATTTGTCTAAGCAGATAAAGATTTGCTCTTATAATTTATTTATTAAAGTTCTTATATTATTATTAATATTTAATAGCCAACTTTTATCATTACTTCCGTTTCTCAACACTTTTTGCCTATATATAAAATTTTGTTATGGAGTGTAAAAACTTGTCACTATTATGCTTTTGGAAGAAATGAGGAGCTCTGATACCATTTTAAGCGCTTAAGATTAGTAGGTCAGTTGAACCAGTGAACAATGTACAAAGTTCCATTAAACTCTTAGTAGTTTCACTTTAACTTACGGAATGATTTTGTCCACTTCTGGACTTACATGTGTCCCATACTAATCATAATACACGCCACTATGTTATCAGTTTATTTATTACATTAGCAAGCTTAAATTGAGTCTTCAATTTAATTCGTATTGATGTTCTTTTTTCATCTGACCAACCGTACTTAGTTTAGTACGGACTCCTTCATGTGTAAAAGCTCGCCAAATATGAAACATAAGGAATTTGACCCTAAGAGTGTATAGAGTTCTATTCCATTTATTGTGGTTTAATGTTTTAAAACTTTTACTCCATTTTTCTTTTCTATCCTTACTTTCTGTTCTTAATTACTAATTTAGCCACTCTCCAAAAACCAATTATCTAAATATAGCTATTTACGTACCTCTACTTTTTCCGCTAATAAACAACCTCGGAATTACATACTCCCCGAAAAAGTCGGGATCAGGCAGTTTGGCTTGCTATTATAGGGATATCTGAACTTCTTGATGAATTTATATTTAGTAGGTTAATTGTTACTGTATAAAACATTTCACTTAAAGCTATGAGTATCTTGACTGAATCTACTATCAAACAAATTACAAGTCTTGCAGGCAACGACGTAAGAAGTCTTTACTTATTACTAGTTATCTTGTTTTATATTATGACTAAACATTATTATATATAAATAACAAATCTAAATTTTTGGTTAATTTACAAAAAAAAATTCTTAAGCTATGTAATTGTGTTTCTTGATATTTTAATTCGATACTACTGGTTATAAAGTGAAAAGTTTATAATAATATCTACTGCAGAAGTGTTTTGAATGTTTTTCTTATAATCCCCAATGGGCCTCTGTAAATAATGGGATTCTCATTTGCCTAAATTGTTCAGGAATACATAGAAGTTTTGGTGTACACATAAGGTGTTATTTGTTTATTGTTGCGCTTACATAAAAAGAATAACTTCTTTAAACCTTTTTTGTTGTAAATATCTCTAAATACTTTTTTAAATCCATTTTCCATATATTTAGTGTTGAAATTATCTTTTTTTAATTAAATATAATTATATTAAAAGATTAGTTATTGAAATGTTATAGTGTGAATTACAACAACTTCTAATTTTATAAAAATTTACGAAAACTTAAAAAGAAAAAAAATTTTATTTTAATATTGTTTTGACGCTTTTTATATTTTTTATAAAATATTTAAATATTAATCATTATAACCTATTTTAAATTTCCTTGTATTGAATATATAATAACTTACTTTTTTACCCTTTTTTAATTGAACAAGTTTATTGATTCATTACTTTCTAAATTTATTTTAAGTTTTGTGCAATCACTAACGATGGACTTTTGGAGCGAAAAATACTTGAATATGATGATGGTTTCATTATTTTATTTATATCTAAACTTTATTTTTAATTACGAACATTTTTGTTGCTCGCATTTTTTTTTTATTTGTATAAATTAATTGACTTTGTAGTCCGGCGGAAATCAAAAGTTTTTAGACTTTTTACTTCAGCATGAAGAGTATTCCCCTGAAATGACTATTAAAGAGAAATATCATACAAGAGCCGCTCATCTTTGGAGGGATAAAGTATTTAAAAAAATATTTTTTATATACATCATTTTAACTTAATGTAAGTTAAGTGTTGAATCGAAGGGGGAAGTCTGGAACGAAAGTTTGTCTCCTGCTATGAATGTTCCGCTCTTTGTCCATCAGAAAGTTCTTAATTTTTTTATATAGTTTATTTTTTTTTTTAAAAAAATAATTCTTTACAGGTTCAGAAAAATAGCGACTCCAATTTTTTTAACAACAGGATTGAAGGATTTGGATCGTTAAGAGAAGAATGGAATAATAGAATTTTTCCGGAAGCTTCCTCTTCTTTTACTAGAGGATGGAAGTTTACTCTTTATTTTTTATGCTAAAAGTTAATATTTTAGAAAAGCAAGCAATTGTAAGGTGTTAATTATTAAAAGTGTGCAAAATCAACTTGCGTTAGCAGTAAAGTTAACAATTCGCAAGTATAAATTATTATATTATAAACTTTTTGGAGTAAAATAATTTAATATAACGACTGAAAAGTTTTGTATTTACTACTTTATAACATAATTTTTCTTATAATATATTACTGATGCCAGCATTTTATCGAGCGCTGCGGTAAGGTTTGCCTCTGTTGCAGGAGAGAAGATCTCCCAAACGTCTCAAGAGCTCAACGACAACGTTCTTGTGCCCACGACTCAGAGGGTGTGTATAAAAGACTCTTTACATCTTTTCTTGTTAAGAATGTAACATCTTCTCTGCAAGATAAGAGAAAGCACGCTTGGTTGCCAGTGATGTAAACAGAAGTATAAAAACAACGCTTGACCGTATCAGCTCTTCAGAACCTGTAAGGGTTGCAAGAGGGAAAGCTTCAGAGGCTTATTATTATTTGAAACTAGCGTTGCGTTATTTTTAACGTAATATTGATTAACAGTACTGGCATTCGTTAGCTGGCACGAACGATGCACACCAAGGTTAAATGCTGCTGGTTATGTGTTGCGGTAAAAAGTAGCTAACAAGTAATTTTTTCAAAAGCACGGGAGGAAGACCCTGAAAACCAATAAGTTAAAAAGGAATGCTGAGATGAACACTTTTATTAGGTTCGACTTGTAATAAAAATAGAGATTTCCCCTAATTTCTTTTTAAATTGCTTATTTTACTTAGCACCACGGGGGCGGGCGGTTGTATAGCAGATTTATTTGCTGCTCATGTTTTGCTTATTCCATTCAAAATCTTTATGAATCTTATTGTATATATAACTCCTATGACCAATAGCATTTTTAATCATCAGCGTACAATTATTTTAACTGTTATTTATTGTATAGACTACTTGCGTTTTAAAATAAGTTCTTAAATAAAAATTACAATATATCTTATATTTCATAATATTCTAATCAGAGCTTAGAGGCCCATAGCAATTAATACAAATTTTGTTAGCGGAAAATTTATCAAGTTTGAAGATCTAACGACGGTCTCGCAATTATATATTAAGACTATTAACGACAGTAAATAATATAGTTATTAGGTTTTATTGAAGCCTTTAACTTATAAAACAATACGAATATAACTAAATTTATTATAAAAGTGGGCACCAGCATAAATTTAGCACCACTTTAGCAAAAGTTTACTAAACATAACATAAAAGACAGTAACCGCTTCTATAATTAAAATTGAGCAGCCCAGGCAATAGCAAAAAAATTCGTGCAGTTCTAAGTGGATATACTTAAGAGCGACTCTGTTTATTTTCTGCACCTAATTTTTCTGTTGCGGAAAAAGGATTTTACGTTGTAGGTCTTTATTAAGATTATATCTTTTTGTTTAATATAACTTAAAAGTCAAGTATAGTTAACTTGTCTACTCTTCTCATTTACTGCTAAAGGGATGGTAGGACTTTTGCAGAGCAATCAGTTCAAATGTGTATATTATCAACTTCAGTTTGTGTCAAATTCAAGCTTTGCACTTCTTAAGGGAAGACAGAAGTGCATAACTGCGGATACAAGTCCTAAGGGAAATTATTTATGCTATAAAAGCCGAGTCCCCAGGTTAAAAGCGGAATTATAAGACTCGTAATGAATTGCGCCAGCTAATTTCTTTTCTAATTATAGTTTTTAGCAAAACTATTAACTTTTTTTGGTTTGAGCACAGCAGCTGGTAAAACGGATTGAATAGACAAGGTTATCCGAAACTTACCACAGTAAGTCCAAAGTGGTCTAATATAGTTCATTTCAACTGATATATGCGCGGGGAGTACTGATACTAACATCTATTTATTGGCATTAATTTAAAATAGATTTACATAATCAAAAGAAAACTAATAAAGCTTTTTCAGTATTAGTTAAAAAACTTCAAGATGTTATTTCTATAGAAATTGCAGTTATAAAAGCAACAGCATCCTATCGTACCAGTTTAATACAGGAATAAAATATAATAGTGAAACTCGAAAAGTGAATTTTCTTTTTTTCAATGATGTTTTTTATAAAAGCTAGTTAAGGAACTAAAATAACTAGCGCTGTCCTTATCAAGGTCAGAAAAGTTAACTAAAACTCGACTGTGAACAATTTGTCTTCCACATTATTATCATACACACCCTTGACATACTCAAAGTTTTAGAGTAGGCAGCTAGTTCTTAAATTTTTAATTTTACTTTCCAAGAAAGAAGGCGACAGCATAGTCAAAAAGTTGTGCTTTAGGAAAGACGCTAGAACTATGAGGGCTCCATTAAAGTTCTGTTTCCATTTCATTAATAATGATAGACATTTTTATTTATCCTTAGCATATTTACTATAATACACAATTTTTACAGCTAAATAAGAAAAGTTTTTTTTCGCATATCTTTATTGTTTTACCTAAAAAGTTTTATTATTTTTTAACAGAAATACCTTTCTCAGTTTCAAGAAACTTGGGTACTCAATTTATTTTACCCGTTGAAAGGGCGGAAGCACAAATGTTTACCAGTGTTAACTATCTAGGGTACCATGATCTTCAATGGTTGCTAATAACGTATTATCCCCTAAATAAATTGAAGAATCTATCCAATGGGTAGGTTATTAGCCAAGCAATACAGTTATAGCAATTTACCTACATGAATACAATTTTTAACTTTAAAGTAAGTGTTTCACTGATCCTAATTTTGGTAGAGGGCAACATAAGAACAGGCGCAAGGCTGGTGAGGTGTGTGCGCTTGTATACAAAACTCTTTTGTACATCTGTTTTAATAGACTTCGTAATGGTTAAGAAAGGTTTTAATAAAATTGTTAAAAAAATTATAGTTATTCCAGGAGACGAAATAAAAACCTTAAATAATGAAGCTACCGAGACGAAAATTTTATTAGGTCCAGGTTTAGTAAGGGATGGCAACCTGGTCAAGGCAACCAAGTGTGGTGTTTTTGTGGAAAATGTTTTTAAAGGAAGAACTTTATTGTATGTGAATTCTTCTCAAAAACGGGTTTTCACATATATATCTAAATTTCGCTATTATTTGTTATTAACTGTAAGCATAAATAGTACATCCCCGCTTTGGAAGAACGCGTTATCGGAATAATTACAGATAGATATTCGGACACTTTTAAAGGTTAGCAAGCTTTTATTAATAGAGCGCGCTGTATTATAAGAGTATTTTGTTTAAAAATATAATTTACAGTAAATATTGGTAGTAGTGCCCTTGCCTCTCTAGATATGTATTCATTTGAGGGGGCTACAAAGCGTAATAAACCTTCTTTGAAAGTAAACTTCTCTTTTTTAATTTTTTAAAAAAAATATATTGCTATTTTGTGTAACACAAGAAAGGAGATTTAGTTTATGGGAGGCTGATTACTGCCCATAAGGATATGGAACCCATTTTATCGTGTGTAGATAATGCTAACAAAAGTGCTGGGATGGGTGGGTTGAAAGAAGGTTACTTATTTTCTTGCTCAAGCAACCTCTGTCGAAGGTTTTTTATATTCGTTATTAATAAAGTTATATGTATAATACTACTTTTCAGATTGCTTAAGCCTCACTGCGTCATCCTTGAGAGTATGGGAAAGTTGCTTCCTTACGAAATTACAGTTGGGTTGAACGGTCGCATTTGGGTTAACTCAACCTCCATAGAAAATACTATACAACTAGTGTCACTTATTCAAAAAAGTGAGTATATGACTGACAAACAAATTTGTATAATAATTAAGGAATTGGCTAAAAATTTTGCCTAATTAAAGAAATTGCTATTTGTAAATTTACTATTTCGTGAAGTTATTTTGTATGATAGGAGAAAGCCTATTATTGGTTTGTTTAAGGTTTATATTATAATAAAATCGTTTATGAACACCTCCTGTTCGGGTGCTAGGATTTATCAAAGCTCACTGCTACTTATTACAGTATTAGCATTCTATACATGGAAACTTGCATAGCTTTTTTTAATTAGGTGTTAGATTGCTTATTATTATTGCAAGCGAAAAACTTTCCTTCGAACCAGCTTTAGTTGCGCTTTACATAAGGTGTTGAAAGGAGGGTTTATCATCAGATAAATAAGTAGGTAAGGTACAGTTAACGTGAGGAGACACCATACACTATTAGCACTAGAAGAGAAACGCAATATTGTAGGGTAAACGGGAAGCTATTCAGCTTCTAACCTGACAAGAGGTAAATAGTTTAAAGAATAGCTACTCTATGACCGTTCATAAAAGTTATAAGAAACTTGGGGGGTCTAACAGTAAAAAACTTAGACATAAAGGTTATGTCACAGACTGTAAACAACTCCGTAATGCCAGTAATGTATAAAGATTAAGCTGAGCAAGCAGAAAGCACGACAGCCAAGAAATAGCAAATTTTTTATTTAAAGCGTATAATATGATATGATATTATTTTGCAAGCATAGTACAAAGTCAACATAAGAAAGATCAGATTTAAGCCCCTACCTATATTATTTAAAAGTCACAGAGAAAGGAGTAGTGAACTTTGGGAGGCCGAGAACTAAAATAAGCTATGCAATCAGCACAAGTGTAGGTTAAAGTTTATATTAAGGTATTATACTTAAACTTATTTCTTTAGTTTAAAACCTATAAATAGGCAGTCCAAATTAACAGAATTTTTCTACGTGACCGGTTAATGACCTACTACAAATTAAAGCAGCACCTTAGGGCTCTTAAACCTGTATTTACCCAAAATAAATTTTAAAAAAAGGTGCAAATGTCTAAGTAAATTTCTCTACTTTGTTTTATCATAGTATATATTCGCATAACTGTGAAAGTAATTCATTTAACTAAAATAGGCTTTATATATTAATATTATACTTAGATAACCTCTATAAAAACTTTGATAAGCCATGGCCAGAGTAAAGCTCACAAAAAAATATTTTTAGTGGAATGTGAATGCTTAAATTATAAATTAAAAAAACTGACCGCTCTCAGTCATATTAACTTGTTTATTAGATATCTTCAAAGTATTTAAGATATAAGTAAAAACCTTTGAAACAAACTTACTTCCTCCTTTTCCTCTTCCAGCGTCTATGCTTTAAAGACAAAATAAAATCAGATTATAGCATGACCCTACAATAAATTAGTTTTTGTGTGGAGAAGTGAAACAGCGACTGACGAGACATGGACCCTAATTTGATAAGCAGAGAAGATAGCAATAAGATGGTGACCCTCTTCCATGCACCGAAAAGGTGATGAGGGCAAAAGTGGTGTGACTAGGGTAGCATAAAAAAAAAATACACGAAAATCTTCACTTAAAGCACATTCAGCTTAAAGTGAAGATGAAAATTTTGTATAATAAATATTGTTGTGCACAGGAGTTGGAGCTCCCTTGCTTAGAGCTAACGCTAAGTCCCATCCTCTGTCCTAAGAGATCGCCGTGGTATACCTTCGGGAGAAGAAAGGGTTAATTATTTATCTTTAAACTCCTCTAAATGCTAAGTGGTTTGATTTTTTAGGTGGCCCCACCTAGTACGCCACAGCTAATCAAAAAAATTATAGTACTCTGACAGGATTTGCAAGTATTTTAACTATATTATAGTTTGCACTATGTTCTACGGTTGGCAAAAGCTATATATATCAGAATAACATTTACAGTGGTTAGGTGAAACATGCGTAAAAAGAAGTGATTGTTAGTTTAGTATTTTTAATTTAAAAAAAAATTTTCACCGTGACACAGTTTTATACTCTGCGCATCCTATGACTTAGTTGTCACAACCAGGATAACATCGTTATTTATAAATTCCAACAATATAACGTTACAATTTAAAGGTTAGAAACGTAAGTCATCATTCCAAGATCGGGGTTACGTCCCCAAGCGGTTTAAAACTAACTTAAGCTAATGGGTTCGATTTTCAGCAATGTGACTCTACCTTACGGCCTTTTTCGACAAACGCATACATTTAACGGGGCCCCCTTAAGTTATATATATATATATATAATAAGAAATATAGCAATTATCGTGCCTACAACTTATACACAATAGCGCTTCCTCAAAAGTACACTACACCCTGAACTATAAATTAAGCTGTTGATCACAAGCTGTAAAAGCAATTTGTCGCCTTTACGCTCGGATCACAACACGTTCATAGTTCCTTAGTGAAAGAACCCCAACATGAGGCACGGTGCGGCGCACAATACCGCCGTCCGCGTGACTTATCTCATCTAGAGACACGATAACAATAAACTTGCACTTGTAATTAAGTGAACAACTGTTTGAGAGCTCAAGTATCCGAAGTTATTACTCAACTGAGCATTAGAATACGCCATCTATATATTTATATATAAACCTGGCATTGGTAATGATTAACTACAAACCTAGCAGAACAAATTTCTTCGTATGTCAACCGAAACGCCTTATTTCGTAGTCAACTGCAACTTACGCTAGGATTATAAAATTATGCCTCTCAAAAAATCTCTTATTAAAGCAGAAAATAAGTAATTTTTCAGACATCAGTACATAACCTAAGCGAACTTTGTTCAAAAGTCTGTTACAATTTTAACCACCACACCCCATACATACCACCCACAGTTATCCTCATGGATGCCCATAATTATTATATTATTATTAATGCTATATAATTATACTAATAACAATATATAGCAAATAGTAACTTTATACTATTTAAAAATAATTTATTTAATAATTTATCTATGGGTACTTGCGCCCCCTAACCACCCTTGTAAGTGGAATGCGGACTAAGCAGCCCTAGACCCCTCAGGTATTCACTGTAATGAGAAGGTAAGCAAAAAAGCGGTAGAAGAAAGTAAAAAAAAGGAAGCAAAAAACGAGGGAAAACCTGTAACCTTATTGTTTCTTCATTTATTTTTTAGGCACTGGATGCTACAGTCAGTCTTCGTGAAAGACCTCAAGTCCCTTAATCTGAATTCCCCTCTTATACAGGAGTCAGCGCACATGCGCCCCCAGTGTACGCTTTTTATAGAGCTATAATAGCCGTCCGAAAGGACTAGAAAAGCGGAAAATATATGGCCCGGACTCGCACTATCTGGTCTGTGAGGTGAAAAACAGCTAAAAACCACTACCGGGGTAGGCAGCTTTAGGCACAAAACCATCAGCAGCTGAGCCAGCCAGGCCTCTCTTTATTACTATTAAAGTTTCTGTATACACTACAAAAATAAAAAATAAAAAAATAACAATGCAAAATTATAAGTTTAACTAATCACTAAGTGATCTTTATGTTTATGTGTTAAATATTATTAAATATAATCAGTTGAAGAGAAATTAATTTGATGTGGTTTTTATATTACAACCCTTTATTATACACAATTTTTAGCTTATTTTGAAAAATTTAATTAATCAATTTTCGTGGTTCTGTTTTAAAAGTGGTTTAGTAAATATATTATCATTATTTTACTCTGAAGCGATATGAGAGGCATGATAGATTTCTCATTTTTAGAGCTGGTTCTACAAAGTTATAGCAATATCAATGTGGCGTAATCTCTTTGATAAAGCCAATCCTTTAGCAATGTAAACTATAGGTTCATTATCTACTTGTACTCGTACTGAAAGCGAGGAATCGAAAATTAATTTACTTAATTGCTTTACTGAATGTAATACTTGTTATAGCACTACTTAAAGCTATGTATTCTTCTTCACAAGGGGATGTATGTGCTTTGTGTTTCAATTAATCTTAGTCTACCAGTAAAAGGGTTTCCATACAAAAATATATATCTTATGGTAAAAATTTCGTAACTATTGCCCAGGTGCGTTACGATGACAGTCAAGTAGTCACATATGATATTCAATTTTGTACTATCAGTTATATAACTTAAAGAACCCAGGCTATTATATTAATCATTGATGAAACGGTCATTGCTGGGCGGTTTAAGCTTCAAGTCCTAAAAACAGGCTTTTGGCATTTGCTGTTAGTACTTACATTTTCTCTCCGTTTTTCAATCCTCGAAAATTGGTCGAGCAAATTTGTATCCTTTGTTAAATATATAATTAACCAAGTTTTATCCCTTTGTGGCGGTTTTTTAAACTCATATCCCTCATATTATCTACAAAAACTTTGTGCGTCGCGCAAAATTATACAGTCATCCACGTATACGCCTACTATGGTATTGAATTTTTCCGAATGGAAATTTGCAAGTATCAAGTATACTTTATTTGTTCTCATATTTAGGTAACCATTTTGTAAATATTCTTAAAGTATCTTTACAGATTTCCTTTAATCTACAGACTACCACATTAATTTTTTAAATACACTTTTCTCTTTTTGTATAATGCTCAAGGATTAGTTGCCTTTGTTCAGTAGATAGCAGATCTATAATATAATGTATACCCTAAGGAATATAAACATAAGCTGGCTTTCTAATATTGTGTGTAAGAAAGTCGTAGCAAAATCTACAAGATGTACGGTCATTTTCTTAAATTTTACAATTTTTTAGTAATAGAAAGGTTTCTTTAAATAGTACAGGGGAGTAAAATTCATGAAAGTCAATACTCCCCTTTTCTGGTATCCTCTAGCTGTTAGCCTAGCTTTGTAGAGATCTTTGCTTTTTTATGTATGAAGAAGCCCTGTAGTAAATAATATTTATTTTTTCGCTGACATCAAAAAGGTTTATAATTATTTATGCCATTATTTTTGTGCAAAGAGGAGTTCTTTAATGGGCGTCTGTTTAACATTTCCTTTTAAGCTTTTAGCCCTCCTTTACTAATACTCAAGCCCACTGGACGTTAAGCTCCCGATAAACTACCCTGTAGACAATTAACTAACGACATTTTGTCCGGCCTATAGACCAAAAAAATACATTAAACACGCTCTTTAGTTAATAAAGCTAAAACTTTTTTACAGTCCTACCGACCGAAAAGATACCACGAACGAAAGGTCAAATCTTATTTTTATTGAATTCAAATGAATATATATATATATAATTTTAAAATAATCTTGACAGATTAAATTTACCAGTTAAAATTATTATAAATGCAAAGAGCATACCCCCAGTTCCTCAGTTGTATGGTATCTACTCTTTTTTTCATTTTTTTAACTGCGCATTGTAAATGGATTATATCATTAACAGCAGCCTTCTTATATTGTTTTTGTCCTCTTTAGTCTTTGCTGCATTAAAGGTTATATATGAGATACTTGTTATCTTTATTCTTTCCTTTTGTAGATGTTTGTTCTTTTCGGGAAACTGATGAGTTCTTTTACACTTATTCTCTGCTTCGTCTAGAGAGGGAACTTATTAAATTAAGTCTTCACGTCCGTCGTCCAGCATAAAATAGGTGTACTCAGAATTTAATAGGAAGTTTTCGTCTTTACGCATACCGGCGAACTTTGATAAACTATTCTCGCAGTGGTCATTGTTTTTTTAATGCATTTATCTTCTTTTAAGTCTAGTTATAATTGTTTTTGTTGTATCGTGGTAACTGGAGTAACCTGTGCATCAATAAATAGCTCAAAAGAACTTACTGATTGGTTAATAGTTTGTTATTACCATTGATAACTCATGATGCACTTATCTTCTTTTAATTTTTGGTTTAGTGATTGTGTCTTTGTCATTTTCAGGTTCAACTTGGCCATAAACTATATTTGTTTAGATTAGTGGACGGTAATATGTCACTTGTATCTTGTAGAGTACTTTCATTCTTTTTTATATCGTGGTTTGTGATTAGGTTAAATCCTAAAGAGTCGAAGTTATTTGACTTTTACTTAAGTCAGTTGGTATTGAAATTCTTTAGTTTCATTAAAAGTAAATTTTCTAGAATGGCATAGGGTAATTTTAGGTAAAGGTGGCGTGGTATTGCTAAAAGTTCCTCGTACCTTTTCTAATAGTTATAAAGATGAGTTGGCTATCAAATTTATTTTATTTCTGTTATAAGGAAGTATTAAATCATAATCAACTATATCTTGTTGTTACGGCATATAATCCAGTAAAGAAGTTTTGCTCTTATTTCAACTTTGCTTTTAGAGAAATTGGAAGAATTGCAAGTGATATGTTTAGGTTTAGCGTCAGTTACAATAATATACTGATATCAAAGAAGTTAGATTCATGCAAAGTATTCACGTACAAACGTTGACCAAGTGCGATGGGTATGACTAATTTCGCTTACTTTCCTTTTTTGCAATTTGCGTCCTCGCACTAATGACCCTTAAGGAATTTAACTTTTAAGACAATGTTTTTAAGTTATTGAGCTAAAGTGACCATAATGTAGTGTTTAAAAATATCTTGTTATTTTGGTCAAGGGTCTGTGTACATAAAGCTTTAGAATCTGGGGTGATTATCATTAGAGAATGGGTATATAATATTTTTTTTGGAATCCTGCCGCATTTAGTATTTGCTTTTTAAATCGTGCATGTTTTGAGCCCAAATCCGTAGTGTTCCCATTCTCATCTAATTTTTCCACGAAATTTTGATTATGAAAGAAGATGGGCTGTAAACTATCTTGCCCTTCTAGAATTTTTTAAATAACCAGTTTAGCAAGATTTAAATTTGACTTTTTGTTCTAATCAAAATATTTTCGAATGCAAATCTACCAAACCTTTATCTTAAATATAATGATAAAGGTCAGTTTGATACCAACTAGTCATTGACGGAGTTGTGAAGGCTTCCGGAGCACTTGGGCATTCCATGTAGAACTACTAGATGACTTTGCATGTTTTTTTTATCAAAATCTTAAAGAAGTAGAAGAATATGTTAAAGAGAAAAGGGGCAGAAAGATCGAAAAAAGGGACTATTTAAATAGTAGGTAAGGAAAGATGATTATAATTGTTAAATAAGGAATATTTGAACGTCACAAAAGAGCAGGAAAAAAAATTGAAAGACTTATTAAGTAAAGTATAAAAGAGAAAAAAAGAATGGAAGAAACAAAAATGGAGCATATTTCGTGCTTTTAACGTAGTAAGAAGGTAAGCGAAAGAGCAGTAGAAAAAGTAAAAAAGAAAATAAACAAATGAGGAAAAACCTGTTACCTTTTTGCTGCTATTAATCTTTCTATATATACTTTAAGAAATAAACAAAATATAACTGCAAAACTTCATGTTTAATCAATCACTAAGCCATCCTTACGTATATGATTTTAATAATTTTTTTATAAAATTTAAAAATTGAAGTATATTTAATTGATGAAAGCTTAATTTGAATTAATTTTTATGTTACACTGTGGCAAGTCATTTCACAAAATAAAATGAAAATTTAAAATTAACCGTACCACTCTAATAATATTAATAAAAAAATAATTTTCGTTCGCCTAAGCCTTCTTGCTGAGTACTGGAACCTTTACTTCATGTTTATTCGTTTTTAAAATACTCTCATAAAGATGCGAATGTTCTAATCCAGAGGGTTGCAGCTAAAATAACCCTTAAAAAAATTAATATATTGTAACAAGCTCCAGTTAATCTAGAATCAACTACTATAAAAAATATAAGTTAATATTATTACATTTTTTTTTGTTATTCAAAAAAATAAAAATCAAAACTACTTTATATCACTTCATAGAAATGGGAGAAGAGCTAACAATTACAAAACCGCACCAGCAAAATCATTTTAAGTAGTAAAGAGCAACTCACTTTTCTGGGCTCCATTACTCATTTATAAAGAATTTATTTTAGGTATTCTTTTTTTTAAAACAGGGGTGTACAGATTCGAATTCATAAAGAAATGCCCGAGCTAACCTTATGAACTTCAATAGGATAAGTGCTATATTTAAAGTAACACCATTTATTATAGTGTTTCATTATTTTTCAAAACCAGCGACTATGTCTTTTAATTCGCGTAAAGAAGGTTCAACGCCAGCTAATGTAGAGTAAACACTAGGAGAAGGGCGAGTGTGTGGTCTTTCGCCTGACACAGACTGAAGCAACTCTTCCTTTTCCAAAAAACGAGACTGCAAAGCGTCCATTGAATCAAGCGATGGATCAATAACTAAAGTAAAAATATCCAAAGCCGAAATTTTTAATACGATATTTCGCGTACAAAAGTGAGTATAAAGGTTGCGACAATCCCTATATAAAAAAGTGAGAGCGTTGGGGTGGCCAATATCGACAGCCTGTCCAACGTCGATAAAGTAGACGGTCTTTTGAAAGTACAATATATTATATTCGCTTAAGTCTGCATGAACGAGATTGCCGTAGTGAAAAAGTTTACGCATATTAAAGATACATTCCAGGAATATTTTACTCCCCTTAGACACTTGCTTGTAATAAAGGTCTTTCAATTTGGGAGCCGGCAGCACAGAATCCTGGCCGATGTAAGACATGACCAAGACGTTATCTTTAACAAAAATAGGGGTAGGACATGGCACTCCGCACAGTTTCATGCGCTTTAAATTAGCACACTCCTTTTCGGACCAAAGCTGGATCAACTTTCTATTATTAGACTTTTTAAGATAATTTTTAAACCTATAATCGCCTTGAATGTATTCTTCCCGCCGCTTAAACTCGCTGAGGGTTGTTTTATATAGCTTTAAAAAATATATATAAGTTAAAAAATATATGTTAAAAGGTAGAAAAAAACTTTCAAAAACATTTAATAAGATCAATTACGATATACAATATAAATACTACCTTAACAGCTCTTCCTGGAGCGGCAAAAAATATGTGAGCTTCCTTACCGGTGCTAATTTGACACGTGAGACCTGAAATGACTTCTTTGTTTATTAGTTTAAAAATAATCATTTCGGTTTTGTGATCCATTACTGAATTATAAGTAGCTTGAGAATTCTTTTCTTTAAGGCGAATACGCCTAGAACTTAGTTCAAAGTCGGATTTTTTCAGACTGTTAAAAGCTTTATTGCCAATAGGAAAAAAATAATCTGTTGGTAGTAAACCCGTCTCTACTGCGCGAAAATTACGCATGTAGTTGCCATGTTTCGCTGCAGAAATTCGAAAGTCATGTTTTGAAATAAAACCTTGCTCGCCGTCATGACAAAAACCATATTTTTTAGCTTTAGTAAGGTAGGAAGCTTGCTTAAAATCTTCTTCGTCTTCTCTATCATATACTTCCGAGTCTTCCTCAGTTAAGTGTGAGTTGACTTCAAATACATCTAAAGAACTACCAGATTCTCCTTGCTCTCGCTTTTCTCTAAGCTCAACGTATTGGTTGTACTCCCTATCATACTTCTTCTGTAATAAGGTTGCAAGTTTCATATCAGATGCCTCTGTACTATCTTTTGTGATACTAACAGAAGTTACAGCGCTCAAATTAACGGGGTTCCCAAAAAAAGCTTCCGCAGGATCCATGAATTCGGAGGAGATTAAATCTTCGAGCTGTAGCTTTTTAGACAGTTCCTCATCGAGAACTTCTGAAAATGATATATAAGGGGTTCCCCTGCACTTACCCGAGTATTTACTCCAAGGATTAGCGGGAGCAGCGGGGCCATCCATAACCGCCCACAACTCAAGGCTTAGTTCGATATGTAGAGCTGAAGCTTTGTTACAATATTTGAAAATGAGTATAAACATATAATCTTTCCCGTCCAATGAAGGTCTAAAATAAAATGCCAAATTTGGATCCAACACGGTCCCGTAGCAAAACCACCGCTGGACCAAAACTAATGGGCCAAATACTTTCCCAACGAGCTTTCGAGTTCTCGTTGTAGCTCGGTAATGGGCATTGTTCAACCCCCACCAATGGGACTCTCTTTTTCGGTATTGGATTGGTTGAGTATGTAACTTAGCCGTTTAGTCGTTACAATGCAACCTCTTTTAAGTTTTTTACGTATCAGCTAGGGAATAGCGAAGACAACAACCTTAGGAGCTATCAGGAGCCAAAGCGCTAGTCCTTTTAGTCCCTTTAGTGGTTCAATTGTTAACCATAACAATAAAATAAATTATGTTAAAGGTAGTTGAAATTTAAATACTAAAGTGAGAACTTTTTGCAGTTTTCTTAATTTATTAAACAAGACTATTGAGTGTAAAGTTGTACCATTAGGTGGTTTTTCAAACAGTTTTCTCTAGAAGAAAAATTTTAGGATTAAAATTAAACCTCCGATGGGATGAGCAGTTAGTTACTTTACAAGAGTTCACGCTTTTTAAAGTGCGAATTTTTTTGTATTCATTGCTTGAGTCTAAGTTTTCTTTGTGAAAAGCTTATTAGAGTGCACGTAAGCTAATACATTATAAATAGTTGATCTTTTAGCTTTTCTAAAGGACTAACCGGTTAGCGGAAGTATTCAGAGATTTATTTGTTAATGACAAATAGTTCGTTTGTGGAGCCTAAAGAATCTACTCATTAAAAAATAAAGGTCGCCCAATTTTCTAATACTGCATTGCTAAGTAGTGCCTCTTTTCGCATAAATAATTAAGTTAAAAATTATTATATGTATTATACCATTCTTACCTGAGTTGAGCCTCGTAAATCTACGGCAAAATAATTATACTAACAACAAGAAGATTGCTCGATGTAGCCTTTTACCTCCCTTTACTCGACCACTTGCACTCTTTTAACGGAGTTCACGCGTGTAATAACTAAAAACACCTCCTAATAAACTTTACTTTAGAGTTTTTAAAAATAATTCCTGTCTTATTCTCAATATTATTTAACAACTGTTAGACCTCCCACCATGCCTAATAGTGGAAGCTCGCCTTAAAAAGAGGCGAAAAATTATATAATGGGATATCAAGTCCACTTTATTACTTTCTACCATTACTAAGTTATCTTAACGGTCTTCTAGGCCAACCTAATAGAGTAAAGAGCTGTTGAATTTTCTGTTTGAAAAATGATTGGTGCGTCACTTGACATGCCTATAATGACTTGGACTCATTCCTGTTAAATATTGTCATAACGTCAGTAATATACTTCTTTTAATAGAATATAATTGCATTGTCAGTTCCCGTAACGTTCAGTTCCAAACCCCATGATACCTTACCTGGAATTTTATGAGGTGTTTGGAGCCACCTAAGATAGTGCTTCATCAAAGTTTTGTTCCTTTTTTAAAGCTTAAAAAGTTCTCCGTTTTCTCCATTAAATATAAGTAAGAACAGTTGTAACATTGTCGAAAGCCAAACTGGACCAACTCAACGCGCGTGGTTGCATTTATTACCACCTTAACTATTTTAGCCCATAAATCGGATTGGGCATTATTTATACCTCCAGTGAAGAGATTGTAAACCACCGTCTAGTTTAACCTGTAGTACCGTCTCCATCCAAATAGCTAAACAGGAAAAGAGCCCAACCTTTAAGTTAATAAAGGTAATCAAGGTTTCCAGATAGTCTTTTCTATGTTGAGTAAAAACTTAGCACAAAGTCGTGCCTTAAAATTATTAACTGTCTTCAAAATTACTGATAACTTGAAAAACCCACTTGAAACCGACTCTTTTTCAGCCTTTTAGCTATACCACTGAGAAGCAGGTGCAATTTGTGGAATAAAAGAAGAATTTTTGATTAATAGCTTGCAACTCTCCAACTTGTATTCACTATCCATAGATTTATTAAAAGTCCTAGGCATTGCATCACGCGCAATAGGTATAAAGCTTCGATTATCACTAATGGTTTCATCTCTAACGCCATTTCAAGTGTCTAAAATGGTCAAAACATTCTGGCGCAGTTGAAGGGATTTAATTTCAATCGTAGCTGGCTGTGATAAGACATCTGCTAGGTACCTGGGTCGTTATCGTCCGTCCCATGAACAGATTCAATTTTAAAAACGCCGCACTTGTCAAAGAGAACTTTCCTACTGTATATGACCCAAAGTAAGTAAGAAAAGTTTAACAGTGTAGAGAGGTGTCAAATCCAACAAATTATTCTATTTAACTCGTTCATCCAGCTTAGATTTGATAGAATTACTATAATAAAAGATTTTGAACCCATATATGCGACACTTTTACAAGTCAGATCTTCGCTTCGTCAATAGTTCAGGTGTAATTAATTAAAGTAATGATAACCTATTATTTAGGATAAGTCAGCTTGTAAAAGAGCTTCATCCCACAAGAGCTTAGATAGGCCAGAGTCGAAATATATGACTTATCCAGTTAACTGATGTCTGATTGTTTCTTTGGCAACGCTTTTCTTTGTGGGATGTATGGGGCTTGAAAGATACTGTGACTCCTCTATTAATTTATTTTTTTTTTAAAATTTTTAAACTAACACTCTTTAGGTTAAGAAGGTGGGAACCACCTTAACCGGTTTTACTATAGAGTCAATAAGGTTTAATACTAAGTTTTGTCACCACCCTACACACACATAAACATATATTACGTATTACACTCCGACTTAGCTGGTTCGATGTGCCCGATGATATCAAGTAAAGCTTTAACCACCAGAGAAAATAATTCTCTAGGTAAGCAGGTCAATTTAGTGCATGCTGCTTCCCAATTAAATCTAGACTGTGTAAGATAAAATGCGCCTGTAGCTTTTATAGGTAACATCACTACTGTAGCAGTACTTCCATAACTTGGCTAGTGTAACTAATGTTCAATTAACCAGCTGGATCTACAGGACCTGAAAATAAGCCTCTGGATCCAGGGTAGGTAGCATAAATTAGTAAGTCGACAACAGGTATAGGAGTAAATAGACAAAGTATACACAACTTTATCACGTCTTTCATTCCCTAAATATTATAATGTAACACGTGCATTAAGCGCGTCTATATCAAGTCGTACTCTGTTAAGAAATCTTTTGTGCTACTAACAAATTATTTACTAAGTGGCCCTCTAGACCTATGTTTTCTAACCTATGGTCTGCGAGCCGTCGTCGCAGCTGTTCGTCAGCATTGCATTGACTTGCATGTTGTCATGATTTTCAAGAATTAAACACACCATTTTATTCCCTTAAATTAAAAACCTACAAGATGGATATTAAAATGATCGAACTGCAAAACCTTCTAATCTTCTTAGTGGAGGCGAAAACACTATTTATAAAAGAATTAGAGATGATGCTTAAAGTATACCAAATACTATGATATATCTTAATAATTTGAAACGTTCAATACAAACATAAGAGTAAAAAAAAACTTAGGCATTACAATAAGATATTTGTATAGCATGGTTTTGTTGTAATCCCCAGCAGACCCTTATGCGTAATATTTTACAATTTTTCCCAAATAACGCTATGAAATCGTCTAACTGAGTCATTTGCATTGAAAGCATCCGGATTTCACTAAAAGCCACCAGACTTTTTAAAAAGATTACTTGACATATGAACTTAAGAAAAGTTAAATGAAAAAGATAATGACTAGTGACAAGTCGCTGCTTTAAGTGTGTTGTTTAATTGCTCTTCGAATAGCTAAAACATTAAACCATTTACTATTGATGAGATATTAGTGAAGCGTTGCAGCTTTGATATTGCACAGAATTTTGGGTCCTCAAGCTACTAAAAAACTAAGGCTATATCGCTTTCCGACAACACTGTTCAGAGGAAAATGTGGCCATCGATAGCTAAAAGCAAGTGGTCGAGGAAATAAAAAAAACGAGTTGTTTTGCGATTTAACTTAAGGGGTTAACTGACGTGAGCGGCCATGCTAACTTACATTGTCTCGTGAGATAGTGGAGATTTAAGATTAAAGAGAAGAACTTCTTAGTATTCTTACTTTACCTGCGCGGACTACTAGCTAAGAGATATAATATATATATAGCTTGGATAATTATTTCAGGTTCTGGCTTCGCTCAGGCGTAGTTGCGTGCTGCCGACTCAAAAAAAAAAAGTATAAAGTAACTATCTAATAAAAGCATGTTTTAAAGCAGAGGCTAAGACAGGAAAAGCAGTGATTAGTAAGAACGATGTAATCTAAGTAGCTCGTATGAGTAACGAAGTATTCAATTAAAAGTACATACTAGGCCTCATTACTAAAATAGTCACAATGACTTTAATCAAGGAAGCCAGGCTGGAAATATCTGCTTAATGGAGAGCTAATGCCCTTAGACCAAGGGAAGGACCACTGTTGGGATCCAATCCAGAGAGGAGAAAGTAAAAAGCCCAACCAGTTACAGCGCCCTTTTCAATTAAAGTAGATAAAAGCAAAAGGATCAAACTTGGAACTATCAATCAAAACCTAAGTTATTGAGCCTTAGGTAGTAACAAATCGGAAAATCCTAATTTTACAGGGGCTAGTCAATTGCCAAAACACCCGTTCAGATGGGCATTATAAAGTAAAAGATTATGGCTACGAGTTCAAGATTGTTCTAGACAGTGCGTGAGAGTATGGACTCACATCGCCAACATCTCCTACCCCATAGAAAAATGAGGTTTCGAGAAGAGGGGTTTTTTGCATGTTAGTTTAAATCGAGGAAAGAAGTAAGACAACTTCTGCGAGATTGAAAATTTGTCCTAGTAGAGCCTTGTCGAAAGAGGAATGGATGGCTAAGCTTGCATGCATGACTGGCATATTTAACCTTCTGGACGAACTTAGTATCCTGGGGTCTATGTTCACGTGAGAAACAAAATAAATGCCCTCAAAAGAAGGTTAACCCTTTTGGCTAGGCCCGTACATGAGGAAGACAGAAGTGTTTCCACTTTTAGAAGAATTTTTAAATGATACTGACATCAACCTCAGCCTCAATCTCAACATATTAAGCCAACTTTAATATTCCCTGAAAGAAGATCCACCTAAAGGAAACCTATGGTTTAATAATCCCTTCTATGACGATTTAAAATTATGAGCACTTGATCCCCTTGAAAGGAAAAACTATTTGGGGGGGGGGTCTTTTAATGCTACCCTAGTGCCCAGACAAGTCTCATTTTGGATATTTCTCAATAAAGAAAATTTTTTGCAAAGTTATTCACTAAAGCTAACTTAAGCACCGCTAATTTTTAACACTGCTCTTGTGGTTTATTATTGTTGTAAGAAAGTCCATTGTCTTTCTAATTATACGAACACAGTAGTAAATATATAAAAAACCTCTACTATAACCGTTGGCACCTGTCATAAACTCTATGGACTAATAGGCATAGAATGCTAGACGTAAAGTATTCTTTATTGCTTAATCAACTGTTCCAAACTACAAGAGTGATCTCCAGAGCTCCTTTGTCTGCATGGCAATCTATGGAGATGGCTTTAGGCGTCTGTAGCGGACAAGAGGATTCAGAGGCGTGTGGATCATAGTTTGATAGTTGATCGCGGGAAGATCATCCCGCTCGAAGTCGAGTTCGTCGAGGAGCACCGCCCAGATGGTCTTTATTTGCAGATAAGCAAACATTTCTCCGACACACCGATGTCTTCCTAAATCGTATTCGAATTATATAAACAAAAAACCATAAGACATGGGGAATCTTACCGGCACCGAAAGGGACATACGAATACTTTCCGCACTTGACATTCGTGCCTCCGCCTTCATTGCATTCGCTTAAGTAACGAACGTTAAAAAAAGACCACACATTACAAATTTAAATATTATTCTTAACTAAAAAGTAAGTAAGAAAGCAAACAAAATAATAATAAGAATAATAAAAGTTCAGAGAACGCAGTGGGAAGGCCTTCTTTTGTGGATTCAAAGCGGTCTGGAGAAAACTTTTCGGGGTCTTTCCAGTGCTCCTGCAAGATATGGTTGACTGTAGGAGACACGCAGACGATATGCCCTGAATGTAAAAAATATATAAAGGGGAAAGAGGTTAAGAAAAATAATAAAAAGAACCTTCTGGTACAACAAAGTTATTAACTTTGAAGGATTTCTTGCACCTTCGCATGAGTGTCATAATGGGAGGCCTCAATCTTAAAGTTTCCTTCAAGCAGTGGTCCAAAGTCACAAGCTCTTTAAGCTAAACACATTTTTTAATAATCTTAACAAAATGCAATACACTTTTCTTAGGAAAATAAAAACTCAAAGTCAAAGAAACTCGAAAGAGGATATTTAAAGTTGTACGTTATCATAAGAAAGCGAGTCGGAAATAACGTTTCTGACTTCGCTTCTGCATTTTTCTTTGAGCTGTTTGCTTGTACACAGAAAGAAGCCCAACCAGGCCGATGTCGTCGACGACGTGTGCTGACCCGCAAGAAGCATCGCAATGCACATTCCGCTCACTTGCTCGTCTGGAATCAACCAGACAAGGGCCAATAAGCGCATGACAATCAGTACCAAGAGGCTAGAGACCCGTTAATTGGGTGCCGTTTCGGTAGGTGGCCGTCATAAAAGTGGCCAGCATATCGGACTCGTTTAGGCGGTTTTCTTTTCGGCGAGCTTCAATGATTTCTTGAAAGATGCGCTTCAAGGCATGATGCGCTCGATCCCGGCGGATGAGGGAAGGTAGTGGAACCCACGCAGGGAGTAGCCACGCGGCCTACCGGATTAATTATCCGCTCAACTTGCCGAACAGGCCAATAAAGACGAGAGACGCGACCGACGAGAAACCGCCGTCAAGATCGGAATAAAGTTTAGCCACGGACGAGTCGAGTTTGCTTCGAATTTCTGCGCCAAGAAGGCATCGTGACGCGGTGGCGATGATGAGTTCAGAGAGAAATTCAAACAAATTCATTTCACCCTCAGCAGGAAGTCCTCTATACAAAAAGATGTTTTACTGCAAAGAGAACGAGAAACTTAAAAGCTAGAAAACTAAAAGAAGTTGGCTTTAAATGAGAAAAACACAATAAAGTCCCAACTTTCTATAAAATGAAGTATAGTAGAAAAAACTTTTGAGACTTTTTAAATAGTAAGTTATTAAGAAATAATTATATAAGTGAATCGAGTGTACTTAATGTGATCTCTAGTTTCTTCTTCAATCATACCGACATACTCCTGAAACCTGGCAACGGTTAGCCCATTTTTCATTATTTTTTTCTGTTCGCAAAATTCCTAGTAAATATATTACGATAATAAGAATTTTAGTTATTATTATAAAATTCCATAACAATAAATATTACTAAAACGTAAAAAAAGATCCGAAACGTTAAAATATTATGACTAGGATATTAGTAAAAAGTTTATACCGCATTTTCGACGTCATAAGCCACACCTTTTCCAAAAACAGGAACAGTTAACTTTGCGTAAACTTCCTCTGCATTTAAATCTTCGTTTTTGGAATTAAACCAACAAGAAGAAGCTTCGGAGCCGACCAAATAGGTACAAGTGTTGCCAAACATATAAACGCTAAAGACACTGCCATGCTGGGAAGAGAATATAGAAATAGTTATAAAAAAATATATCTATTGCGAAAAAATATAAAGCTCAAGATAAAGCAAACGCAAAAAAGTTCTTATTGCCTTTTGATAAGCTTTGCGTAAGAATAAAATAGGATCCTTGCCAAAGGAAAAAGCAGATCCAATAAAGGGCAAAGCATAGGAAACTAAAGGGGGAAGTTGAGACTGAGCCCGTTTTTTTAAATTAAGGTGAAGACAATATAACAGCACTAACGTTGAGAATAGTAGACCCTAAACATATAATTTATATACGAAGGCTCGATGTAAATAAAGTTGAAAAAGAGAAAAGAGGAAACCGATAATGGAAGTTTATACAAGCGAACAATCAATTCCATTATGAGTATAAAAGTTTTTATAAATAAGATAGGTATCAGTAGATTCTATGTCTTCCTCTTAGTAACTCAAGTAAAAGCTATATAATAACGCCTCGGAACCTGCGCTGAACGCCCTGGAGCTAAAATCTATAACCAATCGAGCTTAGAAGTGTCTCTCTTCCACCTTTGTTTTATTGGCTCTCTGGCGGTACGGTCACCATGGAAGAAGTAAGAAAACGGCAAAAAGGGGTCCGCTAACACATATTGTTACTGTTAATGCTATATTGTCTTGCCAAGTAAAATGCTCAAGTTAGTGAAGAGTAGATCTCTCTAATTATTATATTTAAAGGGGAGAGCAAAGAGCCAAAAATCCCATTTTTCTTGCTGTATTAATAATCTCTTATATATAAGATTAAGATAGAAATCTAGTAAGTCAAGGTTATTAACACTAACATCCAATATTCCACTGTGATTCAATATTGAATACTCTATAAAAATTTTAAATTAGTATAAGCCCATTAGATAGATCATGTTTTTTTTATTAGATTAAATCCTGTAAATTTACTGAGATTTTTATAATAAAACTGCGTTGATGTTGATTGGATGAAATGAGTATAGCTTAATACAGTTCTCTTAATTTCTCTCGTTTAGTTTGGAAAAGTTTCGTTACTGATCGTACAAAGACATCAGCACTATAAGAAAATTATGTGAATTGGACTATAAAGTTTAAGAAATATCAAAAAAATTGATTATTTTATACTTTCTAATGTTTTCGAGAGATTTGCCTTCAGATACTATAAAGATGCATGATCTTCCTAAACTTTATTATGTATACAATTAGATGTTTCGTTAAAGGCTACTTAGGGCTTAGACGTAGAGAAGTTTAAAGTTTTACCACCCATTTTTATCTCAACCCCTTTTTACTCCCTCTGTGTCTGTGCTTAGCCCTAAAAAGTGTTCCTCCTCGTTTTTAAGTACTATTATTTCTTTCAAATACAATAGAAGTGTTTATAAGAGCCGTCAGCGGAGGTTTAATAATTATCCTCAGGTTTCAAAATTGGTGTACTTTTAATAGTAGAGTTTTTGGCGTTAGTAACTTTCTAAACTTTTAACAAATCTTAGAAGTAACCATTAGTATTATCCCTAATCCAATTTTGTCATCTTTAACTATCTGCGGTTTCGATTCGAATTTCTAAAAGCGTCCCTGTTTTAGCTTATATAATTTTGTTAAATAGGGAGCAGTATAAATAGCTATAATTCTTAGCGTACTTTTTTATAAACAACGTTAAAATTAATTACTTCTCTCACTTTACTATAAAAATAAAAGCATCTACCCAAACTTATATATAAGCAGGCTTCAATATTTATAACTGAAAAAATGATAAAAGTACTTTGAACCAGGGAGTGGTAAAATGAAGAACGCTGTTAAAGTTTGCATATTTGTTTGTTAATTTTGCTTATCAATGGAAGCAACCTAACATTTTATGCATTATCATTAAAATGAAAATATAACTTAGTAAGATTATCCACACTAGCAATATAAAGCCTTTATTTACAATAAAATCGTATGCTTCTGCTTTCTAATTGTTGGTCTCTTGCTCTTTGCTTTTGCGTTAGTACATACCGTTAATCGGTTTTAGATCCTGCATAAGTTATTTCCATTTTGAGAAAAAGTATAATATGAACACAGAGCACATTTGAAGTGACTACTCCCCAACGCACTCTACTAATTATAATACTAAACTGAGTTGTTAAGTCTTATAACAAGCCAGCTATCAAAATATGTGCAGGCTACTATAAAATATAAAGTTTAAGTACTTTCGTACCGAAAGCTCGTAGCATGAATTTTATTACTTTAAAACTAATATAGAAGAAGTGTAACTGTTTGTGCTATGCAGTCATTTATTCATGTGATAAATTATGTGTCATATCAAGTTCAGGGCAAACCTAATTGTATGATGGTTTTCAAGTTTTTTGCTCTTTTTCTTACATCGAACTGGTTATATCAGAATTACGAAAAGTGTCCTGGGAGACCGAGAGGAGACGTTAAAGTCATTTTTCAGGACATTTTACAGACTGGGTTAAGTTTTCCGATACCTTGATACGACTCTATCAACATCTTTAATGCTACTTACGGCATTTTATATTGCTTTTGCCATATTCGCAGGTGATGAGACCATGGCGTACTCCACCACGACAAGTGAAGTTAAGTACAGCCTTTTAACTATCTGCTGGCTCTTAGCTGCAAGCGTCGACACGTTATCGAGTGGCCACGACGTCACAGCGCCATGACGGCAAAATAAGTGCTCAATCCACAACACCGGCAGATTAGAAAAAAGCTATCTAGTACACCACAGATGGCAATTGTAGGCAAACTTGACTGACGATAACGGCGCGTCTTCTTCCGGCAGTTTATTAAGATATACAGAAATCGGGTACGTTCACAACTATCCTTTTCTAGGAGACGAAGACTTTGTGGCGAAAAACGGCGTAGACAAAGTGACACTCTTTGCCGCTTGCCTCGTTGCCCAGTGTATGCCTGCTGCTTCTTTAGTTTCTGATAAAATGCTTTTTAAGTCAATTTCTCTCGCTAAGAGGAACTTGAGTCCAGTACCAAACTCAAATTCAAGGAGATTATTATTACCACTCTACAGTGTTGACAGAGACCTGATTTGGAGGGCATGAGTAACGTGACGCTAAGCAAAAGCTGATGGTGGCGGTTGATCGTCTATGCTGCCTCGTCAAGTTGACGATAGCTCCTGGCTTCTTCCCGTTGCAGTGAAAGACGGCCGCTCTTGCAGTGCTAGCTACCTAGGACACCGCGTCCAGCCTCTGCGCCAGATAATTACCAACCTATCAGCCTCTTGCCGCGATTCACAAAGTAGCTGAAACCATAACGCTGCGCCGCTTGAAAGCGTATGTTTACTTTACGCAAGCTTTGCCCTGCCAGAGTTCTAATTTGTGTTTCAGCAAAGGTATTTAACTACGCAACAGCTCGTCCTGACGGAATGAACGCTCCGTACCTCCAACTCTGAGAAGATAACAGGCGACGTCAATCACGGTCGAAGAAGCGTTTTGGCACAAAAACTGGTTTTATAAATAGTGTGCCCTAGTCCCCCCCCCTACTGCTCTTCTCAACGTGCTTAAACCTTGAGCATCTTCAATACACTCAAGGCAGAGACTCGAATTACTTTATGCCTGAAGTAAATCTCGTTATGTAAAAAGCGATACCTAGTATCTTGTGTATAAAAAGGAGTTCCACCATTTCCTTTGAAAGGTGAAAGTAAGGTTTTACCAATATAAAAACTTAATTGTGTTGAAATTTATAAATTTTTAATAAAAACTTCTAATAAAATCTTGAGTTATGGGCAAAATCTATAGTACTCTTCCACCGTCTAAGTGACATAGTAAAAATAAAACTTTAAAACTTAAAAAACGTTAGTAATTAAAAAGAAATATTAACGCAGAGGAAAGGGAAAAAGGAGATTATCGTATTTTGTCCCAACGGTTTAATTTAGGATCCACGTAAGTAAATGCAACCATGGTGTAGTGGAAAAAACTTGTATAAAACGGATGCACGAGGATTTAATTAAAAGCTGTAAAATTTAAAGTAAACTAACATTTTTACTCCAAAGGTGGTAAATCTATGATTTCTAAATCTATACACTTAGCTCTAAAACAACTTTAATAAAGGAGCAAGTACATTTAATATTTAAAACAATAAACGTCGTGCGAAGACGGTGCTGTCACACGATCGTAATAGTGCGTCGTTCTTTTTTTTTGCCCAATAAGTTTCTGAGGGTTCTTTGATAAGCTAAATAAGCCATCTTCCAATTTCATTTCAAACAGTGAACCTCTAATCCAAAAATTAAAATAAATAAAAAGTCAAAATTATTGTAAAAATTCAAATTTTTACTACAAAAAAAATCAACATTTACAAGTTAGCGACATCGTAAGGATTTCGAAGTAAAAAAAGTTCCGTAGATCCGCTAGAAATTATGATGTTTTTTGCTATTATAAAGATTTGAAATGTTTAATATATTATATGAAACCAACAAGAAACCTTTACATAACTTTAGCAGTGCATTTGCGTTCAATATGGTATTTCTTCTGGCCGTTGAGTCTTAAGAAATAGTAACCTTCAGAAAAAACTAAGAAATCGGCATCAATGATGCTCAGAGATGTTCTTTAACTTTGTAAACTAACGAAGATTAGAGGCTACAAAAAATAAAGCAAGATAAGAAGTTAATAAATTACACGCCTCTTTTTTTAAATTAAATTACTACTTTTTTTTAAGTTTTTCTAAGTGTTATAAATCATATTCGACCCGTGAGGTTGCTTTTACCTTTAAATAAAAAAGAATACTGGATCTCGAAATAAATCCCACGGTTTACAGCCTGTACAAAAGACAAAAAGTAAAAATGATTCTAAAAAAATAAATTAAAATAAATTAATAAATTTAAATTAAAAATAATGAGAAACTATAGAAACGGTGCTAAAAATGAAGACAAATGCTATTACCAATAAAAAAAGTAAACGCCGAATTAAAAAAAAAGTAAATTTAGCAAAAATTCAACTTCCAAAACAGACTCTTTTTTTAAAGAGAAAGAGAGTCTCTCTGAAAGATCGAGAGATATAATATCGATATTCCAAGTGGAGCAACACTGCTTAAAAACACTCTCGGTGAGAGGCATCATAGCAACAACATCAAAATTATCTCGAGCTTCAGCCTAAGAAAAGTTAAATATAATCTTCTACCTTTTAAGTGGTGTTTCATACATAAGAACAATAAAAGTTATTAAACCTTACAAGAAAAAGACAAATATTAAGTAAATACCAAAAAATTTGCTGGAAGATCTTTGTGAGTTTCAAAAGTAATTCTACGGCTAATTAAAAATTGTTTGTTCGGAGAGAGTGCAGTTAGTTTTTTAACCCTATTGATAACAGCTGCTACCTATATATAAGTCTCTTTAGCTAAAGCAATCTGTACATCTTAAAAGGTTTTATGTTCATAATAACTGCCTTTGTTTAAGATAAAAAAATAGCAGTTTTTTAAGTAATATATTAAACTTTTGCCTTGTCACAGAGCCTCAAACTTTCAATGCTGACCAGGTCAGGCTTTGTTTTTTTCTTTTTTGGAATTGCTGGACTTGAAGTAGTTAGTTGTGAATTCCTTAAAATCTGGTTTATGCTAACTCCTGCATAACCCACTAACATAAGAATGTTTCACTTAACCTTTTTAATAATATAAAAGATATAAAGGTACTTACAACCACCTTTGGCTAAATGTTAACAATCTACAAAATATTTATGTATATAAATTAATAAGGTACATTCTATTAGTCTTAAAATACTTTCGACGGTAGGCAATTCTCCTTGAAATGGAAGGTTTGCATCGATAAACATCGAAGGTCTCTGCCTTTAATATTTCACAGTACGTGGCCTACCAGAGTTGTACAACAAACATCCTCACGAAATCGACGTGTTGAGGGCGCTCGTCTTCGTTGTTGACTCGATCGAGCACCATGAAAAATTATTTATATTGAATAAATTGTGGGAAGCTGACCATGAAGCTCTAAAGCTACTGATCAAGGTCGTGCTTCCAAGCTTTAATTTCTTTAGTCGCATATTACAAATACATTCCCTCTATTGTCCACTATCATAATTGCGTTTCTGACGTTTAAATAGACATTTAGTGTTGATTATCATTTAAATTCGAGACCTTAGTTTTGCTTTCTCTTAGTAAAGTGCCTTCCGCTTAGTTTTTCCAAGTTCAAAGTTTTCCATTTTCTTCTTTGGTTTCCATTTTTTAAGTTCTATTTCTATTTTAAACTCTTGGATATAAGTTCTGTTCTCGCCTCTTCGCTGCTTTCACTTAGTTGAGTCTTAATCCCACTTTTGTTCTAATCCCTTATTAGTTTTTTTTTGAAGTTTTTCTACCTATCTCTATCTTTAACTCTCAAAGAGTTTAATTTTGGGCTCTTGTTATCTTTAGAGAATTTTATGACCTTATGGTCGTAACAGTAAGTGTATATGTATGTAAAGATATTCAGCTAGTTACTTATTTATTTACAGTAAAGACGTTCTGGATAGATGTTTACAATAAGTGTAAAATATAAAGGTATTCATAATCTCTATACACATATCCCCTCATACATGTATTGCTAACTTAAGAGCATATTAAACGTATGGCCTCGTTACACACAACCAACGATTCTTGTTTTATAACTCCTGATAAGCCAAAATACTACAAGAGCGTAAGCCTATATTTGCTATTCTGCGTTTCAATAACATTCAAACTCAAAAGGGTCCTTTGCTCAAAGAAGTTAGCACGCACAGCTACTTGTTCGTAAAAAACGGGATGTAAGCATTTAAAGATCGTTAACAGCGTCTATAAAGCGTCCGGGTTAGAGCATCAATGATATAAGTAGGTTCAAACTTGTACGTAATCATCGGTATACTCAATTAGTCAGTCGATTTTTGATTACAGTGGTGCGTGCCATACCTTCGCCACTTACAGCTACTATACCATTCTCGCTAACGTACATAAAATGAACAAATCCCTGGAATAAAAATATAATTTTAAAAATAAATGAAAAGTTCCCCTTTAATAAATCACAAATAAAGGTTTTCGTATTTAAAGAATATAATGCGCTAAAACCAATCGAAATAAACCTAACTACAGATTGCAAATTTTCTATATGTAATGACAACTAACTACAAAGAAGGAAGTAAAATAAACAATACTTTATCTAAGCTATATTTATGATTTTGTTGCAATCGCATATAACTTTTTAAGCAAATCATTAAAATAGAATCAAAAACATCTGTAACTAATACTTTGAATTTAGTTTTACAGTAAACAAAATTGGTTAATATATCTTATATGAAGGTATGCACAGACTGTTAAGTAAAGCGCTCTTAAACCTTATTATAAATTTTCCTGTGTAGTAAGAGGGTTGAACTGATCAACTATATAATATTTATTGCATGACTTTAAATTTTAATTCCCTGTTTTTTGCTTACCCGTGAAGGATGATCAGGATGGTCATCTTCTATATGTCAAGAACCCCAATTTGGCTGTATATATATATATTGTCCAGGGAGTTATAATTAAGTAGTTTTGACTTGTAGGAAAGTGCCCAGTGCTAATGAAAGCAGTATTTATTATCATCTCACACAATTAATTATATTAATAACTTTTTAACTTAAAAGTTTTATTGTGTTTTATAATAACACATTATTACGCTTAGACGTTATCTAAACTTGACACATGTTGCTTTTAACTGCATCTTTTTACTTTGATTTTGATCCTATATGAGTATGAAAGCTCTTTTTTGATCTCTCGAAGAATGGTAAGATTTTTTATAGTTAATTTTAACCATTTTCTTTAGAATAGGTCAAAAATAAACAGCCAAAAATTAAGCAGTAGAAAATATTTAATTTCATACCCACGTGTCTTTTGCATCATACAATAATTTTTTTAGAAAAATGGAGACGTTATGCGATATTTTTCTTGACTCAGGTTTTAAGTTTTTATTATCTTATATTAATAACTAACTTACCATAGTACTTAAGTTGCCTTTTTTCTTAGCTTATTATCTTAATGGTCACCATACAGCTTTTTAAAGTTAGTTACTTTTATTGGCCCCACTAAAATAAGTTTCTTCGCTCAACTATGCATTTTAGACTTTTAAAAAATTAATTTTTTTAAATATAAAAAAAATATAACCTTTTTTGATTGACTACTAGTAATCTTTAATTTTAATAATTTGTTTTTTTTTTTTTAAATTTTTTTTATTTTATATACCACCTTTCAATTTTAAAAGGAGTGGAAAAATAATGGGTTATTAGCCCGAAAGACTTGAGATAGATACTTTCTCTCTTTCTAATTTCCCCTTTTATGAATACGTATGGGAAAGTATGTTTTTTTTCTTCTGATGCATCATTGTTTGTAGCCTTAATGGTTTCTCTTTTTCCTGTTCTGCTATCTCATATTTTGAAGTTTTTCTGCAATAGACGGAGCACATATACGAGACCTCGCTCGTGGAAAGGCTATTATTAAAGAGAGTACATGATAATTATTTTTTTTTTGCCTACCATCCAAGCCCTAAAGCGCAGCAGCAACTCGCCGAAATGAAAGAAAATAAGTTGTTGCACTTCTTAAAAACTTGTAGCTTAAAAAAATAAAGCAAAATTTTAAGTCATTTAATATTCTAGAGTGCTTTACAAAGCTTGAGATGTCAAGTAAAAGCCTTAAGTGGGCAAGCGACGAAGAAACACTCGTGCTGCTTCTACCGCACGTGCGCCATAGAATTGTGTTGCGCTGAATGCCATGAATTACAAAAGCTTCATTGCGTTGCGGGGCGGCCGTCTCTGCGGATTGGTTTTCTGCCGTCGTTATTCTTCAAGAAGCGTTTTTATAAAAAGTTTTTTTTTACTCTGGTATTAAACGTAAGGTTTTATCAGTATTTGTAAACTTGGCTTTGCAATACTTTTAAAAAAAGTTTGCAACTCTTGTTACGAGCTCCTTGCAATACCAGGAAATAAGGAACAATAGACATTAAATACTTCATCCCAAGCGCAGGAACAGCTATAGTGGTAATTACGATATTTAAGTTTAGAAAAAAATGTTAGTCGACGTAAAGATGCATCAGTTGTTAGAAGAAAGGATTCTTAACAGATAGCTTAAGTAGTTTTGGACAACAAAAAAATTTTGCATTGACGAAAAACAAGCAGCGAGGGGTGATGGCACGATTAAGGATTAAAAAAGCACGATCTATGCGAATTACAATTATGCTTTAGCATACACGAAAGGGGTGTAGGGAGCACTTAAACAGAAACAGTTGTTACGGAGATTTAAGGCGAAAGCAGTTGCATGCAATTCACTAACAGCTGTGCCTGACTAAGTCCTCCGGGTTCTTGTCCTTCCTTTATTTTTTGTTAGATACATTGGAAATCTTCTAGAACTGCCGGCTTATTTGCTTCACGGTGTCTAGTATTTGAGATTAAACGCCGTCATACCCTGTTTTTTCAGGCCTCTGCATTTGTTTGGTGACGCCTCACCGAAGCTTTTTCGGAATACTATTACTAGAAGTAAGCTTAATACTTTTTGCATCAGCAGAATACACTAACTTTTGTTTTGACTATAATGAGCCCGCTAATTAAACTTTAGAGCTCTTGCAAATTGCACTATATAATCTTATGGAATCTTATCGCTCTCGACCTTGTTTTCTCCATCACTGAGTCCTCACATAGCAGAATCTTAATGTCCCTGCTCTTACTGATTTTGTGCCAGTTACTGTACACAAGGGAATTTTTTTTTTTTTGAAGTTAATTTTATTCGTCAAAGGAAGGCTTTTCATGTAATACAGAATATTATTACTCTTTTTGAGATTTTTTTTTAGCTTTATCCTTGTTACACAACTTACTTAACAATAGCTTTTTTCTGCAAAAGATGGGCGCAAAGAGCTTGTTTATGTCTTGTAGCCTCTTTTCTTCTAGACTGTAGTAAAGATTCTAAAACCCAGATGATTTTTAATTTCTTACCTTCTACTTCTGCGCTAAACTATAGCAGGGCTTGGTGGCCTCTGGACGTGGGTTTTCTATCTTTCCTGATGAGTTCTATTATTTATATTAGATGCCAGAGTACCTGTCTAAATGGAATTATTGTTTTCCGGACAGCTTTATAGCTCTGGTACTACTCTAAAGTAGTATGTTTTTATTATAGTTACAGGTTGCACAAAAGATTGAAGGTTATCAACTAAACGTCTCTTGCTCATCGTGGTGGTTGGTAGAAGCGGCGGAAAACACTATATTCGTGGAAACTGGTTTGCGAAGTCTAAGTTTTACACGATTACTGTAAAATTTTTAGCGCGTATTTCAACGTATCAATGGACTAGAAACCTTATTGTCATTTTGCTCCCTAACTCTTTCGGTGCACCGACTTTTACCCGCTCTACTTCGATAGAGGAACGAGAAAATTGTCATTGTTAAAGTCCACTTTATAAAACAATTATGAGAACTGGCAAAACTACTTCTGATGTTTTAAAGGTACAACGTTTCATCTTTCGCGTGGTTAGCTCGTCATGATTTAGGCGTCATGCGAATTCTAGCAGCCATGCTTCCTTTTCTTAGCTCTGGTTGTATGCCTGTTCTATTTCTTGACGTCTTATGCAGTAATACTTTTCCGGCTTATAGAGTTTGAGGTGTTTCAGAATCTCGCCATTCTTTGTGAGAATATTTTGTAAAAGGAGTAGGTTTTAGGCTAGTATATTTCATTTTTGAAGCTTGTATAGAGGCGTTATAGTTAATTGCATCCTATTTTTTTTAACACAATGTATTTTATAAATATGGCCAAGAATAGGTTTTATAAGCAATAAGAAGAAATTTTTGCCAGATTAAAAAACATTCTTTGAGAAGTGCTAGTACTCAGCATAGTCAAAGTGTCATATAATTTGACTTTTTTTTCCTTAAAGAAACAAAGGCCCATTCTACAGCTGAAGAAATACTGAAATCACCCTAAATTACTTCCCGTGTAGTTTTTAGTAAATATACTTTAAGGTTAATTTCGGGTAAAACAAACAATTTATGATAAATTTAGAAAAACTGGATTTTGAAGAATTGTGGGAAAGGGTATATGCATAGGTATTAAGGTATTAAGTGTGAAAAGTGTGGCACGTCAAATATTTTCCCTTGAACGCAGTGGAGCTCTAAATAAATGGTTAGCCATCAACTTTTGGATATATACCAAAGGAGCAATGTTGTTTAAAACAGATATAAGTGCGCATTACGTTACTTACCTCTTCCACCTAACCGTGAGAATTTTTAGTTTTACACTTTCGGGGGATAGATTTTTTATATAATATATGAACCTGCATCTCATCACAATAGTTAACTTCTTGTTATTAACCTTAATTTTATCTAGGGTCTAGGTCTGTATAGTTTTTGTTTACAGGAGTTATTTTGAAAACTACGGTTGCTTAACGCTTGCATTAACACATTAGGTGTATCTCTTTTTGTATCTGGCAACTTTTGTTTGCCTCGGCGTTTACCTTGTACAACTCGGTTGACGGGCAGCGTATCCAAGCTAGCAATAAACGTATCTTTTCAGTTTTGTTTTAAAGTCCTTCAATCGCGTAGTTTTCATTCAACCTGTGGAGTTTTCACCAAAGATTGTGATACAAGCAGAGACAACACGTTTTGTTAAATTGCTCCAAGACGGCGCCTAACTATTTGTGGGTAAGCCTACCATGTATATACTACGAATTATCAAATCTATTACGCCAATCCCCAAAAAGTGCGAAAATAAACTTCAATAGAGGTATTTGATGCATCTCTATTGAATCTTTGTCCTCTTTTTTGGTCTTAAATTTATTATGGTCCCTCTTATAGTCGTAAATTCACCACATTCTCGAGAATTTTTCCAAATCTATATCTGAGAAAAGGGCCCAAAAATGTAAAATTATATATATCAAATTTTGATTCGCTCACCCCTTTTGTCCTGCATCTATTTGCTAAAGTCGTGTTTGCAGTTTTAATAGTCTAGCTCATTGCTTTGAGAAAAACATAGCATCCTTTTGTTATATATGTGGAAGTATTAGCTACTTCGAGCGCCTAATATCTTTACCTTAAAAACAAGTCTTAAATAAAATATTACGGCTTTGCTTTATAGGTTTTTGCATTTACAACTGGTTTTTAGTTGTAAATATAGCTGTTCTTATCAATTTTTTAAGCCTTGTAATTTTAAGCAGTTTTATAATATCTTGTGCGTATGCTTAAGTTCCGTCTTAGCAAGGTTTGCAAATAAAAATAATGGTAAAGTCTAAGTCTCTATCTCTGCTAACTTTAAGATTTTTAAGAGAATACACTGGTGAACGTTTCGTACTCAAACTGACTTTCACGAGGAAAGTACCCTAAAGTCATCAACGCTTAACAAACGGCTTGCCGGGCTCTATAATAAATATTAAATAATCTTGCTTTGCTTATGGTTTTCATATTTATGTACTGTTCCTAAACAAATTAACTGTAACTCTCATGACTTCGGATCTAAAGGTCTGAGCGCTACCATTATGATAAAAAAGCATATAAAGAATAAAATTTTTAGTAACAGGGTTTGAGAATGACTTAAAATATTGTGCGAGGTAGTAAGTCGATATATAAAAATTATAAGCATAAAGTACCATCTATTAAATTAACAAAAGATAAAATCAATTAAATCTCAATTCTAAATATTTCTGTTTTTATAATAAAATTATAGTATCTATATATTAAAACGTTGCTGATAAAGGTGAGAATCTAAAACTATCAGGAATATGAGAATTAGTATGTAACTCCCACCACAAAGATATGCCGAAAGAAGAAGTGACACGGGATTTATATAGTCACTCGATCCAATTTGCTGACTGAAGTTGTTTAAAAATTAAGAAGTCTAGTTAATAACCGTTTTTCCATCCTGCCAAAATTGAACGCCTCTGGCAGAAAGTCAGAGAATCAAAGCATAGTCAACGCAGGACAGGAGAAAAATACTACTTTAGGCGCAGTTTCTTAAAGTACGTTAGGCACATCTAAATAACTTACACAATTTTGAATTGCACAAACAAAAGATGTACAATTTTAAATTTTTTGTTTCTTGTGCCGTAAACAGTGAACCATCCCCGTTGCGTACTTCCTCAAAGAAAAAAAAAAGCACTGCAAAGGTCATAGTTGTGGTGGGTTATAAGAGACTGTAAATTGGCTTCGGAAGAGCACATTAATTAAAAAAAGCTAAAATTAGTTAAAAATTTTCTACCATTCAGAGCGGGAATTTGCGAAGAAGCTCAGAAAACACCGTAAAGGCAATCAAACTTTTCATTAAAAACACATAAATCTCCAAAAATAAAATTGATATGCGACGTTAAAAAGAAATGTATCGGAAAATTTATTATAGCAAGCCAAATAACAGAAATACTACAACTATTTAAACACAAGTAACTGCTTTGAAGAGCTTGAGATTAGTAACGTCTACGAGGCGAGTTATAACCAGTTACGCATAATGGAAATCCAAAGTAAAAGCCCTCCAAACTTCTCGTCGCACGAAAAAAAGAATTCTTTTTTAGTTAGGAATCGGGCAGAGCGGGTCATCCTCCAGCGTGAGTTCTAAGAGCGGTATATCACCAGCTAATAAGAACAAAAAGAAATGTTATAATTTTACCATCGAGCATCTCTTCAATAGAAGGCTCTGGAAAGTCTTCTTCTCCTTCATCTTCTTCGTTACGCACAGCGCAGTCGTCGGAGTTAAAGTGAAGATCTAGATATAACAGATCAACTACAAAAAAGCACGAGTAAAAAAAAACGATAAACTTTTAAAGATGTTTATGGTAGAGCGAAGCTCTCGGTCCTCCTCCACATCTTGAAGAAATGACTCGAATGCGGCACTTAACAAAGTAGTAATGCAAAGCAAAAGAATATATAAATAAAAAGCAGATCAAGTCAACCTGGCCTTATCTTGCTCAAACTGGTTGGTACACTCGATTTCCTTATCGAGAGTTTTCAGCTTCCACTTTCTAGAACGCCTGTTCTTTCGTCGGTAAGGATAATGTTTTTTAACCTGGAAATCTAAAAATATCCGCAAGAAGTAGGTTACTTTTTATAAAGGTACCAAAAGCACAGGTAACAGCTGGCAGTGATCGAGACTCTCAAAATCAGAGTTGTTGGTGTTGAGGGAAGTCAAGTCGTAGCTACAGAGGCAAGCAGTAAGCAGACAGCCGATAGGGTTAACAGGAAGAGTAGAAACCCCAAACAGCTGTCCCCCGGCCGCAGAAGGTTGCCAAGATGCGTTCGAGTAAAGAAAGATCCAGACGCCCGCCCTAAGTCGCGGGCGCGCACGCACTGGACATCCGCCAAAGCAAACTATATAAAAGCGTTGGGTGTCAGGTGAAGAGGTCAAAACGAAGCGCGCTGACTTTCCCGCGGGTGGAGACGGGCTCCACATCCAAAACAACAAACTCTAGCAGATCTCCGTATGAGCAAATAGCGCTAAACGGCTCTTTCCAGTACTTTTCATTGGTAACTTCGGCCAGCTGACATCCACTTAGACACAAACAGCACAGAGAAGAAACAAATTACTCGCCTGTAAAGTGTTTGGGTCTATTAACTTGAGGGAAGTGCCCACGCGGAGACAAAGCAGAACCTGAAAAAAGTATAGATGCCAATAGCCTACGGCAACAAACTTGAAGGCTAACGATAGTAACCTGGCTAATATTCCCCGAAGATCTGGCTAGTTTAGCTGGTAAACAAATAAAATCATCCTAAGAAAAAAAAAAATTAAAGGATGAAATAAAAAAGCTCGGGTGCACAGAAAACCTTACATATGGGGACGATTTCTACTGAATATGTGTGCTTAAAGTTAGCTGTATTACTCTGCAAGTCGGTGGACATTAGGCGTTCAGAAAGTTTTAACCTTCCACGACATGGAATGTACTATAACTAAACATAATTAACATATACGCCATACCTAACCGGGGCCACCGACTGAAGAAAATCTACCATTTTTATAGCGTCGTTTCTGGTAGAATAGTAAAAATCCAAGCCTCAAATAAACTCGAGAGTAAAGAATTATATGGAATTTATATAGTTTGCAAGAAACCATCCGGCCTCTCTTTAATGTTTATAGTGCGAACGTGAGCTCTGTGCTTAAGTATTAACTGTTCGAGGTAATAGAAGGTCTTTTTGTGTTTAACTTTTTGACGCAGTTGTACGACGGCGTTCCAATGATCTAATAAAATACTAACTATTACTTAAGAGTCCAAAAAAAAAAATTATTAAATAACCTTTGGCAGCCCCTTGATGGCAGTCCTCACAAAAAGAAGGCATTACCACAAACTCAACAACAAAAGAATGCTGTAAGACTGTACTGGAAAAAACCTAAAGAAAAGCAATAAATAAGACTTCAGAAATAATACTCTAGTTATTAAAAAAAATACAGCTTTCTCTATGATAAGTTTAACTTTAATTCTTTTAGAATGAGGCTCCGTCCAAACAAAACTTGCGTCAACTAACCTTACTTTACTAAGCCCTAAAAAAAATAAAAGCAAAAACTTAAAACAAAATAGTATGTAGCAAAAACCTTTCACCCTTTTAAGCAATATGGCAAGAAGTTGGGGAGATTCCAACTCAGCTGTCACCCAGTGAGAAGGAGGGATATTATAACGTTGACAGCCTCTGCAAAAATTGATGTAAGACTGCCTTGGTATTTCTATAAAGAATAAGAGTTAAGTAACTTTAACGAAGTATAAAGTTAATTCCTTTAAAAACAAAACCTTCGGAAATATCAATTTTAGAACGTAAGCAGGGCACACACATGTTAGCAGAATTAGGGTTAATGGGTAAACCACAAACACAGCACAACACAGTTGGCAAGGTGACATTGGGATTGTAATAACTTTGAGAATTCATAACTTAAGCATTATTAAAACAAAAAATAATTGAGCTTCAAAAATAACTACAAAAATTGAATAAGTGACCACCCACAGACAATTGAAAAGAGGCGAGTTGCCCCTTCCAATAAACACGTGGGTTTGGTTCACGATCTGTAACTTTACGTAAACAAATGCTGTAACCATCGTCCTTTCGACTTTAGAATTGATACCTCATTAAACAAGGCCGGTGTTCCCTTGTGGATGAAGTAATATATATAGGATTGTCTATATATCTCTCTGTTTTTCCTCCGAAAATTGTGTACAAAGGTTAACATCGATTGATTTTTTATGTTTGTGGTTTTTTGGTAAAATCGAATTTTAGAAATTTAATCGTATACTTACTTTTTCGATTAACCATGCAAAGCTTTACGCTGTGCTATCAGTATTTTGCTATAGTTTTAATTTTTTTAATGTTTCAGTTTTAACGCCATTCTTTCCCTATATAGTTTTACCTTCGCTGGAGACTTATATAGCTTTTTAAATATGTATTTAGTTAGATACACTATTTGGTTAATTTTAAAGTCATATATATATATTATATAGTTACTGTTTCTATAAAATACTTATTGCATAACATTGTTTCTATATTGTTGAAGTCTTACCCTTAACCCTTAACTTAACCTAACCTAACCCTTATAAGACTTGTTTTATATTTTTCCGACCACTAAAAAGCTTATATGTGCCTTTTATATTATTACATTCACCAGGTATCATTTATTCTCAAGTTGTAGGATATTTCAATACTATTAATACCCGCGTACAGTAGGTTTTTTAAGAAATTCTAACGAACATAAAAATTTTAAAAGTACAAAAACTTTTACTAACGAAAGTTTTATCTCTACTTTATATTAAAAATGAATTACTAAGGTTAAATGTAAAGAATATCTGTTTATCCCTCACATTAACGAACAATGCATATGTGATGATTTGGGTGTAATGGGAGCGTTTAATGAGAACACAAAGATGAATATAAAAGTTTTATAACATAACTATCATTCTTTAAACTTGAAGACCACGTTAATATGTGGTAGACGCTACGCTTATTTACACTATATGAAAAACAAGAAACTTTTAAGTAAAAGGGGAACGAGACATTATACAAACGATAGAAAAAGTTTTAAATCTTATTTTACTGGACAATTAGCGTTTCTTGCCAGAGGAAAAGCCGTTATACAATAATCAATAACATGATATAATACCACTCCAAATGGTCTTTTTAGACAATTAAGGTCTTCACTGTAAACTAACTTCTGTAGTATCGAGTCTCATAAGTAATTCAAAAGATCGTTAAACCTTGTGAATTTTTTAAGTTGCTACAATAAGCTAAAGTTAAGTGCAAGTTGGTAAGTGGATCTGAAAGCTCAAGGTATAAGAAGGGCAAAATAAGTGAAAGGATCTTTTACTTCAGCATTGATTAATCCCGTGGTATGTCCATTCGAGATAGATCACAGGTTTAACGCACACACTGCTCCAAAATGTGATGGTTAGTAACCTTGTCTTCTTTTGACTTGAGCTAAAATTTAAACTAAGTTTGAGTTAATTGGTCATCTCTCTTAACTTGATCGAGATCTTGCATCTTAATAAATGCGGTCATGTTTGATCTGTATTTTAAAGAGTCTTGGGAACTAATATTATATTGGGGATGCTATAGTCTCTAGCTCTAATTATAAAAGAGTAACGTTTACTTGTAAATTAGGTATAGAGAATTAGCTACTATATGGTTATTCTTAAAAAAAGTAGTTTCATTGATTAGTATGCTTCGATATATCACTCCGCTCTCTAATTGTCGTTCTGTACATTGAGTATCTTTATGTTCGAAAGGGGCTACTCTTTAGGGGTATTAACAATAAACACTATTTACCTCGATCCAAAGAGCTTTACGAATAGCTTGAAACTGGTTCTGAATTCTATGTATTAGATCTTAGTATTCTGCTCGAGTTGGAGTAGGTATTTCTACTATGCTTCTATAGAGCCGTAGTGGTGTTTAGCACTAAGCCTTAAAAGTCCGCATTTAAGCATATAGGGCTCTTAGCTTCCTTTAATTTGGGGGATAGCGCCCATTTCTGTTATCAAAAAATTAAGGAATACTCCAGTGCTAATTAGTGGCATTGGTGTTTGCTTATTGAGATAGGACTAGATACTGTAGCTTTCTATTTGTATGTAACCCTTCTAGCTTTCTCTAATAACTTAATTTCGCAAATAAGAAAAAAATAAGTGCTTACTATTTCACATAGGGACCTTTACAGCGTTAGGGTTGCTCAAGTAGTGTAATAGCCAGTAACCTATTAAGGCCCTCCATTAAAAATAGAAACCTTTTTTACCTAAGTGTCAGTGCCCCCATACTAGAATGTTACTCTATATGAAAAGTAAGCACTCTTTTCCAAACCAAATTATATTAGCTAGAGAGTACCACTTACGCTAAGTGAATCAATTCTAGCGCAATACTAGCTTACATAATGATACTAATACATCTTATCCAGTGTGTAGTCAGTTAGACTGCATCTAGAATCGATGCAAATAACTTGTGTGACTATACCGCTAATAAAGGTAAAAAAAAAAATAATCTAGTACAATCGGATTTTTCGTCCGCAACTATTTGCCCTAACAAATGATCTTGACCCCAGCGTTCTTATTTATATTAACTATATACTTGGTAAAGCAAAGGCACTCAGTGCCTCTACATTATTTTTGTTCGGGATTAGCGTTTCATACTAATTTCTGGGCGCATAACATATGCTTTTTTAAACAAGCTATAAAAGTTAATTTAATTTATTTAAGGTTCTTATAAAGTGCTATAGAATCGGTTTGAGTTTTAGTATCTATATATATATCTTGATTAAATGAGAAACGTAGTGATCTGAGAATAGCTCATCTATAAGAGCTTTTCCTTAGAAATTTATAGGGTTTCAAAATGTAAAGTTGAAGACTCGGAGTGTTAACGCCTAATAACTTAAAAATAAGCAAATGTAAACAATTTGCTTTTATCTTTAATATCACCGTAGAGTTATGCAGTGCCATTAAAGGCCCTTGGTTATTAACTACGTATCTTTTTCAAAAGTTGAATTAAAAAATTTTCTTGATTTTTTTATTTCTTGATGCTCGATTGAGTCAACCCCTTTAAAAAAATACTCGAGGCTTTCGATCAAAGGTTAAATTTAATAGTTTAAGGATCTGTAGGTTATACTGAAATTTCGAATTCAATGAACTAATCAAGTTAGTAATACTACTAATTTCTTACAGTAAAATTTTCTTGTTATATACCTATATATATTTCTTTTCTCAAAGCTATGCTCAGTTTATAATACTATTTAGTAAATTTTCACATTATTGTTTTAATAGTGGTTTGTTAAGTTTAATTAAGTCGACCTTAATGAAGTTGTTAGTATATAGGGAATGGTGAAATTGTCGCTTTGAGCTTTATTTTCTAGGTGCTAACACTTTGCTTCAATGTCTCTCAACCTTTTGTAAACTGAGTAGAAATGTTAATGTTTTAGACTGCTTCGTTGTCAGTAGAGAATGTTATCTTTGTTTTTATATTAGATGTAACCCTTGTAAGATCCCCTATGCCTTTACTTTAATGAACGCGTTACTCGTCACGTATTCAGCCTCTTAATACAATGTTTGTATTTTAGTCTTGTCATCTTGGGATTTCCATTGGATAGGACCGCCATCAATAAGACTTGTATGGGCTATGGTAGTTTGTATCATAGTCTTTTTTGCCTATAAAGCATCGGCATTGCATTTAATATTGAGTTCTTCATTCGTTATTCGCCACGTAAAGGTTTTACATTTTTAGAGCACAACATCAATTAATAACAATAAGGAACAAAAACTCTGAACCTCTTAAAAAATTAATAGTAACTCTCGAAAATTATTAAAAAAAATTATAAATATTAAACAAACCCCTTAAATAAAATGGGGCCACTACTTTTTAATAAAGATTTGCTATATATAAATAATTATTTACATATATATACATTAAAACCTGACCAACAGAAGTAGAACATCTATATAACAGTGTCTTAAAATGGAACATTCTTCAACTGGGAGATATGATCCCGAGTTTTTGGAAAACTGATTACCTCGGTCGAGGAATTAAAAGACCAACTTCACAATTCACAAGCAAAACTAGAAGAAGCTATTCAGAAAATAGACTCCTGTGAAAAACTCTTAGCTATAATGATACTTTTAAAATAAGAAAAACTAATAAACCCCCAAATACCTCCAATGCGCTAGTACTTGCTAACGAAAAAGCAAATGAAATACTCTAAGGTGATTTAACTATGTGCTGCAATACTATAGGCAATGACAACAATGATAACAGTATTAAGAGTGACCGAAAGTATAGCACTTATAATAAGAGAAATACAAGCGCTGACGAAAGTAATATTAATAATTATTATAACTTTAACTTTAATAATATAATAGTAAAAATAATACTACTAATAACAGTGCTACTAGTGTTGATAATAACTATGATTCTAATGACAATGACAATGATAACAAAAATAATTTTATTAAAAAAAGTATGCCCTATCACTATGGAAAAGAAAAAAGGGATAATGTTGTTAACTGGATTAAAAGAGAAAACATCAAAATTCCAAGTACTGTACATCAGAATTTAAATGTGTAAAATGTGGTGACGTCACCACTCCAAACCTTGTGGAAAAGGCAAACCTGTTAAACCGCAAGGGGAACACACAGCCAACCACACGGGTTCTCTCTTCAATGGCCGTGAGGCCAAATATTGACATTATTTGTCTTAGAAACGCATTTTAATCAGGATTACAAAAAAGATAAACCCAACTCTGAACATGGCGGAGTAGCTTTATTCTTAATAAACACATCCTCCACTTCCCCCTCGAATACGAAAAACTTTCCGGTCTTGAGGCTGTAGGAGTTAAATTAAAACTTAATAACCTTGGTATGGTTCATATTTTCTCAATCTATAAACCTCCCGACAAAAGATTGAAGGGAGAAA